GGAGGTTATGTGGTGGCGTACCTTATTAATGCCAAGATCTTCGTCATCAACATCCTGTGTAACCTCATCCACAACCTCACACGTTCCCCTCCATCTCTCATCGTCCTCCAACCCAGAAAGCTTCTTGCAATCCAGCAACCCAATCAATCATGGGTGTCCAACCCCCCAAATCTCCCTCCATCGTCGAGAAGATATACGATACGACCATAGCCCTCGCAAACCGCGTCGTGAGTCCCGAGACGCGTGCGAAGAGCTGGGAAAACGTCAGCGGGTTTGCGAGGGAGAATCCATTGGTTTTCGTAAGTGTTTCATTTCCTAATCACGCGTTTATCAGGCTAATCATCCGTTCTTTTAGTCATTCCTAGCTCTCCAAATCCTCGCTTCTACCTTTCCGATCCTCCTCTTCCTCGCTTTCTGCGCAGGCGCAATCGCCGTTGCTGCCATATCAGCTGTGCTGTTCACGCTTTTTTGGATTGGGGTTGCACTCTTAGTACTCCTCCCAACGCTATTTGTTACGATTTCGCTTGGGTGCTTTGCTTGGGCGTGGGCGCTTGTATCGTTTGTGGTTGCGAGGTACGTGTATAGGAGTGTTTGGGGAGAGGAGGGGAGTCAGGCGCTTGTGCGTGTGAAGAACGGAAGTGCGGAGGTGTGGGAGGGCAAGAATGAGAAGGTTAATGAGGTGGTGGAGAAGGTGAAGGAGGTTATATTGAGTTGTGAGGATGTGGATTGTGTGGGTATGATGGGTGGTGGGATGGAGTTGGGTTGTGGATGAGGGTTGGAATATGGGGAAATACACAGCACCAATTTATCGAATCCATGGAAAATGAGCAACGAACATGATGACAACCGAGTGCTTACGACTATCTTGGACAGACGCCTGGGAATATCCACGGAGAATGATAGTGCTTTGATGGCTGTCAAGCATTGATTGAGGAAAGAAAGCAAAGAAAAGCACAACTGAGCACGTATTGCGCTAAGGAACAGCAGACCCAAAGAGAGAAACTGTATGACGATATTGATAGTTGTCTTTCTACGGATTCAAGCGGGCCAGGTTTGGCACAATATGTGCTGCGATCAGTCGATTTCTTCGACAGCCGCGTCTACTTTCGCACCAGCATCCATCAGCTTTCTGACCACCCGTCTATTGCCCTTATACATTACCGCTCGCAGCGCCGACCCATACACTCCACCTTGTACATTCACGTCCGAGGTAGACATCAATAGCTCTGCAATTGACTCGAGATCCTTCTCGATTGCGATCAAAAATGGAGTCCGCCCCTTCGTATCTTTCGCTCTCGTTGAGGCTTCATATCGCAAAAGGAGCTCAACTAGTTCTTCATCCTCATTATTCACAGCTGCCAAAAGTGGTGTTCTTCCCTCCATATCCAACGCCTCGATATTTGCTCCATGCTTTAATACCATGTCAATTACTGCCTTGTCGCCGCTAGCTATGGCCGATTGAAGGACCGTTCGGTTGTGATCGTCTTTCAATTCGAGGTCAGCGGTAGAGCTTCTATCCTCGAGCAGTAATCTCAGCACCTTGATACGGCCACAAATTACAGCCGCGTGCACTGCCGTTTCATGTAACCCTCCATACGCGTTGACATTGGCTCCCGCTGACAACAGCATCTCAACCACCTCTTCTCCGCTCCAAGCCGCTGCTGCTGCTTGAAGCGGGTAACCATATTTGCCACCTTCCACGTTGACTTTGGCATCTTTTTTCAGTAGCTGCATTACAAGTTATTCCTGTCCTCGGTATGCTGCTGCCTGGAGGGGGTTGCCGTATTCCCCTCCTTGGGAATTAGGATTTGCCCCAGCGTCCAGTAGGCACTGCACAACTTCTTCCAGCTCCTTTCCACCCGAGCCATTTTGAACAGCGTCTAGTAGTGGTGTACACTCGTTCGCGTCTATAGTATCTACCTCCGCTCCACGAGACAGAAGCAGTTGAATCAACGCTATGTCCCTGCGTTGAACAGCCACGTGGAGAGCGGATATATCTCGCCCCCCAAGTCGATTAACATCAGTTCCAGCTTTCAGCACATCTTCCACAAGCTTCAGCCATTTAGAAGTTGGCATTTTCTTGTCCCTGTGCAATTTAAGCGCTATAATAAGATGCGGATCGCCTAATTGATCGACTTGTTTGTTTTGATTGCCGAAAAGCTGCAAACTCTTCGCTAGTTCATGCCGTTCATGCAGTATAGCTAACTCTATCGCCGTTTTGCCGCTTCGATCACAAACATGAGTATCTGCACCTGCTGCGATCAACGAGTAGATTATGGGTTCATTCAAAGAGTGCATTGCCAGCATCAGAGCTGTCTCGCCATTTACATTTTTCAACTCCAGATCCAATTTGTCTCTTAATGGCGGCTGTAACAAGAGCTTAACAACATCCTCGAGACCAGACGTAACTGCAAGGTGCAGATCGTTTTCAGTCCACAATCGATTTTGCAACTTTGAGTCAGCGTTTATTTGTAGCAGCAAAACTTTGGCCAACGTCTCATGCCCACATCGAAGTGCATATCGAAGAGGCGTGTCTCGACTATCACTCCACTTATCTGTACTTGCATTATGCTTGAGTAACACTAGAGCAATTTTCACGTTCCCGTTTTGGACTGCTACTTGAAAAGGAGTCTCACAAGCGTCGTTTGAAACCTCGGTGCTGACACCTCGAGTAAGCAAAAGTTCGACTGTTTGAAGATCATCTTCTTTCGTTGCTACGATGAGTGGTGTATTGCCACTGTCACCTTTGCACTCAATATTCAATTTGTACTCCAGCAACAATTTTACCAAATTCTGATCCGTTTTTATCGCGACGTGAATAGCTCCATCATGGCCTTCGCAAGTGTCACGATCAATGGATGCGCCCGCTTGCAATAGCCGTCTCGCCACGTCTTGTTTATTGTGCACTACAGCTTGCATAAGGGGTCCTTTTCCGTATTGACCTTCCAACTCCGTCAGCGCGCCGTTTTTCAATAGCAACTCGACTGCTCTAGCGTTTCCTTCCTGGCTAGCCAATGAGAGTGGCGTGTTTCTCTCCGCGTCTTGTAAGTTGACATCTACTTTAGGCCAATCAAGCAGACATTGAAAGGTCTCCTCATCGAAATGTTCATCTAGCGCCCAAAATAGTGGCCTGGTCCCGTCAACATCAAGCTTTCTATTGACCAAAATTCTTGGATCTTTCCACAGGTCTTCAACAAACTCAGGACATTTGGAGCGAATTGCCCACCTTAGTACGTGAAGGACGTCCTGTGTATATGCGTTGGTGAAACCCTACTCACACATGAGCGTCAAACCCCCGTGGTCGTGGTGGTGTGGAGTCTAAGCCCTCAAACAAGTTTTTCAAATAACCTTTTGTTATTTCATTTGGCTTGCTGGCGTTCTGGAAGAAATCCCAAAAATGCTTATAGTCGTCGATGGGTGGTTGCTTAGTTTTGTTTTCCCTTCAAGGGTAAAGTTACTCAAATCTTAAACCTCAAGTAGTGAGTATTCATCTGGGCAAAGTAAGATTTCTTTTTTTGGTTTCGAATAATTTATGTTACACAATTCTTGAGAGCATATTGGCTATACACTTCGACAGCCTAGCAGAGGTATTATAGCATTCCTGCGACCTCTGAACTCACCGAGACTATCTCGACCGGGTTCAGGAGTCATTTTGCGCCATGAGTTCAATAAGAAAGTTCCCCGCCAACTCCACGAAATGTCCTCATCAATGAAATGAGCAACCCACGTAGGATACCTAAGTCGACCCTGCTCTACCACAGGTATATCATAGCGTCCGTATTCCATTCGTGGACCCGGATTCTTTTGAAAGGGGCTTGGACCGCGATGAGTGACGAAGCGCTCGATGCGATATTTTAAACAATCTTCAGAATAGTAGAGCCTCGTAGAGAGCCCTGGAAACGACTTCTCGTTGATAGCCTGGGCCTCACTTTGAGTACGCCAATCTTCGCTCCAAGGAAACTCTGTGTCTATAATTCCTGCCTTCAGATGACCATCAAACTTTATGTTTTCCAGCGACAATTCATTATGTAAAAATTCTATGACACTGATCCAGGAGCATTTCTTATCGTCAGCAGAGTCGGCTGAATCCTCGAGTATTATCCACGATAATTCTAAGCGGCGAAGCGAGGAAGATTGCCTCTTCAAAAGGCTCTTCAAAGACTTTTCGCTCGTAGCTATTGCTTGTAGTGAAAGCATCTCAAGGTGTTCCCAATACATGCAATCGTCGATGACTCTGGATAGGTGAACGATGATACTGGATGACTGATAGCCCTCGATAGTCCGTCCGAAGGAAAGGTGTAGCAATCTCAGAGACTTTGCACGACTAATCAAGCCTGCAACCTGCGATACATCCTCTGGTGCTGAGTTCGGGCGCCCGTACTCGAACTCCAGGGTAAGGTTATGAAGTGCCGATATTGCATTAGAGGGGTCACTAAATGATCCGCAAGCTTTGTTCCATTCTTTGAGAGCGTCCCAATCTCTGCAATGAACAAACCAATGATTGTCAGTCATGCCGTAAGAATTGAACCGCCCGGAAATGGTCCTGAGTGGCTGTGTATGTCTTGATAGACACGCTGTAGCAAAAGCATTGTCAGTATAGATGTTTAAGCATAAACAGAATGTTTATTGGAACCAGAAGTCACTTGTTTACAAGAGCAAGAATTGACCAACTGCAACTTACAAAATAGATGCTGAGAAATTATGGAAGACTGTGAGTTGCACGTACCTGTCTGTAGTAGAATCCAAAATGACGCACCAGAGGCAAAGAGAGGTTTGTCCAAGACTCCGTCGTCAATTTCACTTAGGGTCAAGGTCAGCGCCTGAGATATCACTACTACCTGACTTGCTTACTTGTTCATATTGTAGAATATATTTACAAGTCTTGGTAGCTTTGAACAAACATCTGCTAATATCGTTCTCTCGTTGGCGTTACCATTTCGACAAAGATATTCTTGGCTCTTTACATATCGACGATAATTGTGATAACGTGTTTCTAATTTAGCCTGAGTAGTTTGAGAAAAGTATTCGTGTTGCTTTTCATGTGAAAAGCCTACATGAGCCGTGGCTTTAACTCGAATCCAAGAGACAAAGGTTACGGTACGAAGAAACTCATCAAGGTCTCCAGAGATGAGCAACTTGGCGTCGTAGGTAATCTTCCTCACATATTTGCTGAGTTCCTCGTGATGTGCAATATTTTGAAGGCGTTTGAAACTTTCACGAGTCAGTTTCAGATTGACGTTTTCGAAAAGGAGAACTTGGGCAGAGTTCTTCCAAGCATGGGAAACTAGTCGAATGATCTTTAATTCATGACGGGACAGCAAGCTAAAAACTTCTAAAAGAATTTCTGCTGCAAGCCACATTGTATAGTACTTTTGACTAATATTTGATGAAAGCCGTTCGATGAGTCGATCGCGAAAGTAAAAAAAAAGCTGCACCTAGACAAGCTCAGATGTAACTTAAGAGTGTGTATAATCCTAGTGTAAGCCTCGGCGTAATAAGGTCCCGCAACTCGACAGGTGCTCAAAAGTACTGCATAGTCGAGAATTTCTGATCATGATGTACAAGGCAGTTTGTGAGTTGATACCGGATATCGTCTACGCGATCAATTTATCAAGATATCTAACTTTTCTTTCAATATTTTCAGCAAGTAAGGCATTCTTTTTGAGAAGTTTTAAGCTTCTTAAGACTAGTATGATTTTTCAAGCTGGATCATAATTCATGTAAGCCGAAAGTTACTGCCACCTATGTTGTTCCCCGTGGATGTATGGCCACATTCAAGTGTGTGTGCGATAAGACTTGCAGTTTTATGTAGTCTAGTTATTTTAATCTGACTAGTTCAAAAAGAGTCCCACCGATCTCACTATAGACCATTAGAATATTAGCGGACTAGTAGCTAATATCCCAGTGACATTCTCTCACGTCTTAACTACATCTTGTGGCCTCAATTCTTTTTCGGGCAAAGCTCAAGACGTATTCTTTACTAAGAATGTAAAAAGTTTTTGGATACTGTGCAATGATGATCGAATAAGTATCATGTCTATAATTCATAATCTTGTCCAGCGTGAGCTGGCTGCAAAAACAGGTTACAACTTACAGACCCTCGTCAGCTTTTGTTTATACTAAGGGCCTGTTCGTTCAGATAATTTCGCGCCAAATTATAGAATGATATTCTCGACGTTTGGTAGGGATTAAGATGAGACTAAACCTCTTATAATATAGTACAACTACATAACCTGGCAAGTGAGAGACCCCTGGCAAGAGCCTCGCGACACGTGATATACCTAAAAACAAGAGCCTGTAGAGCCTGTGGCCTATAGAGCCTGTAGCCTATAGAACGTAGAGCGCCTAAAAGTGTCGCTTTTTGTCGCTTTTCGTCCTTAAGGATATGGATAGAAGCTGGTCCCGACCAGCTTTTCACTCCTCCCATACAAATCAGAGAATTTGCCACTGGCCATATTCTCTTTTGTGGGGACGACAGTATAGGTAAAGGGGCTCGCCCTGCTTAGTACTAAAGCTAAAGGGTTAGCTAAAAACTACGTCGGAATCGGGTATAAGCCATTTTTTAGTACGGTAAGGCACCCTGGTAAACATCGCCATATTATAGAATATGGCACGGAATTATCTGAACGAACAGGCCCTAAAGCAGTTAAGAACTCAAACAAACTGCAAAGTTACCCCACGTTTCATTTGCAGTGGACACCCGGAGTGCGACCAATTAGGTTACCACACTATTACACGTTTAATTGGCTTGATAAGTTACGTTCGCTGGCACGATTCAAGGCATATTCTGCGGATTTCCCCCTTCACATGCCTCACTGTCATTCAAACGCCATCGTGCAAATTGCTGTCACTGTGAATCCAAGCGCATCATGTCAGCATGGGGCCTTTTTAATTGGCTCCTGTTAACCGACCCTGATGGGACTTACACTCGTGGGTCCAATCATCTTTATACCTCCAAAAATTTCCAACAATAACCCAACAAACCAGAAACAAATACAACACCGATGACAGTGACGTAAAATATTCTTTATCCCCTTAACTAGGACCCTCAAGAAGTTAAGATTCATAATGGCTTCGAAATTCATTCGTGCTGAACGTAATACTGAGGATTCGCTCAACTACTCGGACCCAAACAGATGGAATAACGCCGCAGCAGATTACAATGCCGCGGTAGGAGAATCCTCCAAGCTTGCTGCAACCCGTCTGATCACGCTTACAAACGATCTTCATCCCATATCAGCTGCTTCTGACCCACGAGCTCTCGATCTTGGAGCCGGAACCGGGTCTCTTACTCACTTGCTCTCGGATGCCTTTCCTTCCTTACCCATCCTCGCAACGGACATATCTCCAGGAATGCTTGAAAAGTTGATGGCGACAGGCGCCTTGGCCAACAAGAAAAATGTCACCACACAAGTGGCCGACATGAGTTCGCCTGTTGGTGGTGAAGTGACTGAAGGGTCCTTCTCTCATGTCTTCAGCACGATGGCTATTCAAGTTCTCCCGAACCCAGCCGACGAAGGAACGCTTGGTAAATGGGCTAGTCTATTGCAGCCAGATGGTGTGGTTGCAATTGCGGTTTGGGATTTTAATGAGGTTTGTGGTCCTCACAGCATTTGGACAGAAGCTGCAAAAGCTGTTGATCCTTTCTATGAGAGCCCACCACCACTGCCGCCGAGACACTGGTATGGTCATACACAAGTAGAAGAGGAACTGAAGAAAGTTGGGTTTAGGGATGTTATGAGCGAGGTTTTAGATATTGGGTTTAATGTCGGGAAAGAGGGATTCATGCGATTTTTTTGGGAAAGTGAGAACCCCATGCCGATTGAGAGGCTGGCGAGCTTCAAGGGTGATTTAAGCAAAGTAAAGCTTGAGATGGATAGATTGTTGGATGAAAAGTATGATAGTGGAAAGAAGATTCCTTTGTTTGCTGCGCTAGCTGTGGGCAAAAGGCCAGCGCAGACGTTAGATTTCTGGGGTGATGAAAACCTGTACGAGGAGCTTTACAAATTCGTGCATATTTAGATATGCAAACTTTAGGGTTTTGTATCATGAAACGAATAGCTAAAATTGATATTGTTTTACGGTCCAAGTGCGAGTCACCTGTAATAATACCATGGTGAATGTATCTGCTTTTGAACCTTATGCTGAAAAAGATTCGAACTTTCGCTTAGGTGGGCCAGTTGCTTCCAAAGTATGCAGGAAAAACTTGGATATTATAACTTAGCTCATTCTCTTAGGGTGGTAGTCATAGGACAAAAGCGTGACATGGCACGGCCACAATGATCTCCACCACACTAGGTTTACCGAACAGTGGGATTCTTAGGAGTAGCTTAACATGCATATACTTTTGTCCTGATTACGACAGAAAAGTTTAGAGTCACTCACACCCTTTTGTTACCTTCCCACCCATGTGATGTGTACGCTTGAGGAAGCTCTTCGTACCTTTCCATATTTTTGAATATTCAGAAGTTTGGCTTCCACCTCTACAACCGCGCAACCATGTCTTCCGCTGAAAGCATCCCGCATCATCCCCTTATAAACACGGCTCTCCTCCTTATCGACATCCAGGAAGGCTTAAACCACCCAACGTACTGGGGCCTCAACCGCTCCAATCCGGCCTTCGAGTCCAACATTGTTAAACTTCTCGACGCCTTCCGCGCTGCGCAACCCGAAAGCCCAAACATATTCCATGTCTGTCACCACTCCGTGCTCCCTAGCTCTCCTCTCCACCCCTCTACTCCAGGTGTCAATTTCATGAGTTGCGCCATGCCTAAGGGAAATGAACCCGTTTACTCCAAGACTGTAAACAATCCCTTTGTGGAGACGTGTTTAGCAGAGGATTTAGAGAAGAAAGGCATTAAAACGCTCTATATATGTGGGCTTACAACGAATCATTGTGTGGATACGACAGTGCGTATGGCAAGTAATCAACATGTCGTGGGTAATTATGAGGGTAATCGAGACGGGGGACGATTGGTGCTGATAGGGGATGCGACGGCGGCTTTTGATGGGAAAGGAGTATTTGATGCTGATACAATTATGAATGTCCATGTGGAGAGTTTGAAGGGTGAGTTTTGCGAGGTTTTGGGAACAAACGAGGTCGTAGATTGCTTGGAGAGGCTGGCGAAGGAAATTTAATAAGCGAGCGAAGTACAATAGGGGTGCGATTGGTACGGCGAAAATAGATTTGTCAAGCGCGTTTTGAGACTGGTTTATAGAGCAAAAGCGTTGGATCGTAGTACATGGGTTGATGGATGTGACTGTTGGTGGGCTGAACGAAATATGAGCATCTAAGCCCATGGGTATAACGTTGTCTTCTAGAGGGAAATCGCTGAATCAGCCACAAGAGCTTCTGCTTTTGGATTCGTCAGGGCATTCGAAAGATATTTTAATGCGTTTTGAGGTTGAGGTGCTGAAGTTGGATCGTTTTGTGAAGAATGGGAAATTACTGGTAGTGAAATTTGCAAAGCATAACCTGATTGCGGTACGCTTTTCTCTCGCTCTCCGGCACCAATTGTATTGTTCTCCATTGTCGGCTTAGTGTTCTTAACCCCTTGCCCTGAAGGTTGTTGCATATATCGCAAGACAGCAGTTTGGTATAGAAGTGCTAGTGGTGAGAGTGCTGGTATCCCACTATCTTGCATCGGCAACGTGATGCGCATGCTTCCGTGCAGTACGCTGGTACGTTGACATTCAAATTCAAGCACCGCCGTCGATATTTCGACCAGACGCACCTTTCGCATGCTAGCGGATGTACAAGTAAAGGCGGAAGTCATGTGAGTCACTCCATGTGATTCACCCCCCTATTTGTTAGCCGAGAATCGAGAAGATTGGGGTCGAGAGCACGTGCGTGCTGTAGCACAACGGCCATAAAACAAGCAGCACATAATCTAATTTAAGGCCCTATTTTACTAAAACGTATTTTAAGCCAGCTTGAGCTAATAAAGCGATGGCACAATGCCAATCGTTACTGAAACAAGCGAAAACGTGATTCTGCCCTTGGATGCCGTCATTGAAGCAGGAGTATTCTCGTTCAATACGGAAGGTAGGATTCTTCGATATGTTTACTTCATCTGAGCTGGTGGAGTGGCGACACGCTTGGAAATCCACGAGGGGACGTTGGAGACGTGAATACCAGCCTTCGCATATTTCGAATTTTGAATCTCGGTTTGAATTATACCTAAAGAGATTATCGCCAGTTCCTGCCTCCTACTTGGCATCACGTGTAACCACGGGTGGATAGTTGTGCATTATCAACCACTGATTACGCCATAATTATAAGCGAGTTGGGTTGATTTCGTCTGGCGCAACCGAAATTTCAGTCAGCCAGCAACGAGGCCAAAACACCTCATTTCTATTCAAGCATTTGATTGCATATGTCATGATAAACCTACATACGACTTTTATAGTCTTCTGAATAAGCGGAAGCCAAATGCTAAATTCCACTTTAGAGGTGTGATGCGAGGTCAAACTGTAAGAATTATGGATCTGATATATCACGCTGCATTGAGATTCTGAGTTGCATAATATTTATCGAACCTTCCCTGCTAAATAGCAAAGCTGACCAACGGAAGCATTGAAAATAACAACCCAACAAACAAGGTTGACTGAACTTTAGAGAGGTGGCACTTTATGCAAAGGCACGCGTCAGCCGAGAAGATATCTCTGGAATGCTTTTCTTCTCCTGAAATATACTGTTCAACAAACTTGTCCTGATTTATGTTCTCCATTTCTCCGTTGCCTCTGTCGGTTCAGTCGTTCGAAAGAACACTCTCTGTGTGACGCTCGTTTGCCGCACTTCTGGCACTTGAGAGTTCTGCACATCAACAGCGAACTGTCTTTTTGCCCAAGGACCTGCCACAAAATATAACGTCGTAGCTTGTGCGGGTTGCAGTTACAGCTGCCTGGTGCTCTTGCGAGTATGGCGTCTGGAGTCTCCTGTCCTGCTTCTCTGGATGATAGTTTTGGCCCTTCGGTTGCGGCATGTCGGCGAGTCTTCGACTTTACGCTGCTTTTTGAAGAGGCCATCTTATCAATCCCGCTGTCTTCAATTCTGTTGTTGTTTGTATCTCTGCGAGCTTTTCTGCTTCTCTCAAAAAAGAAGGTGGTGAAAGGATACATTCCGTTGTTCGCAAAACTAGTAAGCGCATTCAAACATCATCTATGGTTAGATCTGACTGAATTATCAAGGCATTATGGCTTATATATGTGGCACTACAGCTCGCGCTGCTTGTGATGTGGTCGCGGGATTCTGCTGAAAGAACATCGGTTTCAATCGCTGCTGCAGCACTGGCGTTCATATCTTCCCTGATTTTGCTCGTGTTGTCCTATTACGAACACACCCGATCTGTGCAGCCTTCTACGCTCATTAGTGTTTATCTGCTTCCCTCGCTGGTTTTTGATGCTGCGCGCACAAGAACCATATGGCAGATTGGTGCGAACACTGAGATAGAGCGCGTTTTCAGCGCATCGCTGGTGGTGAAAGCCTTGTTGCTTCTCCTTGAATCATTTGATAAGTCTCAGTCTTTGATTATCACAGATCAACGTTATGGACCGGAGGAGACTGGTGGTTTTATCAATAGGAGCCTGTTTTTCTGGATGAACAGGTTGATATATACAGGGTATGGCAGATCATTATCTTTGTCAGATATATATCAACTTCCGCACGAGTTCAAGGATGGCTCAGTACAACTTCGATGGCAGGGCTACTGGGGTCAAGGTGGGCTTTATGATCTCTGCTACGACCAATTGGACTTGCTAACAGAGGTTGATACTATAGGATCTGAGAACGGTAAACATCCCTTGATCTGGTCGATAATTCAAGCACTGAAGTGGCAGCTTTTGCAACCAATACTCCCGAGGCTATTTCTAATTGGCTTCACAATCTCGCAACCCCTTCTTCTGCTCCGTATAATTCATTTTCTTGATGCATCTGCAAAGGGAGAAGACGATGTAAATACTGGTTATGGTTTAGTTGGAGCATATGGTGTAGTATTTCTTGGTGTCGCGGTAAGTTCACTCACGACTTTCTCTCTCTAGTTAGCATAACTAAAAAAATCCGATAGATATCAACCGCTTGGTACTGGCACAACACATACCAAGCAATCATTGCCATCAGGGCAGTTCTCGTGCTTGCCATCTACAACAAAACTATCGAGCTTGATAGCACAGCCTTGAGTAATTCGGCGGCTGTAACTTTAATGAGCGCGGATGTTGAGAGAATCACTGCGGGTCTAAGAACATTGCACGAGACCTGGGCAAATGTTGTTCAAGTTGCGATAGCCTCTTGGCTGCTAAAAATTCAGATTGGCCAAGCTTTCATTCCACCTTTAGTAGTCCCTGTTGGTAAGCTCCTGATTTATCACAAAATCTGATTTCGACGTCATTCTTGTCGCTAAGGCGTTGTAGTTGTCGGCATCATCACCAGTAGAATAGGCAAAGCCGCCGGCAGACGCCAAACAGCGTGGATGGGCAGTATAGAAAAAAGAATAGGTAGAATCTCTGCATCTTTCACAGCAACCAGTACTAAAACCAGTCCTAGGAGTCACATCAAATATGCTTGGCGCTGTAAAGGGAGTCAAGATGTCTGGTTCAACAGAGAGGATGACCAGCAACGTAAAAAACCTGAGGCTTGAGGAGCTTGATGCTTCGGCAAAGTTCAGGTGGCATCAAGTCTATTCCGCGCTTTTAGGTACGTGTAATGATGCTAGATAGATTCGGGGTCAATATGCTGATGGATAATTCTCTTTTGCAGCTTTTACACCTGTATTGATATCTCCTCTTCTTGCCCTCGCAACGTATACGGCTATAACCAAACATAGGGGTGACTCTTTAGATCCTGGTGCAGTATTCACAGCTTTGGCACTCATGACACTGATATCTCAGCCCTTGAGTGTTCTTTTTCAATCCGTTCCCAATTTGATGGCAGCAGTAGCGTGTTTTGACAGGATCCAAAATTTCCTCAAATCTGAAATTCGCCACGATTACCGCATAGCACCATCTCCATCTATCAGCGAAAAGATTCCTTCAATCACGGAAAGGGCGACAACTTCGCGTATTTCGGTTACTATAGGAGACGAATCGGCATCACTAGATACTAACGACTGTCTCACGGTCATCAGCATCCAGAATGGAAGTTTCAACTGGGGGAAAGATGCGAAGCCAATACTACACAATATCAATCTAAAAATTCAAGTATCAAAACTGACCATGATAGTAGGACCCGTAGGGTCCGGGAAGACGACATTACTGAAAACGTTCCTTGGCGAAGTTCCTAGCTCAGCTGGCTCTGTTAAAGTTTCTCCAAACAATATCTCGTTTTGCGATCAGACCCCCTGGCTCACTAACAGAACAGTACGTGAGAACATTCTTGGGTTCTCGGAATTTGATAGCAGCTGGTATAGCACTGTATTGCATGCCTGTGCGCTAGAGGAAGATCTCATAAATTTTCCCGAAGGAGATCATTCAAAACTTGGAAGTAAAGGAATTACACTCAGCGGTGGTCAGAAACAGAGAGTGGTAAGGCCTTTTTTTCTCTGATCCTTTGTTTACCTGTATTGCAGAGTTAATACAGAAGTCTAGGCCCTTGCGCGAGCGATTTATGCTCGAGAGAATCTTCTTGTCGTCGATGATATCCTCAGCGGTCTGGACTCTAGCACCGAGAGCTTAGTCTTCGCTCGTGTTTTTGGGCCACAGGGACTGCTCCGAAGACAGGGGCGTACAGTTATTCTCGCTACTCACGCTGGTTCGTATTATACATGAACAATCCTAAGCCTAATACTGATCTGGACAGTACATCTCCTTCCCCTAGCTGACCACATCATCGTCTTGCTTGATGGTACAGTAGTCGATCAAGGTTCTTTCACGAAACTACAATCCAAGGACTCTTATGTGCGTAGTCTGGGAATCGAACAACCCGTCATCAAGTTAAGGTTGGGAGATTTCGTAGGCTCAGTATTTGCTGTTAGAGATAAGCCGGAGACGCCAGCCATGAAGCAACTTGATGCTCGAGATGGTGACTTCCGAGTCTGGATCTACTATTTCAAGGCGATTGGAAACATGGTAACATTTTTATTCTTCGCGTTCGTGGCAATCTATGCATTCTTCTATATCTTCCCTCGTAGGTTTTCTACATTCCTATGTTATGCTGATATGCATTTTGACAAGGACTTAGTTGTTTGGATAAAATGGTGGATCGAAGCTAGTTATGGTAATGCGGATTACGCGATAGGAAAATATATAGGAATCTACGCTTTATTGCAATTTGCAGCAATGCTTGCACTTGCAGCGATGGTAAAGTAGGATAGCCTTTGGCCACCTCAAGTGTTAAATATCGCTCGCTTTCTCACTGACTCGTGATATAGACACTCTTTCGTTACGTTGGTTGTAAGCTCCGGAAAATCAATCCATTGGAAGATTTTGACAACAACCATGCGGTAAGATATTTAGCCTCTTTGATGGCACTGCTAACTCATACATGTACAGTGCACCAATGTTATTCTTTGACAAAACAGATACTGGAACGACTCTGAACAGGTATGATCTCTGGTTGAATCGTCAAGTGGTGCTAGAATAACCTCTGCAGGTTTGGACAAGACTTGCAAATTATAGACTCGGAGCTACCTATGGCATTGATGAACATGGCATGCAGTACGTACTGCTCTTTCTTATCATTTCAGTATCTGCTGATCAAACACAAAGGTACATCAATCATGATCGGCCAGATTCTGTTGATCGTGAATGCATCTTACTACCTCGCTATAAGCTTCCCGCTTATTATTGTTTTTCTTTATTTACTTCAGAAAGTATACCTACGAACATCAAGACAGCTTAGAATGATTGACCTTGAAGCAAAGGCACCTTTGTAGTAAGTAATCCTCACTCTTCTCTCCTACAAACTATTTTTGCTATCAATAATGATCGAATGTATGTAACTGACGGCAACCTATTGTGTAGCTCCCACTTTGTCGAATCTCTGGGTGGTCTCGCCACAATCCGTGCCTTTGGCTGGCAACAGGATGTTATAACTCTCGCAAGTGGACTTCTCGACGACTCTCAGCGTCCATTTTATCTTCTCCAATGCATTCAACGTTGGCTCACGCTCGTCTTAGATCTCTTCGCCATGGGCTTTGCACTCATTCTTGTAAGCTTGATTCTGAAGTTTCGACATAGTACAAATTCCGGGTTTACGGGCATCGCTCTTTTGAACTTGATGACGTTGAGTGCAATTTTGATGGGCGTCGTGACAGTGTGGACACAGCTGGAAACTTCAATTGCCTCTGTTTCAAGAGTGAAATCGTTTGAAAAAGAAACACCAAACGAGAATTTACCAGGCGAGGATTTTGTCCCGCCGAAGGAATGGCCGGCCAAAGGAGAGATTGAGTATCGTGGAGTTGTAGCTTCCTACGGGCAAGTCGTCCCACCCTGCACATATTTTGTTGAAATTTGGCTAAACTAAATGTAATCTCAAAGTGTGGCTACTGGCAAAGCTTTAAATAGGATCTCAGTGGTCATTAAAGCAGGAGAAAAGATTGGCATAGTCGGACGGACTGGAAGGTAAGTTCAACCCACCGCTCTAAAACCTTCAGGAGGCCTAATGCTCACGGTTACGTAGTGGGAAGAGTTCTTTCGTGCTTGCTCTCTTCCGCATGCTGGAGATTGACTCGGGGTCAATCACGATCGACGGTATTGATATTTCATCAATCCCTCGCCATATCGTTCGCTCGCATCTCAACGACATTCCCCAAGAGGCCTATTTTCTTTCCGGCACAGTTCGCCAGAATGTCGATCCCAGCGGAATCTCTTCTAGTACGCAGATCGTGGATGCGCTTACAAAAGTCCAGTTGTGGGCCCTCATCGAGGAAAAGGGAGGTCTAGATGCTGATTTCGATGCCAATTTCTTGTCAAAAGGTCAGAGACAGTTGTTTTGTCTAGCGAGAGCAATTTTGCGGCCCGGAAAGATCGTGGTTTTGGATGAGGCAACTAGCAGGTACGTGATGCCCCAGAGTCGTTCTACGAAGAAATTAAAAAGTCACAAGCTAACGATGCTTTGCATAGCGTCGATATTAAGACTGATGAACTCATGCAACGCTTGATCCGAAGTGAGTTTGCAGATTACACTATTATCGCTATTGCCCATCGTCTTAACAACTTGGTTGGATTCGATCGTATCATGGTATTAGATCATGGAAAATTGGTGGAGTGCGATAACCCGAAGCTGTTGTCGGAGCGCAGCTCGTTGTTTAGAGGACTTTTGGATACTTACAAGACAGGAGACGATTAATTGCTGTGGTGGTGCACTCGCTTCGTACTCGAATAGGGATTTGAAAATTGTTCCCTACACTGGAGTCGTTTTTGCAATTGATAGGAGAGGCAGGAGCGAGATCTTACAAGACTTTAAAAATGGTCTATTTTTATTTTATTTAATTCAAGCAATGAACTGATTGGGGTACAAGCACTATCACGAAGTTAGCTAGTGAAAGAGATGTAAGTATCTACATGTCAGAGCCTGAACAGAAGTCTATTGTTTAAAACTTGATAACAATTTTCCGTGAGCCAACAAATCCTATCCACAACAACCCATTGTGAAATTGTGTACATGGTGAACTTCCATTCTGCCATAAGGTTAGACAATCACTTTGGACTTTTATCAAATGCTAGAAACATAAGCTCAAAGAGAAGTCTATCCTGGCGCTGGCCGTATTAAGCAAACTCAGAATCGTGGTTCTATATTGGCGTGTCGAGGCGACATCTCCGCATTGCACCGCCAGCACGATGTTTATAGTATTAGATGAGACAAGATTTGAGCGGAAAAGTCAGACTGTGGTGGAGTCAGCAGTCCGAATCCTCGCTTAGTGATGCATGCTTAGTAGCTTTAAAGATAGACATTTATAGAGACTTAGGATCTCATCTATCATTTTCCGCGAAGGAGACGTTTTCAGACTCGTCAAATACAGTAGGAATTGAAAATACTTACTCCTTTCAAGTAATAATCCAGCGAATAAAATTGTCAGAGGGGTACTGCCACATATTTTGATTTCTGCGAGGAGTTGTCAGTCAATGCCGCTAACAAAATAAGGGGGAAACTTTTCACTTTTCTTCTTCGTTCAAAAGTTGAGCGTGGCATTAAGAGTAATTTCATAAAAAAACCTCCTCAAAGTCTAGCTGGGAATAAATTGATGTGGCACTCGTTCCCGCCTCCTCCCTCTGGTTTTATTGGCTAGTGGACGATTGAGCTTCTTGGTGTATGTCCCTTGGGTCTTGTATTGAGGAGCGACTTGCACACCACGATCGAACCCATCATTGCTATATTTGGAAGCTATATTCCGCGGTCGAATTTCTTGCGCCCGTGTATATGTGGGTTCTTCGCATGTGTTATTAGCGTCGTGGCTAATAGATGTAGGTGGACTGGAGATTTCTTCAGCTCCTTCCCAAGAGCACTCTGAACTCTCATCCACAGTCTCGACTGAAGTCGTTGAGATATCCTTTGGCGGTATTGGTTGATATTCTTCGTAAAAGTTTCTGGCTCGAGGTTTGTTGGTGTTGTTGATTGCACTCAAATTGGAAGAAGTTGACTGCTCATTGCATGCAGTTGCTCTGACCCTCGATGGAACAAGTCCATCTTTATTTTGTCCTATAATAATACAGCCTCGATTGGTAAGATCCCTGAATGGAGAGAGAAAGCGTAATTTAGCGTTCGATTTTGACAGCAATCGTAGTAGATGTGGACATGTGTGAACTCCATCCTTGTCGCAATTACAGCGTTCCAAAATCCTCGAGGCGACGTAGACGCCGATTCCGGGACACTCCAGCCGTTCATCGCCGACAGTCCTTCCAAACCACATGTTGAGTCTACAAACGGTCATTGCTAGAAAATCCTTCGAAACTGGGAGGCTGTCTAGCCTCACTGGCGTACGAAGTTTTGTAATGGGCCGTAAGAGCTCACCAAGATTACTTCCAAGTAAAACAGGTGTTTGTTCTCTTCTGACCATGGCTGGCCAACCTCCATGTGAGCTTTTCACGGACACCGCCTTTTTCCTCCATTTGTGTCTACTGCGCGCTACGTCCATTAATTCGAAGCCCTGAAGAGTTTCGTGAAAATTGAATTTCATAGCTACACCAGGGGGTTCTTCGGATGCATCCTTCTCCACAATCTCAAGGTAGGAATAGTAGTCAGATATTAGATCTTTCACATAGTAATCTTCAGTCGCTGTTTCTTTGTTCGATCTCAGCGGCCGTGATGCCATTTTCATTATGGCATTTCGGCAAGAGTGAGCACCATCGCAAGACACAGTTGCAAAATCCAAGGCGACAGGCTGCCCGGCAATTTGGTAAGGCCGCTGCACTTGTACGGCATGAGCCATATAAAGGAGGGTCTCAGTACCAGACACCAACCATCCTCGCTTCTGGGTAACATCGTACAAACATATTGAAAGCTCGTCCGCCTCGTCGAGCACTCTTTCAAGTCTGCTTTGGCCTCCGGGAAATACAGGGGTTTCCTTTGCCCCGAGCGCAAAGCTTAGTCCCATAGTTCCAAAGTTTTGAAAGCCCAATTGGAAGTCCGTCAACCTGATAGATTTGCTAGCTTCTTTAGCTTTAGAGAGACCTATGAGCCCATAATTGATAGATTGTGTGCCAAGCTGGGATCCACAGCTTTCAGACCAGGACAAAAGAGCTCTGGTCGCGATCATTGAGTCATGATCAAAATCTGAAACAGGCAATCGAAGTGGCCATTGAATCTTGCTGTATTTCATTCGTTTGCCATTTTCGTTCGTTAATAAGTGCCAGTGTACAGACTTCCCTTCTTGCTTCACCGGCACAAGCGCAGTTGAAAATCCCTTCAACACGAGCCCTCCTTCGTGATAAACCGCGCTGCGTGCTCCACACAGAGCTGCCAAAATTTGAATGGGTGCTTCGAGACCAACCTCATCGTTTTGACGGATGGGAATCGGGAATCCATCCGCGATTAATGGATTCCGGAAAAGTCCCAACCAACACAGCTTCTCCTCTTCCACTAACCGTGATGTATTAAACCGCATGTGGTAGGTAACTCCATCAAACTCTGTTTCGCATGTTGATATTTGCACTTCTTCCTTGTTATTGAACCGCATCACGCTCCCAAGCCAGGCCATGATTTGCATTACGGCAATAGCACTTTTTCGTGAAGTGTTTTTAATTAAGACCTTTGTGTTTTCCGACAGCTGTAAAAACACAGTCCCTTCATGAATTTGACCTGAAAACTCAGTCAGCCATCGAACATGTCTTGTTTTGTCTGTTGGAGCAAAATCAGTTCAAACATGAGGGTAACATACTGTGTTCAACAATTCCATCGAAAGTGTCTTGAAGCCGTGACAGCAGGGATGGGCCAACTTCAGGCCAATTTCTGGAAACATATTCTCTACACGTAGTTGCTTCACAGTATAAGGGTGATCCAGTGACGGCAACTATGGAACCTATTTTTGGACATTTATCCGCACCATATTGTGTTGCCATGAACTTGCGTAGATTCCAATCTATATCTAGTCGAATGTTAACAGAACGTTTATCGCCCGAATTGCCGTAATTGGTAATGAGGTTGTCTATGTGGAACATTTTCGCGGACCCGTCGTAGTACATTTGTTTCGCCCGATCGAAGAAATTACAAACAGATTTTGTTGTCTGCCAAAACTCAAGATCTTTCATCAAAGCAATTGCATATGCTAAGTCTGCTTGTGATATCCACGAACTCATCAGTATTTCTGGAGAAGTCTTGGGCTCATTATAAGTCTTGCTGCCCCTTTGACTTTGCCTGCCGGGCCTGTTGGTCGAAAATGATAGCCACTCTATTCTCGCAACTATTTCGGACAATAAACAGAGAGCTGAGCACCAAACAATATAGGAATTATGTCCAGCAGCCTCGCGGCGTGCCAATGATATTGAGGCCCCTAGTTTATGGTGAAAATATTTCTTACTTAATCTAGCAATGGAAGCAGGACATCGATTTCTCACTCCTGGCCAGTTCATGAATGAATTTGCAAAGACCTTAACAAACTCGCCAGCCAGTAGATAAAAGGAACCATGCACCACTTTTGACTTGGCAGCCGCGTTTGACTTATCCCAGTGTGATTGCGGAACCGAGGATACTGTGAGAGGTGTAACGTTCATTTGTAGCTCAGAAGTGGTATCAGGTTCCCAATCTGATGTTACTGTTATCGCTTTTTCTGAATGTGACGGGAGAAAATGGCGTTTGTTTATCCGAGCTGCAGATTCTACATTCGTTCGAGGTGCTGAAAGCAATGCCCTACTCTCTTCTGGAACTACAAGTGGAGGAATCATGCTCTGATCTGTCGATTTCGGAATAGCATTCTTCATAATCCTCGCCCGAACAGTGCTTCTCGACTGTAAAGCTGAGGATCCAGTTGTTGATGGACTTGAAGTTTGGTTTGGCAATAGTACATTTGTTGGTAAAGAGCTGTGAGCATTATTTCTCCTTCTGCTATTCGTCGTGCTCGCTATTTTGCCGAGTTTCTGTGATGCTGAAAGATTTTGTTGATCTTGGCGAACTAAAGCATACGCTAATGCTTCGGGATTGGCAGCTTCGGTATTGGCAGCAACAGCTCTGTCTACTTCTTTCTCTTCTTTTGAGCGATCGTCTGATATGATTGTACTAAAAACCTCTTCCTGTGGTGTCGTTCGGGTACCTCTATATGTATCCTCGTACACTCGTTGAGGCTCTCTCATAGCACGAGATTCTTCTAATAGTCCTGAACTTGACAGGAGAAAGTCAATCGAATGGCTTCCCATGTGATCCAGAACGTAAAAGTCTGGTTGAAAAAATCTTGCCGGGGAAATGTTATTGTCTCTCACATGGCTAGCAACATGAAGCATTCTAGCCTCCCAGCTCTTATTTCGGGCATCCAAATCCGGGATGTTTGATCCGAATACTTGTTTGCACCATGCACAACTTGACTGTCTTGGGGGTCCGTAGTGCCTGAAATGAGCGATGCTGTGCTCGATCCAGTAATCCACAGATTGGATGTCAAACTCCGTAGAGCATCCCAGACACCAGAACTCACAACGGAGCTTGTGATTGTTGCCGGATAATAATTCGGGCTCCAACACTGTAAATCTCTTCAAATTTGAAAGAGTATGCTCATATTTGTATCCCGGATCAATTTTGAGATCCGCTCTGTAAGAAGCTTCCGTCTTCGCTGCTTGCCCTAGATTTGATGGACGCGGCTGTTTCGTGTCATGTTGTGCGCTTGTCGGGACTAAGATCCGTTCATCCATTATGGAATGAGCAGAGACCAAGCCTGAATAAGGTCTAGGTGTTCTTTCAGCCATTCTTAATCTGTTCCAGATCAGCTCGTGATATTTTGAATGTTAGGAAATAAGTTTCTGTTGTTTGAAGGCAGGTGAATCTTCAACAAGGCTCTGCGGCTGAGAAAACTGCCTAGAAGCCTACGCCAGCTGGAACCATCGAATCAGAGCTATGTGTAACACACCAAGATTGGAGAGGGGCTTTAAACCAGATTCAAATGTGGGGCTTCATTGATAGTATTTCCGCTGGCTATCTTGTAGATTACGTGCTTCTCTTCTAAGACGTCGTAGTTCGTCAGTGTAAGCTGGACTGTCGCTTTGAGGTAGATGATAGGGTGGGTTCATTTCCGGGGCAGGCACTCTCTGATACCTGCCAACCTCATGAGTGGTGGAACTGGTGGCAAGTCGTTCGACATTATTCCTACCGTTACTCGCAGAATCGCGAGAAGTGGATGCACTTCTCTGGAATTTAGGAATATCCGTAGATTCATGTGCTACTGCGGTGAAGCTCGATCTTGTTGGTAGCTGGAGGTTCTTGGCAACATTTGCTTTCTTTTTCGATGAGGACTGGCCAGCGGATACAGCGGAAAAATTATCTTGGTAAGCTTCGCGCTCACGTTCTACGATCTCAACCTTAGCAGAGGCCTCATTTGATCTGTCCAGCTCATCTATACTATCTTCTAGCGCACGCATTTCTGTAATCACTGAAAGCTGATTGCTGTCAGGGAGACAAGACTCTTGCTCCAGTGGGTGCTTGCCTTGAGAAGAAAACATCCCGGGGAAGACACCCACAATGATGCAGCCAGTCCCAATGAGAGGCCCTGCTGGCAGAAGAGACGTCAACGTGAGCTGAGATTTTGTGATAATTCTGAAAAGACGTGGACAAGAGCAAGTGAGCCTCTTCAAGCAGTTGCAAATAGGACTAAGTCTTTCGCTCCTATGGGCATTTATGCCGTATAATGCCAGGTTTCCTTCGCTATCAGGCTGCCCAAATACATGGCAAAGCTTTTGGACAGTCATGGCTAAGAAGTCGTAGTCTGTAGGGAGACTCCTTATACCCGCATGGACGAAGGTATGTGCTGGATCAGGCTTGATGAGATCACCCAGATGGCTTCCGAATAGAACCAAAGTATCGGATACCTTCACTAGAGATGGCCAACCACCATTAGAATTTTTAAGCGACACCTGTCTTCGACGAACGATGCTTTTGCTCATGGCTATATCCAAAATCTCAAAGCCTTTCAATTTCTGTCGCAAACTCATTTTGATGGCCATTCCACTTTTGACCTCCATCTTGGATGCAACAGTGTAGAGACGTGACCAAAGGTCAGTAACCAAATTTTTCACGAAATAGTCCTCAGAGGAAACCGACTTGTCGGATAAGAGACACAGCGAAGCCATGCGCATCAAAGAATTCCTGCATTCCCTTTGACCATCGCACCCTGGCATCGCGTATCCTATCAGCACGGGCTTATTCTTAATAGCATATGGGCTCTTTTGGTGTTTGACGTGTATCATATACAAGAGAATTTCGGTTGCTGAGACTAGCCATGCTCGTTTCGTAGCAATGTCGTATAAACATATCGACATTTCGTCGGCACTGTCCAGGATTAATTCGAGACGACCACTTGTAGTCATGTATGACGGTTGATCTTGTCCTCCAATTGTGAAGTTCAAAGCACCGGTTGCATTGTTTGAAAATCCAATTGAGAATCCAGTTATCTCCACTCCTCTGCCAAGGCGACCAGCACCAGAAGTGGTAATGGTTTCGTACTTGACCATGTTGGTGCCGAGATATGATTCAGCTCTATCACTCCAAGCTATGAATGCTCTAGTTTGGAGAATGTCCTGTTGATTGAAAGTTGTTATTGAGAGCCGTTGCGGGCATATGAGATCCACTTCGCTATATTTTAGAAGCTTTCCTGTTGTGTTACTGATCAAGTGCCACCGAACAGAAGGAAGAGACGCTTCAATCGGCACCAGAATGCTCGAGAAGCCCTTGACTACAATTCCTCCGTTGTATTCCACTGCATGATCAGCGCTGATTAATGCTGAAGCCATTCGAATGTGAATTTCGATTCCAAGCTCATGGCATCGCTCAGCAATAGGAAACTCTCGTGCAACGACAGGTTTGCCAAATAGATGCAGCCAACAGAGCTTTTCGGCGCTGACAAACGGAGCCTGGAAGTTGTCAATGGACAAATCTCCGTTTCCTAAGACCTTGATGAAAGCTTCAGAATAGCAAGTTTCTGTTGTTTGATTGATAGTGAAAACCGCTGCTAGCCACACAAGGATTTCGACAGCAATTTGGATATCGATTTCACCGCCGGTGAGCGAAATTTTGCTTCTACCTTGCCGGACTGTCATGGCCCAGTGTGTAAATTGTTCTAGTTAAATTAGCAGATGCAAGCTCTTCGATTTCGGGCTGCGTCACGTACCTGATATTTCGCCAGTCGGCTCATTAAGAGATGCTTGTAAAATAGATAACACTTTCTCCCCTGCTCCACCCCAAGTCTGCTTTAGATAATCGCCGCAGGTAAGCGCCTGGCAATAAAGAGCAGATCCGCTAATAGTGATAAATGACTCTATGGCAGGGCTGGGTTTCTTGCCATACTGACTGTTGACAAATTTCGGTATGTCCCAATCCATTTGTAAGTCTGCCGCATAGACCTCATCTCCAAGTTGTCGCAAATTTTTGCTATTAACAATCTCACGGATTTTAGCAATTTTTTTCCTGCCGTCAAAGTACAGGCCGTGAAAGCTTTCAACAAGGTCACAGAGCATTTGCATCGGAACAATAAGATTGGTGGCGCCAGCAATGTCGGCAATCGACTTGTCCAAAATTGTATCTGCTAGTAGGCTGTTGTCGTTCCTGAATACACTTTTCCCTACAGATGCACTCATTAGTGAAATGTTTTGCTCCATTCTTTCCCGCACGTTTACTGCTATCCTATGAGCTAAATCATTTATTACTTTGCAAGCAGTTGAGTCTCTGTAGCCTTTACTGCGTGCTCCTGTAATCATTGACAATTTAGCAGCGAAGACTCTTATCAGCCTCCCAACTTTGACGTCGAATCTATCCCGCGATAGTGTTGATTTTACGGCACACCCACGTCGCATTGAACCTGGGTAGTTCGACATTACGTATGTGAAGGTGGCAATGAGGCTGTAAGCCGTATTGCTCTGTTCTAGCGCTATTCTACTCTCGTTGAAATCCCTAGTCGGCGAAGGCGATAGGCGGTATCTCGAATTGTTGGAAGTTGTGCCTATAGCCTCAGCCTGTATTCCTTTTGGTTGATGTATTTGCACAATTGAGTAATACGAGCGAGTATGTGGATCCTCTCGGCGTAGAGATCGTTTGTTTCTAGACCGCAATCCTGAAGCATCGAGGTTCCGTTGGCGTTTTCGCAAAGCGAATCTCTTCTCCTTATCTAGAATGTCATGCTCATGCGCCCTCAATTCATCGTCATAAGAATTCTTCGAGTCCCATGCCCACGCACGATTTTCATCCTTTGTTGACCAAGTCCAAATACTCCGGAGCAAACTATCGCCGGCTCTTCTGGACAGCAAATCTTTTGAAACGAGGTATCTCACTATAGACGAATCAGGCTTGATCTTCTGGGAGTGTGACAAACATGACCCTTGAAAAGGGAGATGAGTCCTCACGTGTAGCATTCGGTCTCGCCAAAGCAGGAATCTCGGCTGGTCTGTATCGGCGAGACGAAAAACTTCGGGACAAAAATTGCAGTGAACCATTTCGGGTGGTTCGTGTGGTGAGAAATGGTTTGCAGTATGGGCTACCCAGTCTTCAAGCTGATCCATCGGAAATTCCAAGTGGCAATCTAAGTAGTGGAATTCGCAGCCCAGATTGTGATGATGCAGTTCGGTTACATCGCACTGATGAAGGACGACATTGCTGGGGGGTGAGTTTCGAAGGACCTTGTACAAAGGTTTTCTTGCATTCTCTCCACCAGAGAAAGATGGTAGTGAGGTTGCAGCAGTGTCGCTGGGGTCATCAGAGCTGCCCTCCTCCCCATGACTACGGCGCAAATTGGTAGCCACGTCGCTGCTTTCGGAGGGTGTTGGATTGCCTCTATTCGTGTATGAGATACTCGTATCAGTAACATCAGATCCGAGCACCAAAGGCCCCAAGCTTCGTGTGATGCCAGTAGCGGTAACCAAATCGGGCTCATCGAGACCTCTAAGATAATGCGCGACGCGCTCGCTGTATCCACGCTGGCTGGATCCCGCCATCTTGACTCATTTGTAACGCTTCTAATCGCAAGTCATTATTGTCGAAATGCGGGACGAACAGGTCGTCAAGCACAGTTCAACTGAAATGATGGTTTTGTGCTACACAATTCTATGCGGCTGAATGCAAGCGCCCTATTATGCAGGTAAGTCTGGCCCAATAAGGTAGCAGGATAACAGATACCCCGTCGGGATTTCAGAAATACATGCTTTTGTTTAGAACATAATACATATGTGAAAATGTAGTATAGAATAAGTGGGCATTAATTCGTAAGAATAGTATTATACTAATAAATTTCCTTTATGACTAGCAACAAACCTGACGCGAGCGTCTCGGTAGCCTCCGGGAATATTAGTAATAATGTTCATACGAAGAGTACGGTGTATATCTAGATAGCAATACTTGCATAGCGTAGATTTAGGCGAAATCGAAATTAGATATTATTCTTACAAGTTAGCGTTCATCAACCAGATTTCAAAGTACAGTTTAGGCTTATCAGAAAAACCACGTGATCTAGACTCTACACTCTTCGCTAACCCCGTAACTACCTAGGTAGGTAGGCCCTCTCAATCTACAAATATCCTAGTAGATTTTAGAACATTTTGTTTACTAAGAATAGTAAACGAAATAAACGACATTGTGTCAAAATAATTAAATTCACCTCGTGTTTAACTACTACCTTTTTGTCTACCGCGAGCCTTCCCACAATCTTGATTCAATTTGATACCGTACGAATTTGTAGTAAACGCGTAATAACCCCAAACTCTGTCTAGCCTCAGTTGTATCGACTTCATGATATCGCTACTCCCGATCAAGCAAGAAAGGTCACATCATAGATTACATGTATCACGCAAAGCAAAACCGAATGTGTCGTAAAAACTTATTCAAATTGGGGTATCATAAAACCATCAAAACCGCCAACGCCATGCACTTTTTAGACTCTGTACAAAACTTCACATATCCCAAGCCTGCGTCTCCGGCTCCATCATCCGTCCCTTCCCCTTCTGACTGCTCATTTCACCAGAAGTTCGCCTTCCAGCTGATGACCTCCGAGAACCCCCCCCACTATTTAATGCCTTACTGTCACCATCTCTTGCCCTCTCATCACTACCCGTGCCAAAGTCCGTAGGCAACACCACAGCCTTCGGCTTCACGCAATATCTTTTCCCAGGTGTACTCGCAGGTGTTGATAACCTTGATAAACTCCCAGTACTACTCTGTCTCCTGACAAACTTGGCCCAGCCTGCTTCATCTGGGGGTCTTTTCGTCTTGATCTGCACGACATGTGTTGAAAACGGTGGTCTGGCAGCGGAAGATGGAAGGGCTGAGGAACGTCTGTGAAGGGGAGCAGGAGTTGGAGTGTTTTGAAAGGGCAGTTTGGGGCGTTTGAAAGGTTGTCCAATGCTGGAAGGCGAATGCTCTATCTTGCGCTTTACAACACGACGTTGCGCTTCTAGAGCGAGACTCCTTCCGTCAAGGCTCTTACTTTTGGGCCCATTACCCCTCTCTCGAGGAATTTTTGCACTTCCACTTCCACCATTGGTAGTCCATTCGAGTGTCTCTAATACTTGATCCCAGTCGCCGGGAGATTCATGTGTTCCGGATCCCAGAATTGGTGATGCTGGTGAATCTCGCTTAGACCGCAAAATAGGAGAGATTTTGGAAGTCCGCTGCTTCGCCAACGTTGGCGAAGAAGATCTTGCGCATAAGACTGGCACTTTTCCGGAACTCGAAGCTTGAGCTGTATTTTTCTTCCATGGCAGATGTCTAGCAGATTTTAAGTTTGACGATGTTGATACGGAATTCTGCTGGGGCCGTGGAATGGGACTAGATAAGACTTGATTCCTAGACATAGTGTCGACCACCGATTTCTGGGATTTGACGTTGGATTTAGGCGCCGAAGAAAACATCAATCGGATCTCGTCAACACGTTGCTGATCAAGCGTTGATATTGCTTGACCCAGATTTTCTGGTGTGACAATTCGGAGTGAGTGCTCGGGGTTCATCTCCCTCTGAGCATAAAATTGGCACCCCGTGACAGCCTTGGCTTTTGTTGTCGCACCAACATAGTCCACAAATTCCGTAGACACAACGTGAATGAAGTCGTCGCACAGTGACCTATGGACCGGGTTACTGTTCTTCGAGAGCCACTCCATATAAACCAGAGTCCAAGTAAATCCGTTGACGCTGCCCTGATACTTCGGATACGCAATTTTAAAAGCCTGATAGAAGTCTGTAACAGAACCATCCGATGTGTTTGACCGTTGGGGTAGAGAGTCATCCTGTGTGTTCTCCGTGGTCGAAGGTTCGATGCACGTATTGACCTGCCTATATGGTGATGAGCCAGAGGAAGCAGATTTATGCGACCCCATCCTTTCAGCAACGATTTCTTCTCTTTCCATTTCCCAAGTGGTGGTTCCTGGCCTTGACTCGATTGAATCATCAACAAAAGGAATTAGCTGTGCGGGTGATTTGTGAAGCCTTATTGGCGATGGTTGAGTATCCGCAGGATTTTCTGAATCGTGTTGCGGAGTCTCTGTCAGGTTTTTGCTGAGAAATTGATGGCGCTTAGCTCTGGCCATCTCTTTTGGACCTTGTATAGGGGGTTCTTCATTAAGAGTCACAGCTATGGCCGCGCTGTAACGTCTTTGCTTTACAGGCGTAATTACCCGGTGCGGCCTAGCCAGAGCTGAAGTGCTGGGCTGTGGCTGTGGCTGCATTTCATGAACAGATGGAATGGAGAGCACAGGAGTGGTTGGAATATTTGTATGGCTACCGGATGTTTTAGATCGGGGTAAAGTATCTTCGACTTCTGGGGAAATGTTCCGCGGCGATGAGCTTCTGGAGGGGTGTTTCAACGGCGGAGGTGAGCTTGTGAATTCGTGATCGGCGAGTAAGAATGGTAAGCTTGCCTCGTTCGGCTCTTGCTCCAGTTCATTGCTGATGGAGAGGTAGATGTCATCAGCAATCTTGGATGCCTCAGCTTCGGCGTCAGCAGACGTAGAGTTCTCAAGTTCAGCTTGTTCTAAAAAGTGGTTCGTGTTGTTGCTAGCTGTGGCGAATCCTGTTGCGTGCTGACTTGCATCTGCACATGTGGCAGGAACCACTCCGTCTGAAGAAACGGTAACAGGCTTTTCAGCCTCAACCAGCCTATCGCTGTGACCACTAAGACGAGGTGTGTGAGTATTGACGAACGGTGACTGCTCTACTTCAACTATCCCAGTTCTTGCACCAGCCGTTGACGGAAAATCCTGCGACGTCTCTGGGACTTGGACGGTCTTTCCATTTTCAGCTTCCACAGGGTCTCCAATGGCGTGAAGCTCATCTTCCTCCAGTTCGTGTTCGGAACTTGAACTGTTTGGAAATTGAACTTTCAATACTCGAGGCGGATGGGGTAGCTTTTCACGCTCACTGATGCTTGAATGGCGTGGAAGTTCAATTGCATCGTCGCCATCATCTAACCCATCGATATTCGACGCGTTCGACATATCAAAGGTAGGAGTGGGAAATACGCCCATAGTAGCAAGAGTCTGATGCTGGTGTGCTTCCGGACTTGAGGTCCAGTGGTCATCAGGGTTACTAGCTTCATCGTCTGGGGGTTCTCCAGGCTCTGGCGTGCCTGTGGGAGGGGAATAGTTCGGTAAGGACGATAATCTTAATTGTCTTTCAATTTGATCTTCGGCACTTCTATACTCGTCCTGGCTAACCTCATCAGCTTCCCCCTCACCTTCTAAGCTGTCGCCATCCAAATCGAGATTAACCTCGGAAGATTCGACACCCCCCAACTCGACTGCCGGGCGTGAAGCAAACGCCAATAAGTGTTCTCGCACTTCGTGAGGAAGAGTGGCGTAATGCTGCTGTGAATTTGATAAGGGAGCGTACCATGCGTCGCCCCTATCTAATAGTTTTTGTTGATCGCGGGAGACCCTGACAAATCGTCTAGGAACTCGCTTCTGCCCTTGAAATGGATTTTGGATGAGGGATGAATCAATTACTGGCGGAACACTAGGGGTGTTTCCTTCTGGTTCTCTTACCGCAGAGCTTCTATCCGACGCGGTTCCGGATCTAGGAGTCGTCGAGCGCTTGCTTTTCTCAGACGTGAGGGAATCTTGTGATTGCACGCTCTGGCGTATGTTGGCTCTCGAATCTAGCTTCGACGTGATGAGTACAACCTCCTTTTCAGAAATTTGTGATAGAAAAACTGGCTGTGATGACTTCTGTTGCGGAGAAACGATCGGAGATTTATTGTCTTGCCAAACTACAGCCTTTTTAGCGGTCTTTGGATTCGCTTGTGCGAGAAGTTTAATTAAGGCGTCTGGACCAGAAATTGCACCTTCCGAAATTGCAGCGGCCGGTTGTGGAGCGGGACTTGGATTCCTAGGAAACCGAATCTGGGTTGAGAACAGGATCTGGGTCGCTGGCTCCATGCTTCCAGCTTGGGGCTGAGATCTAAAGGGCGACGAAGACGGCGATCGGTGCATTTCTAAATCCAGGGATTCCACCATAGCTTTAAGCTGGCTTATTTTGGACGAAACGGGGTTCCCTTTCAAGATGTCGACAGGTGTGCCAAAAGTTGACAGAGTCTCAGACTTTGACACTTTGAAATCTTTCACCTCAAATAGCAGCCGATCGCTTTTGTTTGAAGTTGGATCCAGAACCTTGAGTCGAGGTTAATAAAAGAACCATATTTACCAAGGCAAGACTCACTATCTGATACTGCTTCACGCTGATGATGGTACCCTGAGTAGGCTCGCGAGGGTCCCGAGTGCGTATTTTAGCCCTAACACTATTTTTGCCGTCAGAGACAGTTGCATAGTGGTATTGGTCGGTAGCAATTGAGTGAAACTAGATATTCTTAGCCAACTCTTTGAAAACTACCCAGGTCGGTTGCTTACCGCAATGACTTGGACAAATCTTCCTTTCCCTCCTTCAATTTCAAGGTTGCCATTGGGGGTAAGAAAATCTGCATAGCGAGTGACAGCTTTCTCAAGCCTATCGCACACTACAGATTCTAGCCAAGGTTGCAATGAATTCATCTTGAAAAGGCGATATCACGACTACATTGACGGGACCAACGGTGTATCTCAGTGTTTTCGGCTGACTGTAGTCTTTCCGGCCGAGGAAAGAGTAGACGTTTTGGGAGAGTGTTCGAAGCTTACATTTCAATGCGCTCTTTCTCCGATCCAGGCCCTTATAAAAAGAACCATATGGCCACACAAGACGATTAACAGGATGAAGAGGCCTAGGAAGACCAGTCGTAGCGGCAGCAGTGGTGGTAGTGGAAGAATATGGATACTGAATTGTCAGCGAGCAAACGCGTCGTTACAGTTTGAGCCTCACAAAAAAGTGTGGAGAACGCGACGCGACGGAATGGCCGAGGCTTTTGTCAAGAAAAGCTAGTCTTCATGGGCAAATGCCGGCCGGTCCCGACTTGGTGGTGGCTCGTGCACCTGCAACATCGCATTTCCATTTCTGATGGGCAAATTCATGTTTCGGGCCTTAGAGTTTAGGCCATCAGGCTGCCATACAACGGTGGGTTCCGAGATCATTGGATGAGAGGGGCCGTTGCTTTGCGACCCCAACATCGCGAGCCCTTGCCGTGGGTGGTGGAACTTGAAGATGACTTGGTCTTGCAGAAGTCCTGTATGCACTCATCTTCTTCCTCAGCTCAGCAACGTCCCACCCACGCGCGCTAGAATACCTCTTTTGCCTCTTTGGAATGTCGAGCTGCCCACGCTGAATAATCCTGCCTTCAGCCTCCAACTGCACGCCGCTTCTCATAATAAAAGTCACCAACTCCTTCCTCAAACTGAACCACCCTTTTGAGGTTCGAACTAGCAGCTTATATAGCAGATGCGCCAGACTAAATCAAGTCTTCGATAATCTCGCTCTCCACAAGCCTCTGATCACCCTCGGCTACCTGTGACCCAATGGTATTTACTTCCTGCCCACATTCTGTACAATCAATACTGGCTGCAAACTGACAACTGTGCCAGCATAGCAGGTCGGCGTCAACTAAGGCAGTCCGCATTTCATGACATGTTACTCTGCTTCGAAAGCCGTCCTTGCGGCAGCTATCACCCAACCTGAACCGGTGTTCGACCTTTCCGTGCAACAGTCGCTCCTTAATATACAAAATACACTCAATTACAAATCAAGTGTATCACGAGCTGGAATAACTCTACCGCCATGTCCAGCAACGACTCCCCCAAAGCTTCACCCTTCATTCAGCTCGGGCTGCGATCCCGCCGAGGCTCCCTTGCTTCACTTTCTGGAGCGACCCCGATAGACAAGGAGCAGCTTGCTCAAGCACTCGACAAGATACACAGCACCGCCTGCCAGTCTGAGACCTTGACGACATTCAACGAGTTCGGTTCCCCTCCAGCTTCGTCCACCAATACCGAGAGCAAAGGCTTAGCTGGGGATCTCATGCAAAATGGACTCAGTGGTTTATACAGTCGGTTTCGAGGAGCGGTGGGTGGGGGGGTGAAAGAAAGGGCAACATCGATGTCGACAAAGAGTGAGCATGAGGGGTCAGAGATTAGATCAATAAAAAGCCAAAAGGGCGCAGCACCGACTTCTAGAGGGCCCATGGTGCCCAGTCGGGAAGACAGTGGTGCTGGACTAACTTCATCTCCCATCCCTCTGTCAACGTCCTCTTCTCAAGTCCAGTCACCTACCACCGCCTCGTCCTTTATTGGTCGCCCATCAGAGAGTCAGTCGCAGACTTCCAAGTCCTCAAAAAGCACCTTGATCAACACGCCTGCAACAACCAAATCAGTTTCATCAAGCAGGCCCTCTGTAGCGTCGATGAGCAAGAACTCAACCGCTTCCGCAGCGATCCCTACAGTCGCGACAGTCAATGCTTTCAAGTACGGGGATAAGGAAAGGAGGACGTCAGAGCACCAAAAGTCGGTGACAACCGAGTCGTCGTCTTCGACGCAAGAACTGCACGACCGCCAATCCGGCTTTGCGTTTGGCGATCCTCGCCATGCTAGCCTCGCTCTAGAAGATCAAATGTTGTTGGATGAGTCAGAAGTCACTGACGACGATAAAACCGAGGATGGCAGACCAAAGATTGTTCCCCAGTCGATTCAAGACGCCTTTGGAGCGGATGGTAGCAGTGAGCCACGCCGGGTACCGACCGGTGGTCCCAAGACCGCATCGACGGCTCTCTCGTCACTCCAAGCAACAGATGTTACGCGTTCTAGCTCGTCATCGCGACGAGATACGCTCGAAGGAGTAAAGCGACCAGCAGCTATTGAGCGCATAACCCAATCGCATCTTCCTGGGTATCATTCGTCGCGGGCATCTTCGACTGATCGCAGCCTAGCGGAGGCAAATCTGGTAAACACATCTGCCCATAATAATGTCCGACATGGCTCGTTCTCAGTTGAGGACAATAACAGAGCGCCCTCTGGCATCCATCGTATTCCTGGTACAACGAGCAACGAAGGAGCCCCAGAAGCTGTCAGTGCAAGATTGGAACAGATGAGGAAGCAGGTCTTGAGTAAGGAGTTTTGGATGGCCGATGAGATCTGCAAAGAATGTTTTCTTTGCGGAGATGCATTCTCGGCATTTCTTCGAAGAAAACATCATTGCAGAACTTGTGGATGTATCTTTGATTCTAAATGTACCTCCATCATATCTGGCCAGCGCTTCGGGGTACAGGGCTCACTGAGAGTGTGCAAGACCTGTCTTGATATCATCAACAGAAGACATGATAGCAGCGGTTCTGAAGATTCTGCCGATGATTCGTCGTTGCCGACATTCTTTCATTCTCAGCAGGCTAAATTTGAAGCCAGCAACAAGTCAGAGACCACTGACCCTCTAGATAAACTTCCAGTGGGAGCTACCCTTGATGCTCAGGGAAATCCAGTTCCAACACCCATGATGGCGATCCCTGCAACTAGGAGGATAGGGGATTCGGCCAACAGGCGATCAGCAGTCCTTGAGATCGATGCCCCCCAATTAAGCCGGCCAAGCTCGTCCAAATCACTAAGAGCTCTTTCAGTGGCCGGTCGACCTCTATCTGCTGGGCACAAGCGTCATTCATCCAAGCACAATTTTCTCGGGCGTTTCAAGGCCACTGTTGAAGAAAGAGCCCCATTTCACCGTGGAGCTACAGAAGATATGAACAAAAAATCACGGCTCCCTGCCTTTCATGATGACAACATCATCGATCCAGATCTCGCTCCATACATGTCTGACGAAGGCTCAAGTGGCGATGAGCAAATGAGCATTTTTGCCACCATGAACGCCAGTAGTGTAATAAATCCAAGTTTCGAGAATGATCGCTCTGGGTTTGGTTCTTTGATGAGCGCTAGCAAGAGAAACAGAGCGCGAACTAATGAAAAGAGTGTCAGCGGTATCAGTTTCAATAGTCGAGCTCCTGATGATGGACTCAGCACACCTTTGAGTGGATACACAAGACCTAACAGAAGGCGAAATCTCAGCGCGGCCAGTAATCATCTGCATCACGCGCGTGCTTCACCGAGGACCATAGTTCACGGATTTGGTAATCTTGATGAGGAAATGCTCGGCCAAGAGAACTCGTCTAATGCTTCGTCACTTGTTCCTCCTCGAGTAACAAGAAGTGCTTCTATGAGAGACGGGAAAGCCCCCAGCATTGAGCTGAACGATGCGAGCCTACATCACGTGCGAAGGTTGTTAAACCAGTTGCTTCAGGATAACCACATACCGAATGTTTCCTCTTGGGAAAAGGCCCTGATACCAATTTTGTTGCAATGTACGGATGACGTTAATCCAAATGTCCGACAAGATGAAGACATGGATATTCGCCATTTCGTCAAAGTCAAGAAAATACCTGGCGGCAAGCCTGGAGACACTTCCTACGTTTCTGGCGTGGTTTTTACCAAGAATCTTGCGCTCAAGAGTATGCCACGAACGATATCAAACCCAAGAATTGTCATTGTTTCTTTTCCAATTGAATACCAAAGACATCAGCAACATTTCATGAGCCTCGAACCAGTAATCGCCCAGGAGAAGGAGTTTCTGAGAAATATGGTTAACAGAATTGCTTCTCTGCGTCCTCAAATCCTTTTGGTTCAAAAATCCGTCTCTGGTTTGGCACTGCAATATCTTGCGGAGGCCAATATCGCTGTCGCTTACAATGTCAAGCAGTCTGTGATTGAGGCCGTTTCCCGATGCTGTTCTACAGAAGTGATTAGCTCTATTGATATGGTCGCTCTTCGGCCTGTCCATATTGGCAGATGCGCTGGGTTTGACATCAAGACTTTCGTCCACAGAGACATCCCGAATCGGAAAAAGACCTACATTTACCTTTCTGGGTGCCCTAAGGACCTCGGGTGCACGATTGCGCTACGTGGTGCGAACCTGAGTGTTCTTTCCAGAATGAAGCAAATCACTGAATTCATGGTCTATGTGGTCTACAATCTCAAGCTAGAAACGTGTTTAATGCGCGACGAGTTTGTGCTTATCCCCTCGGTCGCTGAGAGCAGTGGTAGCATCTCGCCGACCTTACAGCGCACATCTTGGGGCAATAGATCATCGAAGGGCAGTACTGTTGCACCTCCCGAAGCATTGAATGCTGCCAACGACAAGCTTCAAGCTGTTGCTGATGCTTCATCAAATAACCGGGATACTGCCACAAATGGCGAAGATGCTGGTGAAAACCTCGATCGATCCCAATCATCGAGCGCAGAAGCCAGCAATGCGGATATTTCTCAGTCAATTCAGAATGAGAACGCCGAACAGACTCTAACAACACCGAAATTCATTTCGGCACATGAAACACATACCCACGGTTCTAATGAAGACCAAATGCCAGAAGATATACCCATGCCAACATTCTACAGCGATATGGTTGCAAAGCACCAAACAAAAATTCTTTCTATATCGCCCTTCGTCAAATTTGTGCAACCCTACGTGCTCATGAGGGCACGAGAGCAAGAGAGACGATTAGCCTACTTGAAGCGACTTCGCGATAAGGATACCTTCGAAGAACAGACAGAGTCCGAAAAGACTAAACCACAGAAGTTCCAACTCATTAAGCCTGAGATGGTTCACGAGACAGTCAAAAGAGCTCCCAGGCAGATTATGGAGGTTCTCCACGCCGTCCATGATGCCGAGTACGACAAGGCGTTGCACAACTACCAGACTCAAACACGACAATGGGAGTATACCATACAGAGTAACCTTCACCTATTCGACCCTCTTGCGCATCAAAATATTACAGTTCTTCATACTCTAGTCTGTACAGCAACATCGGTTCCTTGTGCGGGTCCAGAACTCTTGTCTTTGGCGTTTTACAAAGAATTTGACCTTCCAAGACAAGAATTTGATCCCGACTGCACGCTTGGAAGCTACGTCGAAGATTTATGCCGAAGTATTAGCACAATTTGCACAGCGAATGGGTGCGATAGTAGGATGTCAGAGCATCACAGAACTTATGTCCACGGAGAAGCTCGCATAACTGTTTTCGTGGAAAAGTCACCATGTAAAATCAAGGGTCTACAAGATTCCATCTTGATGTGGAGCTATTGCAAGGTCTGCCAGAAAGAAACACAAGTCATGCCTATGTCGGAGAGCACCTGGAAATATTCACTTGGCAAATATCTTGAACTCTCATTTTGGAGCAGCGAATTGCGTCTTAGGGCTGGTTTCTGCCCACACGACATTCATCGAGATCATCTTCGTTACTTCGGATATCGGAACGTAGCTGTCCGCATACATTACGACCCCATTGACGTCCTGGAGATTGTGGTACCCCGTGCTAGAATTACATGGAAGGTGGATAACGATCTTAAACTCAAGAACGACTTATTTACCAAGGCCGAAGACAGATGGAATCGGTTCATGGCATCGGTCAACTCTAGGATTAAAGGAATAAACATCGAGAGCGTGTCGCCGGAGAAAGTTGATGATTGTAAAGCGGAAGTAGAGCGGCTAACGGAACGAGCTCACGAGGAGCATGCTGCACTCATTCGCAAATTACGTGGCCAGTACATGAATTCAAAATATTATGAGGTTATCCCTCTCAATAGAGCCATTCGAGCCATGCAAGAGAAGGTTGCTGATTGGGACAATGCATTTGCCGATTTTGACGCAAACTTCTTCCCATCCGAGAAAGATATCCGAAGACTAGCGGCATTGCAACTCAAGAAAATGTTTATTGATCGTGACGAGTCGTCACCTTCGGTGGTGGCTACAAGTCTTAACGAGACGACCTCCGACGTGGATGAAAAATCCCCTTCTGCTTCTGTAGAGCTCACACGGCAAGCTTCTAGTATATCTGAGACGGAAGTCAAGGAAGCACTTTCTTCGGCGGTCGAGGAAGATTCAAACACGTCAAGTCTAGCACCAACTGAAACCCCTCCTACAGCAATGACTATAGCAGAAACAAGCGACGCTCAAAATCTAGTATTAGATGCGGCAGGTATTGACCATCTAGATCTCGCTCTGCCCAAACAAGAAACAGAGGAGCCATTAGTTGCTTCAACGCCTACTCTACCTCCTCCCATAGACACCTCGGAAGCAGAGCCAAGCTTGTCCCGACAGCTATCAGCCACTTCCACATCAACCGACATCACGTTAACAGAGAAGGTCGAACAGCTTCGGAAGAATGCTGCTCTTGCTGCTTCCAACGGACAGGCAGAATCTCATCTCCCACGCCCAGCTGATCGTCCGCTAAGACGAAGTGCGACAGCTACCTCTCCTCCTATCGGTAGGACTCGATCAGGACCTGCTGCTGGCACCATTCGACGGACAACCATGACTTCGAAGGGTTCAAAGCATGATGGTAACATCGTAGATGAAAGTTCTACTATCGAACCCCTGAAACCATCCGCGACAGAACCAGTCCGCCCGACAGACAAGAGACTTTCGGAGAGGTTGGGGTTAGGAAGTATGAAAGCACATCGAAAAGGGCACTCCTTGATACCGCGATCGGTTCATGGGAAGCACAAGTCGGACTCTAAAGTATCCACACTAGCGAAACATTTCGAACAATTGAGTAGGGAGTTTGAGAGGGAGCGACAGCGTGATAGGAAACAACGTGCAGCAAAGGTCTCGCAATCACGAGCCTTCCCGAAAGCGTCTTCTAAGCCGATTGTCGAGGTTTATAGGGATGTGAATGAGGCTGTAGAACAGCGAGGGCCAACTGATGAAGACCTAAATACTGTACAACCGACACAGCCAAGTAACGAGCATACAGATGTAGTCAAAGGCCTCGCTGGTCTTAACACGGAAACCCCATCCATTGACACACCCCCACGATCGCCAACTGGTACCGCTTTAACTGCCGATGAGCCTACGACTGAAGCGGACGACGACCATCATCGTACTGTCAGTCAAACTGCTTCTGACGACGATGGAACTGTCAGCGACGTCGATCACTCCTTGTTAGATGACATTATCCCGGGAGCAGCTGAGATAGCGGAGTCATTATCCAAGCCAAATGCTGACATAGGACTTGAGTTGCCGAAACATGAGAAGACCAGCTTAATGAAGATGCTGACTAATTTCTGGGCCGAACGTTCAGCGAGTGGTTGGACCCCACTAGACTATCCAATCAATGCTGGAGATCACATATTCGCCGATGAAGATGTGATTATACGTGAGGATGAGCCAAGCTCGCTGATAGCATTCACACTTCAGTCTCAAGTATACAAGTCCAAATTGGAGGAGATTAGAGCCCATGGTGAGGCCAATAAGCATGAACAACCTCCATCCTCATCGGATTCCAATACCCCGGCTTTCTGCGAAGACGGTATAAATCAAGCAGAGGTTGAGACTTCATTGCTTCGTTCCACTGGGACACATCTTTCCTTTTCATTTTCTGACGGATCTGCACGCATGCAGTGCAAGATATTCTACGCCGAGCAATTCGATGCCGTTCGTCGAAAGTGCGGTGTTGCTGATCGAATAGTAGAATCGCTCTCGCGTTGTCTCAAATGGGATTCAAAAGGTGGCAAGACCAAGTCAGTCTTCTTAAAGACCTTGGATGATCGACTTGTTGTGAAATCTCTGTCCCCAATTGAAACGCAAGCTTTCCTCAAATTCGCTCCCGCTTATTTCAACATCATGGCAGAGGCGTTGTTCCACGAGCTTCCTACCGTCATTGCAAAAATGCTAGGATTTTATCAAATTGTGATAAAAAATCCTGTTACTGGGATGGAAATCAAATGGGATGTCCTTGTAATGGAGAATCTATTTTACGACCGACAGTTGACGAGAATCTTTGATCTCAAGGGCTCCATGCGGAATAGAAAGATTCAGTCGACTGGTGAGCAGAATGAGGTCTTGTTGGACGAAAACATGGTGGAGTACATTTATTCAACTCCACTTTTTGCTCGTGAGGTATGTTCGATTCTAAATCCCTTTGCTTTCATGAGAGGATACTAATTACGATTTACAGCATTCCAAAAGACTTCTCAAAGCAGCAATATTCAACGATACCTTATTTCTCCAACGCAACGACGTCATGGATTACTCCCTCATGATCGCTGTTGACGAAGCACGCAAGGAACTCGTCGTCGGGATCATCGACGTCGTACGCACGTATACTTGGGACAAAAAACTCGAGTCCTGGATTAAAGATCGTGGTTTCGCTGGTGGTGGACGTAATCGCCCGACTGTTACCTCCCCGAAGGAATATAAAAGCAGGTTTCGAGAGGCGATGGATCGGTATATTCTTTATGCGCCGAATAGTTGGCATCAGTGGGCGCCTGAGGAGAGGAAGATTGTTAGAGAGAGGGATAAGGAGGGGACGGATCCTTTTGCGTAGGTGGCGAGGGGATGGAATTACTCAGATGGTGGAGTTGCATTAGGGGGAGTATTTGTATAGTTTTTATTTTTGGGGCATTAGTTTTTAGGCCGAGGACATTACATAGCGTTGGCGTTGGAGGGAAAACGTTGCATTGCAGAGGCGGAGATTATGTTGAATAGCGTGTGTTGTAGAGATTATAGTAGACATACTTTCTTTATTCGACTGGGAGTTTATATGTGGTGTAAAACCTTGATGTTTATCAGTACTTAACCCGGGACCTGTAGTGGAATTGTAGAATTGGAAAACTACAGAAGTCTTTGCAGAAAATACTAATACTAGTATTTGTATGTCAACTCTATGCTTCTACTTAACTCTAGGATTAAGGTGTTCCATGTAGAAAGATGGATTCAAGTAGCAACCAGCCTTTTTTGTAATTATTCGAAAGAGTAGGACTCGAGAGTCTATACTAGGAAATCACATATATCGTAAAGCCTTGAAATTTAAAAATCCTACTTTCTACCTCTGGATAACTAAACCCTTAATACCTCCTCTGACCAAGAGCTAGCTTTATCCTACTAATTACCGGAACTGTACAAATCTAATGTAATAACAACTAATAGTAGAATAACCACACTTTCTACCCAAAACTAACATTCCCTTAATTCCTCTACGTAAACAGGCGTTTTTCTTTAGCCGAACAATATTAGCAATATTTAGTAAAGAGTAAGTATTAGAAAGTTGTTTTATAATTATATTACAATTATGGCAGTCTCGTAACGTACGAGTGAGTCTTGCTGTTGTACTACAGAACCTTTTTTTTCATCAAGACTCAAGTTCAGGGTATTGTAAATGCTGCAGTCATACAGTTGAATATACAAACTACGATTCCCACTTTGCTGGCTCTTCTTATCAGAATGTGAAGTGAAGTCTCGGATCTTGTACCTCTCTCTTGTTTACACAGAAAATTGTCCCAGGAACATCGTTCATTGGTTGGACACTTGTATTTAAAGCATACTTGGGTCTTTATCATGCCACTCTACCTGGTTTTAAAAAAAAGATTACACTGAGACATTGAACCAGAAGAATGATTATCAACACATCATCACAGTTCCACCCTCATGCACTTGTATGACTTAAATATTTCGAACAATCAATATATATATCTACTATAAACTTGCGTGATATATCCCAAAACGCCATATAAAATATTCATGCCAGCAATGCACTATGCACAACACCTCCATTCCATGTCATCCACCTCTTCTAAAATACATATCCCTTTTCCAACTACCTCTTCTCAACAAGCAAAACATGCATAGCGATATACGCTAACAGTATAAAGCCCGTCGCAAACCCCCCAAGACTAATAACATCCGTCCACAGCGCCTGTGTATCGAATCCAAAAGTAGTAAGGATAGTGGCGCCGGGAACCTCAATATTAAGACCGTATTTCTTGTCGCTGAGCGTGAGGAAGGTGACTTCGTTGACAATCAGCGCTTCGAATGCGTAGTGGAAGATGGAGATGCTTTGGAGCCAGAGCATGGATTTGGGAATGGCATCGTGGTTGAGGAGGAGACCGGCGAAGAGGAGGGAGAAGAGCATGACGAGACTTCCGACGAGGTTTGCGACGCCGCCGTCTTTGCAGACGATTCCAATGAAGAGACAGATTCCTGCGGCGGCGAGGTTGAATAGGACGAGGATGAGGATGAATTTGAAGAAGTTTGAGGCTTGTGGTTCGAGACCTGTCATGGGGTAGACGATTGAGCCCATGATGATTGGAGGGATTATGCGCAGGGGAACAATGTCGAAGACGATTTTGGCGAGGAAATAGGTTATTGGTGAGTAATAGCCGTTTGCTCTTTCTCGGACGAACAGCAGTCTTTCAGAGGCGAAGACTGTTAAACTCGTCAAAGTGCTGAAGCCGAAAAGGGCGAGGATAAAGAAGAAGAGTCCGAGACGATTCTGGAACCCTGCAATGTTGAGCGTAAGACCGTAGAAGAGATAGCCAGAGAGCACGGCCAGCAGAATTGCAATTGCGTAATGTGTAAGCATCAACATCGGGTTTCGATAGAGATTTCTCCAAGTTCGCTGTGAAAGAATCAAGAATTGTCGTGCGAGACTGATTCTCGCATATCCCTTGCCCATCGCTCCAGTGTTGATATTCCCATCTCCAACAGCACCAGCATTTGCCTGTCCGTTCGCGGTCTCTGCATTCGTAACAGCGGACCGTATTTCATCATGAATATTTCCAGCGATTTCGGAATGAGCATACGAAGAGACAAGAGCGTCCAAATCGCTATCTGCTGAAGGGAGGAGGTTATCAGTATCATCAAGGGATTGCGAGGTTTGACCGGAATGCCTCTGAAGTCGAACCCAAGAGTTGCTAGCGTTTGGATCGAGTGGTGTCTCGTCAGGTTGAGAGCCGGGAGTATCGATTCCGCTCTTCTTTCTGGTATACAACTCCCTATCCTGCTTGGCCTTGACGGAATCTTTTCTCTTGTGTCTTGGTGGTAGTAAAGAAGATCGTGGACTGCCCACCACATTCTCTTCTATGGATCCACCTCCAATACTCGCAATCGATTTGACCGCTCTTGTGCTGCTAGGTCCAACACTCAAAGCACTACTTCCGTTTAAATCTGGTATTTCCTCCGCAAGATTCTTTGAAATTCCAACATGCATGGTCAAATCAACCAAGTAATCGGCGATGTTGAAGCCTGGAGGACAAGAGTAGCCAATTTGATCAAAGTAATCTTGGCATTGGGCGAATTCTCCAGAATAAACCGTCTTACCCTTGGCTAATAAGAGAAGTCTGTCGAAAAGAGCAACGATGTTAGATCTCGGTTGATGGATGGTGAAGATAACGGTTCGTTTGTACGTCTTTGCCAAGGTAACAAGACACTCAATGACATTGAAGGCATTGTAAGCGTCGAGTCCACTGGTGGGTTCGTCAAGGAACAGAATGCTTGGGCTCGTGACGAGTTCACAAGCAATCCCGACTCTTCGCTTTTCTCCGCCAGATATACCGCGTCCCTTCCCTTCTTCAGATCCAATAAGCGAGTCTTTGATTGCAGAAATTCCTAACTGCTTTTCAACTTCGTAAACTCTTTGCTCCTTTGCAGCTCTTCCCATATCTCGAGGAAGTCGTAAAAGTGCGCTTGTCATAATAGTTTCGTGAACCGTAAGTGTAGGTAACATGGTGTCTTCTTGGTCAACAAAACCGACCTCATTCTTGAATTCGGTGTCGTCGACTTTCTCTCCATTGACATAGAAATCGCCAGCAACAGCTCCACGCTTGTTTTTCCGCGCCAAAATATCCAGAAAACTCGTCTTTCCTGCACCAGACGCTCCCATGATAGCCATAATTTCCCCAGGTTTCGCGACACCTTGAATTCCGCTAAGCACTTGCTTACCATTAATGTGATATGACACATTCTCCCAGTATAGTGAAGCAGGTTTGTGGTCGTTCATGAGTTTGGCGCTTTCATCGTCGGAATCATCCAAGTTGATTGGGCCATATCTGAATTGTCTTCTGGAAAGATACCAAACGAGCAAGATAACCAGAACAACGAAAATAGAGCAACCAGCAATGACTCCGGCGATAAGTGGGGTGTTGATCTTCTTAATTGGTCGTTCGAATCCAGGCACCTCAGTCATGTAGAGACACTCTCCAGAAGCGCAATTGATTTGAATGCTAGTATCTCCAAACATTTGTTGAATCAGTTGGTTCATAGCAGGTTCCTGAAATTTACACTGATTAATTCCATTGTTCTCGTCGCAGTCGAAGGATGCAGGGCCACGAATCTCTTCGTCCAAAAAGTCTGTAATATCGACAGAGCCATTCTCTCCGCAAAGCATCCTGTCTGGAATACATTTGCATGCGATATTTTTACACTGGTATTCGGTGGAATTCTTGTCGACATTGTGCTGAGCGCTGGAGGTGCAGTTGTCAAGACTGCAATAGAAAGATTCTTGCTGATCAACCCAGACTAAAATTGTCAGTTTTGAGGGAAAAGGTTATAGACGTGACTTACATTGAAAGTCGCAGGTTGACTTGGGCGCATTGCAAGTAAAAGTGACTTGTGGTTTCCTTGGATCCAGTAAATCGACGATTTTCCGGTTCGTAACATCGCACATCTGATAGTTTTCCTTGACCACCTCACCATTTGTATAGCAAACTCCCCCATCTCCAGTGGGCATGAGGGCATTACAAGCCTTGTTATTCTGGCAGACGTTACAATTTATTCCACCCCAACCATCTTCGCAGTCGCAAGAATTCCCTGTTCGCATCGGTCGATCCTTTCCATCTGCCAAAGAGCCGCACACTAACTAGGTCAGTATGTCGCACAGCATAGTTGTACCGGGTCATGTAGATGTCCTTGTGCATACCTGGTTGCAAGCAATCGTCGCCTCCATACCCAGGAGGACATGAGCATTTGCCATTATATTGGTTACAAGGAGCGTATTGACCGCAATCGAAGGCAGGAAGAAGGCAATTGAAGCTAGAGGGGTCAGTATAGTGTCAGCTTTTAGGCTCAAAATTGCTCACCATGGTGGACAGTTGTCAGGTCGATCATCCATCAGCGCCAACTGCGCTCGCATCATATCAACCTGGGTATAGTTCGTAAATGCATATACCGTCCATGGCAGCGACAGCGCTGCTATCGCCAGCCTTCCCAGTACTCGTCCCATCGATGCTGGCGTACTTTTCGAGTACTCGGGGAAGATTGGTTGTTGTCGTCTCGACGTTGCCTAGGAGAGCTGGGCTGGGTCTGGGGTCAGGCTAATGGTGGGCTTGGGATCCCAGCTTCAATGACAGCTCGATACAGCTTCCAACCGAATCTTGGGCAGCGAAACAGGTACAGCCTCAAGCTGTAGAAGAAGGAAGGAGAATATCTTCAAAATTGGAAAAGAAATCAAGCAACTGAATGATTGTGAAGACGAAATGTGGCAAAGCACAAGTCTTGTTGGTTCGACAGTTCAAGTGTCGACTGCATCCAAGACATCGCGCCGCCTCGGTTGTACGAGAGTCGGCATGATCTGGATCCCGACGTCAGGTTGTGGCGCATGTAATGTTTTCATATCCTCAGGCAGCCACACTTGCACACTTGTGGGTCCCCGTCTTCGCTACCAACTCCGTACGGCCACGTGCAGCTCTACCAAGTACTCCGTACGCCGTCACACATGTAGCTTTTTTCTACACGGAGTACTTTTTCCAGGCTCTTTACGAACGGAGTTGCGGTCATCAGAGAAATCATCATCTTAGAAAATGGTGTAAGTGCGAAATCATGAACAATTTACTCGTAAGTCAAAAGTGCCCAGGTAAGCTGGAAAAATAGTCGGTTTATACAACGCCGCCAGTTTCCATTACTCTAAATCCCACATCTACCCCACCACTGACTTCCAGATTCAATACTCAACAACAACAACTCAGTCAAGATGGTCAAAATCGAGCCCTTTGAGGTCGAGCAGGTAAGTTCAAGTACTGACAATTCATAATGTAACGTATCCTAACACTTCCAGTGGATGGACCTTTACGAAGTCACGCCTGGGGTCCTCAACATAGCAGAAACATGCGCAGCTTCCGTCTCAATCAACGACCTCATAGCCCTCTCGGAAGACTCAAACACCCCTAATCCTCTGGATTTCTCCAAGAAACTAACATATGGATCAATCCGAGGATCTGATGCTCTACGAGAACGTCTAGCATCTCTCTACTCCGTCCGAACGTCATCTCCATTACCCAAAGACAACGTCCTCATAACCCAAGGCGCAATCAACGCCAACTTTCTCATCCTATATACGTTACTCGGCCCAGGCGATCATGTCGTGTGTATGCATCCGACATACCAACAACTCTACGACGTCCCCAAGAGCTTGGGAGCAGAAGTATCCCTCTGGAAACTCCGGCGAGAAAACAAATACATCCCAAGTCTAGACGACCTCAAACCTCTCGTCAAAGACAATACCAAAATGATTATAATCAACAATCCCAACAACCCAACCGGCGCCACAACTCCCAAATCAGTCCTCAAAGACCTCGTCGAATTCGCCAGAGAAAAAGACATCGTAATCCTCTCAGATGAAGTCTACCGTCCATTGTTCCACGGCATCGGACCTATGGACGCCGAGTTCCCCCCCTCAATCCTCTCCCTCGGTTATAGTAAAACCATCAGCACAGGCTCCATGTCCAAAGCCTACTCTCTAGCCGGTATACGATGCGGATGGATCGCCTCTCGTGACAGATCCATTATCGAAGCTGTAGCCAGCGCCCGGGACTACACAACCATCTCCGTTTCTCAACTCGACGATGCAGTGGCCTCATACGCACTCTCCAATTCGGTACTCCACGCACTTCTAGGCCGCAATATCAAGCTTGCAAAAACCAATTTCGCTATTCTAGAGTCCTTCATAAGTGAGCATGGAAACATCTGTTCTTGGGTGAAGCCAACGGGTGGGACAACTGCGCTTGTGAAGTTTGAGAAGAGGGGTGTGCCGGTTGAGGATGTACAGTTCTGTAAGGATGTTTTGGAGAAGACGAAGGTTATGTTTGTTCCAGCGTCGAAGTGCTTTGGTGAAGAGTTCAAGGGGTCGGTGAGGATAGGATTTGTTTCTGAGACGGACGTTCTGAGGGAGGCGTTGAAGGTTTTGGGGCCGTATATAAGGGAGACGTTGAGTTAAATTCATCTTGCTTGACTTATTTATATTCGGAGGAGTAGGTCGTTTCGAGAGTGGTCCTACAGTTGTTCGTCAAGCTTGTGAAAGCTATACCTCGGTGGGTCTGATCTCACGTAGTATCCGAACAAGGTGTTCGAAGCCTATCGAATCTCAAAATGTAGAGAACACAACTGTATTTCTGTTATTTCTGTAATGTCTATCTGGAGATAATATTACTCTCTCTCCCTCTTTTTATTCTCTACACTCACTGGATGCTTCATTTCTCGGAAACTTCACTTCCCTGTTTTCCTAAAAATCTACAAACACTAACCTCTCCCAGTTTTATAACACATCCATCATCCTTCCCTCACATCACCCAAACCTCTCAACCTTCCCAGACCCATTCCACACGGTCCTCTCTACCTCTACTCGCAATCCATATATCATCCACACTCCGCTTCAAACGAGCAAATCACAACCCTTTCTCCCCCTCTCCCCTCTCTCCCCTTTCCCCCTCTCCCCCCTCTCTACCTCCCCTTCATATTCTACCCCCTATACCCACCCCCCCAAAACCCCCACCCCACAACCGCAAACAGCACAACATGCATCCCAAACAACAACACAAACCCCGCCATCCTCGCCCTCCTAATCTGCTCTTTAGTCGGTTCAACCACCACCTTCCTCTTCGTCCGTTTGAAAACTATCGCGTACGTTGTATCTCGTCGTTGAGGTAAATGTTGTATTGGCGAAGAGGGAGGTGAGGATGACGGTGAGTTCGATCTAACCGGCGACGCACTCACACCCCACGCCAACGGCGACGGATGGAGCGGCGCGTATTGTAAATTTACATTCGGCTGGGAGTGATACGGCGCGCTCGTCATCAAGAGGAATTGATTTGAGGAGGAATTCGTTTTCTCGCCCAAAGGCCGCCGAGAGGAAGACATAGCTGAGCTATTGGTTGTAGATGGGTTGTGTGCGTGGTTTGTATGGTTCGCGAGTAACAGGATCTGATTCTCGGATTTCGGGGGTGAAGGGTCGAGGTTGCGTTTGTGTATTGTTTTGGGGGTGGAGAAGGAGGATGTGAGGCGCCAGGGCATTTTTGTTGTGTTGATGGTAGATTTATATCTTTAATGATTCGCTGTGGATGGTGATTCAGAGGGTTGGATTTTTGGGAGGAAGTGAAAGGTGAAGTTGTGGTTGAAGTCAAGTTCGGTGGTGATTTGGCTAGAGTTCGTTGTGAGATGAGGGAGTTCACTTATGAAGGAAAGCGCGAACCTGACTCCCGCTATACTGTTGAATACGTCTGAGTCTCGAAACATGAGATAGAATCTTGCTCCGTAGTCTAATGAGCAGTATTTGTTCAAATGAACGGGCACTCCATGTGTACCACATCCGTCCTGAGACGCGATACGGTATGTGAAGACTCTATAGAGAAAAGGTGAGTAAGTAAAAATCTCATGTCTACGTGCATCAGCGACAAGTAAAATTCCAAGTCCACCTCTCATCTGATACCAAGGAAAAAAGCAGAAGAAATGATATTAGCATAATAGCCTTAAAAGCCAAGCATATCGTGCTAGAAAGGTATATCAAATAAGAAAGAGACCTTAAAGAAATAAGTAAACAACGTATCTACTTGACCACAAAATCAAAGCCCTGAGCAACTATTGGATTTCTAAAATTTCAATACCAACCATGCATGCATGCAATACTAAAAAAAACACTAGGAGTAATCACTGGTATCAACAAATCTTCCACCGCCTCTAAACCTGCCAATGTTATCTATCTATCCATTACTCGATTACTCAAAACCTTCTCTATGCCCGTATTCCCCTGGCAACTTCCACAAACCGTCTCCTAAGACGTCTCTCCCCTTCCGACCTTCCCACCCACCCTAAAGCACAGAACTTAGCTAGTTCAAGCCTTTGGAACGTTAGGAACATCACCCGCCACAGTGGCAGCCTCAGCGTGACCATGCGTATGTTTATGTTTATCATCCGGCTTCTTCTTATCACTCTTCTTTTCCTTTTTCGCGGCTGCTTCGGCGACGAGCTGTTCGAATGCCATGTAATCGCCTTCTTCTTCTGGGTTACGTTGGGCCTGTGATAATCAGCTTCAGTCCTTTCCGAAGAGAGAGATAAAATGGCAAGACATAAGATAGGGGCGACAGGGGTGAAAGAAATGAAAGAGTAATTCAAAACATACCTTCGAATAAACCTCACCTGAAATAACCAAAGCCTGTGCCCTCTCCAATCTCTTCGCCATAGGAACCTTCTTATCGTTCAAAATCTCATCACAAACATCCCTCAACACACTCTGGATCTCAAATTTACTTCCCCTCCACGCAGCCGTAAGAATCTTGCCAGTTACCCTCCGTTCATACTCGACCTTTTTCTCGTCCGTCCACTCCTCGCCGCCTTTCTCTTCTGCCTTGGCCATCTCCTCCATCGTCATTTGCGCATCAATGGCAGATGAAATGGTGTTCCATGTCTCCTTGGCCAGAGTTCCCTTGTCCTTTAAGCGCGAGAAGAAACCGCCGATACCGAGGAATTTCTGTGATTTTAGAAGGGCAGTGGCTTTTTGTAGGTAGGTTTGGCCGATTGCGTGAAGGATGTCAAGACCGAATGATTCCATCTTCAAGTTTTCTACCTCCAGACGCGTCTTTTCTTGGAATGCTTTTGTGACGTCTGGTCCCTTGTCTGTCTCCGTCCAAATACTGATTCGGTCCACAAGCTTTTTCGCAAGTGTATCAACTCTTTCTTTTCGTATTCTTGCACGCTCCTTTTCATATGCTGCCAACTCATCTCGTTGTGCTTTCGAAAGACCACCCTTCTTCTTCTCTTTCTTCCTCAACTCTTGTTCTTCTTCTGTCAAACCAGCAGCCTGCATCTGAGCATCTTCCTCTGTCTTATCCATGATGGCTTGTCTGATCGGAATACCCTGCCTCCTTGGGGTTGGCGTTGTCGCACCGGAAGCAGACGGACTCTTCGCAGCAGGCTTTCCATCAAATGCAGTTGAAGCAGTAGAAAAAGTATCCGTATCTTTGGTATCCGACACGCTCGCTGGCGGAACAGTTACACCAGCAGGTGGCACTGTCGACCCCGAGGCAGCCGCTTTCTCCTTCTCCGCCTGCAAACTCTCTGCCTTTGCCGCAGCTTCTCCAGGGAATTCCTCTTCCTCTGCTGCAGCAGCCTCTTCTTCTGCCTGCATAGTAATATCCATCGTCTTCGTGAGATCCTTCATCAAACTGATTTCTCCAATCAAGTCCACAAAAGCCTCTCCACCAAAGATCGTGCCAAAGAATTCCGCGGGGTCCGCGAAACCCTCGGTGGGTTGAGCGTGATCTTTTCCATATTTATCATATTGTTTCCGAAGATCTGTGTTGGAAAGAACTTGGTATGCTTCACCGATCGCTTGAAATCTTGCATGAGCGGTGTCGTCACCCGGATTCTTATCTAAGAGATGTCAGGAAAGTTTGCGATGGGAGCTTCACTCATGCCTACCTGGATGGGTAACGATCGCAAGCTTTCGATATGCTTTTTTAATCTCGAGTTCTGTCGCATCTGGTTTTACGCCCAGGGCGTCATAATAGACGGTATCTGCGACCATGGTGATTTGATTTTAGATGCCCGGGAAGTCGAATAAACTTGGTTTTCTGCCCACGGATGGTGGGGTGATGGTAAAGATAAACACTTGCGATTTCTCTAACGCAGTATCGAGAGACGCGTCAGATGTAGGTATGGTTCGGGATGGACTTTCACTGGTTGCTGCAGAACAAGCCTTGGATATGTGGTGGAAGAAGTTGTAAGGCTGAACTTTTTTGGGTGTCAAAGGAACTGCGGAATGACGAAGCGGGAGGCGAGGCTAAATACATGTGAGCCACGTCAACCACTCAAATCTTTAATACTACATTTGCAAACAGTCGAACTTTAAAAACTGCTTTAGAAAAATTACTCTCATTTTCAAAGGTGAAAATAATATCAGATACTGATGCTTGTATTCTGCAAACAAACCTTTCTTCTCATTTAGTACCAATTGTTAGTAGTCTTAAAAACGCTTCACTATCGGAGTCTACAGGCTTCACTCTTTAATACTGGTAATCATAATTTCATTCGCTTCGGTCTCATTACGACTCGACACTAACTATAAAGGGATGTATGTGCTAGCAATGCTTTTAAAGACAAAAAAGGATATCATCTATTTGACACCAGCAGCGGCCATTCTCTGGAAGCAAGCCGCATATGCCTCGTGAATCTCTGGAACCTTGTAGTTGTACTCGGCAAGCTTGTTCTCAAGCTTTGTGGTATCCAGCTTGCAGTTGGAGCGTCCGGCCTTGATGACCTTGGCCTGCTCCTCGAGGCTGAAGTTCTTCCAGGTGAAGTCTGGTCGGACGTATTGCTTGAAGAGTTTGAGGACCTCGTTGTGGGAAATAGCACCTGGGTTGGTGAAGTTGTAGATTCCAGTCTCCTTGTGCTCAGCCAAAAGAATGGAAGCTGGGAGAAGGTCGGTAAGGATGGTGTTGGAATTTGGGATGTCGACAACACGATCGTACTTGGCGATCTTGGTGACGAAGTTACGGGAGTGCAAGTCATCAGATACTGGCATACGAAGTCTGAGAATGAGGCAGTTTGTGTAGTATTTCATGACCTGAGATGCCGATAAGCTTCAATTATTTGCACTTTCAGTTTTTAAACTCACCTCCTCAACGTGTGCCTTGGTCTCAGAGTAGAAAGAGCCATCAAAGTTGGCCTTGTCGGTCTCGAGGAAACCTGGTCCACCAATTGGGTGGGAATCGTTGTAGGCGTAAATGCAGCCAGTGGCGAAAACGGTAATATGAATTCCTCTCTCGAAGCAGCAATCGGTCAAGTTGAGAGTACCAATAACGTTGTTTCGGACGGTATCCTCCTTGTGGTCCTCACACCAATCGACATTTGGTCTGCCAGTTGACCCCGCAGCGTTCAGAACGTGGGTTGGCTTGATCTCGTCCAACAGAGCTCCAACAGCCTCGCGGTTTTGCATACGAACGGTGGTGGTGTGAACCTCCTTTCCTGTGAGAGAGCATTGTTAGCAGAAGATTCGGAATTTTTGGAGTGGCGTTTGATTTCCAAAAGTACACACCTTGCTTCTCAAGAAGAGCCTTAAGATGGCCAGCAACCCATCCCTCACCACCCCAGATCAAGAACTTGGCCATGATGTTATGTAGAGTTGATTTGTGCAGTTGTATGTATAGTGAGTAGCAGATTGCAAGAGCTGTATGTTATGTGCAAGAGAGAGTGTGTGTAGCTGCGTGAAAGATCGGTGTGGAAATGTGAAATGGTGGGGGAATTATATGGTTGACAAGGATTGGTAAGAAATGTTCAGGGGCGACCGATTAGAGGAGGGGCTGTGCCCGATTAAGTCTAGATAAGTGCCACCTTTTGGTAGGGCCAGAGTCGGACCAGCCAGAAAGCTCTTAGTCGTGAATACGAGCAGAATTTGTTGTTGTTATTTTTAAGCATCGTAAAGGATTTGAATGATATTAGAAATGGGCAGAATGGTTTTGAAGATTGGACCTATGCTTTTGAACGTCTTGGTCAAATTCAGAATTTGAATTGAGCTGAAACACGTGCAAACCTTCCAAAAGAAATACATTTTTAGTGTCCCAATACTTTTGGACCCGCGGACCCTGATGCCCGTTCCGGTCGACTCCCTTCAGATTGATCGATTCGGCTGGTCCCTTTGGACTGGACACTCTGGACCCCTTTTAGGTAGAGGCTGTCGCTTGTTCTATCGCTTGTCTAAGGTGAAGAACTTAGGACAAAGTAGTAGTGTTTCTCAAACTAAGAGTATGGTGAAAATGATTCCGATAACATACTGCGCCTGAGTGTCTATTTACATCCTCACCCCTCAGCTTCATGCCCTATTCGCAATCTCACCCATCACCACCCTCCCCATCCCGTATCAGGGGGCTCGCTTAAGCCATTAGCACGCTCTTGGCCCTGTAACTCAGTTGGTGGCACAGCTCACCCAGCGGAAATGCGGCGCCAGGAAATAAATCAGCACGACACGCCTCAGCTCACCTCATTCCAATACGATCGATTTTTGAACCTCATCGTCCATCATTTTCTTTCTTCTCCTTTTCTCTTTTCTTCTCATATACCCCGCCAATTCACAACAAAATATTCGGCTCTTGCATTGCTTAATCACTTGCGCTCACCTGCTTGAGACGTCCATTCCTTTTCCGTCTACGGACATCCATCCTCTTACGCGTCGTCCTACAGCCGTACGATCCGAACACGCACGTTCGCTCGTGGGAAGGGAAACACACGACCGGTATCACGACAGTATTATCCTCATCCAAGAGCACGAATCCCATAGTACGGCATTTTGAATAGTACGAAGCGTATTCCATCGGTACCACAACTCTGCTTCCAGTAGCTTTACCACCCCCTTGGAATCGCATCCAGCTCCCCTGAATACGTCACATGATGCCGGACCCAACAACCAAAGAAAACGCCATCCCTCTGCTAGAGCGCGATGTAGAAGCGCAAGCGCAAGCCGAAGACAAGAAGTACGAATCTGATCCAGTACCAGCGAACGTCCCAGCGAAGCCATCAACCAGCGCGAAGAAACAGTTCCTAATATGGACGGCCATCAATATGCTCTCTACGATTGGTATCGTCTTCACCAACAAAGCAATCTTCGATGATCCAGCTTTTAAACTCATGCAAACCTCATTTGCGAGCTTCCATTTCGTATGCACGGGATTAACACTATACGTCGTCTCACGCCCCTTCTTCGGCGCCTTCGAACCCAAAAGAGCCGGAATCGTAGAAATGCTCCCTGTAAGCCCCCCAAGTCACATGATCCACCCCCTTCTAACACCATCTAGCTCGCCTTCTCCATGTGTCTGAACGTCGTGCTCCCCAACCTCTCTCTAGCCTTCAGCACCGTAACAGTCTACCAACTCTGCCGGGTCCTCCTCACGCCCCTCACGGCCCTGCTCAACTTCGTCCTCTACAAAGCCACCATTCCCCGCAACGCAGTCCTAGCACTCATCCCCGTCTGCGTCGGCGTCGGCATCACCAGCTACTACGACATCAAGCCCTCCGCCCCTACCCCAGGCAAGAAACCCCAGACGACCAGTCTCATCGGGATTTTCTTCGCCTTGGCAGGTGTATGCGCATCTTCAGCGTATACCGTGCTCATCGGCGCGTACCACAAGAAACTCAACATGTCGTCCTCGCAACTGCTTTTTAACCAGGCGCCTATCTCCTCGGTTATGCTTCTCTTCGCCGTGCCGTTTGCGGATCACATCCCCGTGTTAAGCGCCGTACCGCAGTATCGCTGGTTGATGATTCTCATGTCCGGTGGTTTTGCTGCGTTGATCAATATCTCCCAATTTTATATTGTAGCGGGCAGTGGTCCCGTTAGTAGTACGGTGGTCGGTCACTTGAAGACTGTCAGTATTGTGGGTATTGGATGGGTGTTAAGTGGGAAGAGCGTCAAGGATTGGAGTGCGGTGGGTGTGGTTATGACTATTGCTGGTATTGTGATGTTAGTGCCCCCTCTACTTTCCAACTATCTTATAGCCTTTACTAACCAAATTATAGCTACTCCAACATCATGCTCAACAAACCACGCTAAACACCTCGTTTAAACACGAGATCCACGGATGTATTATTTAACAACCATTTCAAACATCATCTATTTCCTAGGATTGCAGGCTAGATGAATTAAGAGGGAGGGGGTGGGAAAAGTGTTGGGTTGGGATTTCCTTTTCTGTGGTGAGCGCGAGAGCAGAAGAAATACCCAGCGTAGAAGAAGTCAAGCGTTGGATAAATAATTTTGTAACAACAAACTAGATCGGGTTCTTGGAAGCACGTTTTTTCGAATACTGGTTTAAAAGGATACACTTTTTGGCTATACATACTTCTTGTTAGATTATTATTATCCATTTTTCGTTATCTTATGTTTCTTGATTTAATGTACCCCATCTAAATGATTTTTTTACACAGAATTCCGTCTATTTTGAGGCCAGTTGCGAATAAGCCGTCGCGCCTCCAAGTGCCATGACGATACCCAAGAGATCTTGGGCTGTGAGCAAGCGACCCTCGCTTACCCATCCATATGTGAGGATTATAGTTGTTTTTACACTATGAGGTATGTTAGTTTGGATAGCCGAGGCTTGTATGGGGAGTGATTGGAGGACATGGGGATAAGTGAGAAATACACTAACTTAGACGCCACATTAAATGTTAAGGCGGACATTCGACCTATGATCAGGAATTGTGACAGATTCTAACCACATTAGCGGAATTTATGTTATGGGTATGAAAGAAACCATACCAACGCAGCAGCAGCCAACCCCGACAAAAAGAGTGCAATCATGGTATCTCTAGGAATCTTCTCAACCTTCGGCATGGTATCAAAGAAAGGCACCAACACCGCCAATAACAAAACTGAAATTGGCGCTTGGTTCAACAATAACTGTGGACTTGAGACATTGAAATCCCGTATCTTCTTCCCAATCCATACTTGGTAGAAAGCTGTTACTGTGAAGGCAGCGACAGCGATGGAGGCGCCCATAGTAGTTACACCCGCGGCGCCGGAATTGGTAAGAGCGACGCCGATGCAGAGACTGCAAAGTGCGAGGATCGTGGGCATGGTGATTGACTTTGCGAGGAAGAGGTACTGGAGAAGTGCGACGCAGGGAGTGGTTAGGATCTTAGCAAGTCTGGGAGAGTTAGTTGTGAAGTTATATGGGTTGAAGGCGACGTACTGGTAGAATCCTATGGAGTTGTATGCTAGACTTAGGTTTCCGAGAATGAGGAAACCGGCAAAGAAGGTACAGAGAGGGATCATTTGGAAAAATGGGAGTCGGATTGGGGTGAAGAGTCTGAATGGAGAGCGGCTAGCCAGGTAGAGGATGATAGTTGTGCAGGTGAAATGCCACATGGCGAAGGTTATTTGCATCTTTTTCAATTGGGGATCTTTCAATATCCTGAGACATTAATTAGTGTTGATTGAACAAATAGGGAGATTTGCAAAGCATACCAATTATTCAAAAAGACCAATATAACCGTACTGAAGATGTTCATTCCAATACAAGCACCATCAACCAGTGTTGTTCGCATTGACTTCCGCGCTCCATGTCCACCATTTATCGTAATCTCGTCATCTTTCTTCAAATCCTCTTGCAACAGCAACGTGCTGCTCATCTCCAGATCCCTTTCTTGCCGGTTGGCAGAGCCATTCTGGTTCATGGCCGCGACCACTCCGTCTTATGGGCGAGATTCGACGTACTCGAACAAGTGCAACGCACCACAGATGAGGTTAGAGAAATGGAACACGCTTCCAATCACCGCATCGTGGTACAAGAGCATCGAGCAAATGCATGTGCAAAGAGAAATGGCTGGCAAAGCAACAAGATCTCAAAAGAGTAAATGCATTGTTTTCTGCGGCGTAGAAGAGCAAGACGTCAATTGAAGTTAAAATGACAAGGCTGACACTTTCGGGGTGTTGGCAGCAAGCAACCCACGCGTCGCCGGTCGCCATGATTGGAGGTTTCTGAGTTTCCTTGTGGAACCATATCCCGAACTTCCTGATCTGGAAAGCAGCACTCGCTTGTAGGGAGTTATTTGGTTGAAGTCTGACAGCTTACCGCCGCCGCCTTATCATGCAGTGCTCGTACTGCAAAAGTGTGGAGAAGTGAAGCTCGTGAACAATTAATCTCAAAACATCGTCAATTGGTTCCCAATTCACACAGCCCTCTGCAATCCGACTTCCCGTTCTCGCCGTTGTTGGACAATCTATCGCACGTTCGTGTCAGCATTGCCTATCAGCAATACCCGTCAAAAGCTTGCATATAGACTGCCTAAACATCCAGCCTTCTCCTATTACTGTATCGCGAATCTCCTTTCCCAAAAGCGCAATTGCTTGTTCACACCACTTTCGACTTTGCCTTTGACTTCATACATACTGGTTGCAAAAATGGGACTCCTTAAACAGCTTCCCTATTTCTTGCTACATCCAAACCAACTGCGATCAATCATACAATGGTGCGCCCATAGCGATTCCCCTCTTTCGAATTGGTTACTAACCAGTTGACAGGAAACTTTGGCACGATCCCGTACACACACGCGACCCCAGCAAAGAATCAGAATCGCTCAAACAATGCTTTTACTACCTGGATATGACCAGTCGAAGTTTCAGCGCGGTGATCCAGGAATTACACCCAGAGCTACTGGTTCCAGTTGCGATATTCTACCTCATCTTGCGAGGCTTGGACACAATTGAGGATGACATGACAATACCACTAGAGAAGAAGGAGCCTTTACTGCGAAAATTTGACGAGATATTGGAGTTGGATGACTGGACGTTTACAGAAAATGGGCCTGATGAGAAGGATAGGGAGCTGCTTGTCCACTTCGACTGCGTCCTTAAGGAGTTCAAGCTATTGAAGCCACAATATCAGAAAGTCATTTCGGAGTATACAAAAAAGATGGGTAATGGAATGGCGGATTATGCAAACAATGCCGAACACAATATCCATGGAGTTCAGAGTACTAAGGATTACGAATTATACTGCCATTACGTCGCTGGTCTGGTTGGAGCTGGGTTGACCAGGTTATTTGTGGATGCTGAACTCGCCAATCCAGCGCTTCTGAAGCGACCAGAGCTTTCCGAGTCTATGGGCCAATTTCTCCAGAAGACAAACATCATCCGTGATTTACGAGAAGATTTCGATGACAAGAGGCGGTTTTATCCCAAGGAGATCTGGTCCAAGCATGTCGATAACTTCGACGATCTGTTTGTGCCTGCGAATATCGACAAGGCCTTAGCCACCACTTCCGAAATGGTTCTCAACGCTTTAGACAATGTGCCTCAATGTCTTTTCTACATGGCCGGTATTAAAGATCAATCAGTTTTCAATTTTGTTGCAATTCCACAAGTGATGGCTATTGCTACGTTAGAAGCGGTTTTCAGGAATCCAAAAGTCACAACAGGTGTTGTGAAAATCACAAAGGGTGACGCTTGCAAGTTAATGATGGAATCCTCGCAAAACTTAAGAACTGTTTGTGATATCTTCCAGAGATATACCAGAAGGATACACAAGAAGAACACCCCAAAGGATCCTAACTTCCTCGAAATCAGTATCGCATGTGGACAGGTACGTCTTGTTGTTAATCTTGCAATTCCCTACTAACTGCATTAGATTGAGCAATTCATCGAATCTATCTTCCCGTCACAAGATCCAAAGAAGCTCACCTTGTTGCATGGTGCAGACGGTCCGGTCACCACCATCGAAGACGAAGAGAAGCGACGCCAAGAGAAAGAAGACAAGAAAGACGTATTCCTGTTACTGCTCTCTGTCGTTGGGACTCTCTTCGTTATATCTGGTCTCATGGTATGTTTCCTTTAACACGCCCTCCTAGCACAGAGTCCTAACACATTCCAGATCGGTGCGGCATATCTTCTTGGCGCCCGCTTCGACATTGCTTTCTCAGAACTCACAAAAGGGAAACTCTCTCCAGATCGTGATGCGGCGCAATCGATTGTCGCAAAGCATGATGGACATGTAGAGTTGTAATCCGAGCTTTCTGGTTCCTTCGGTTTTTGTTACATAATCTTTTTAATAATAACTTCCCACGATGATGATTTGGGATTCGAGCGATGTATATTGATCGATGGTAGTTGAAAATGAGCTTTTGGCTGGTATATAGGAATGCAATATGTTCTATGACAGCTCCTAGTTGTGTGTGCCACGACATGTGATTGATTCAACGTCCTAGTAGTTTCCTTAGGCTTTTGAAAGTAGGTGCAACTATCCAACATTTGCAGCCCGAGCTTGGAGAGCTGGACTTTTGTTTCCACATCAAGTAGAGTAAAGGATGTTCGTCTCAAATACTTGCTTGTCGTGTGAGTAAGAAAGGAAGTTTATAAGTCGGTAGACTAGAACCGAGAAGCTCGTTTTACAAAAGTAATTTTTAAGGCTTGGGGATGTACTTCGTTGAGTTTTAATAGACAGCAAACTCTTGTTATTCCCAGACTAAAAATTACATCCAGATTTAGAACATCTGTCTGAACGATATATGTCCGTCTCGGTAATAGTTCGTGTTGTAACCCGGTCAATCCAAACATCTCGGCGATTTATTTTTCCTCCTAGACCCCTCTGCCGGTCATCTCTGGAAGCTATACCCTGTCGATCGGCTTTAAAACAACGGACATCCAATGCAACATATGCCACCCAAGTAAATCCTCCCACCTTCTTCCCCTCCGCGATGTTTTCTTCGCGGAAGGTTTTTTCTTTATCGAAACCTCATTTCCGGTTCAGCTCCATCAGAATGGCTTCCTCGCTGCCCCGATTGCCGATTTTCGAGGCTATCAAAGGTCATGATTCGAATTCGACTTGTATTGTGCATTCGAAGAGCGGGAGACGCTTTACGTATGGGGGCTTGTTGGGGGATGTGAGGGATGCGAGGGATAGGTTGGTGAAGGAGGGAGGGGGTGGGATTGAGGGGCAGAGGATAGCGTTTTTGATTGAGAATGGCTATGATTATGTGGGTGCGCATTTTGTATACCTGTCGCTGAGAGAATGGATTGCTAATTGGATCTCGGGAATAGTGACGCTGCTTTCGATTATTGGAGCACATTCGATTGCGATCCCGATGAGTCCTGCGTTTCCGCCGCATGAGCTGCAGTATATTATGGATCATAGCCAGGCGAGCATGTTGCTTGCTTCGAAGAAGTTTGGAGAGAAGGCGCAGCAGGTTATTGATGAGGGGTTGGAGGGGACGCCGAAGTTGGTGAAGGTGGAGAAGAGATTGGAAGGGAATAAAGATGGAGAGCGTGTGGAGTTGGAGGGAACTGGTGAGGGAATGGGGGGGATGATGCTGTATACTTCGGGGACTACAAATAGACCGGTAAGGTTGAATTGAGGAATTTAAACTCAATTGGCTAACTTATGTGTAGAAAGGAGTATTATTGCCAACCTCTGTTATGACGGCTCAGGCAACGCCTCTTATCAAGGCTTGGAACTATACCCCACAGGATCATCTTCTACATGTCCTTCCTTTGCATCATATTCATGGCACAATCAATGCCATTCTCGCCCCATTAATCGCTGGCTCGACGATAGAATTCATCTTTCCATTCAATGCGACTGCGGTTTGGTCGCGCTTTGCTGCTCCGTTTCTAGAAACGAATGGCGCTTCTACTAATGGCCATACTAATGGACTCTCCAATGGCCACACCCACTCGTCACCAAAAGAAAAGATCTCTTTTTTCACGGTTGTACCAACAGTATATAATCGATTGTTATCAACATTTTCAGACCTCACACCAGAATTACAAGATGCGGCGAAGAGTGGCATTTCCCCATCGAATCTCCGTTTGAATATCTCCGGCTCCGCTGCTCTTCCTACACCTACCAAAAAGGCTTGGACAGATCTTTCAAATGGAAATGTCATACTAGAACGCTACGGAATGACCGAGGTCGGAATGGCTCTTTCCTGCGGCCTGTCCAACTCTGATCGTGTTGATGGAAGTGTAGGCTGGCCACTACCAACCGTCGAAGTCCGCCTGGTGGACATAGAAACAGGTGAAATCATCCAACACGGCGAAGAGACCGATTCTAGCGGTCGAGAACGCGATGGCGAAATCCAGCTTCGCGGTCCTACAATCTTCAAGGAATACTGGCGGAATCCTGAAGCTACTGCCAAAGAGCACGTCGGAGGAGAAGACGGTAAGGGTCGCTGGTTTAAGACAGGCGATGTGGCTGTTCGTCGTGCCGTTCCTACCGCTGGACAGAATAAATATCAAGCCGATTGGGCCTCCGGACCGCTGTATTTCATCCGTGGCCGTCTGTCTTCTGATATCATCAAATCTGGAGGTGAAAAGGTTTCTGCGTTAGAGGTGGAGAGGGAATTACTTTCATTGCCGCAGATCGAGGAGGCGGCTGTAGTTGCTGTACCTAGTGGGAAATGGGGGCAGAAGGTTGGGGCGGTGGTAATGCTCAAGAAGGGTATGGAGATGAGTCCGAGAGGAAATGGGAGGGTTTGGGGGCCGTTGGATATGAGGAATGCGATGAAGTCGCGGTTGGCGGGGTATAAGATTCCGCAGGTTATGAGGGTTGTGGAGGAGATTGAGAGGAATGCTATGGGAAAGAGTAAGTGCACCTGTTTTGTTTTGCATCATGTTTTCCATCTTGGGGGAGGCAACAGAGTGTGGGAGTTGATTGTTAAACCATGCTAACGTTGTAACAGTTAATAAGAAAGTCTTGGTTAAAAAGGTATTTGTCGATGATGTAAGTGGGGATGAGGTGTAAGATTACGATAGATGTAAACCATCTATAAGGGGTTGGAAAATGTATTATACAATGTATTTATGACATAGAATTGTACAGCACACCAAGACATATCAGCAGGCTCCAACTTGTAAGATCACACAGTTCTCACTTTCTCCGTACCTGCAGATAAGCTTTCCAGGCGGAAACTTAAAGATTTATCTAGCAAATGGGAATTGAGAATGGGAAGGAAGCAGTTTGTTGCATGTCGCTCGGCTGTAACATTGTGCTTTTGTTTGGGGGAAATTGTCTTGGGAGGGGGTTAGCCGAGGGGGAAAGGGGGGAACCGAGGTGTTTTTGGGTGGGATGAAGTACTGTAGACATGGATTCATCCCTACGCGAATTTAGGAGAGGTATGAGGAGCAAGATGACGTGATAAAGGGAGTGAGCTTTCTGGAGGTAATGGATTGGTCAAATTGGACAAGGATAAAAGGCGATGGGCCGCGGAAGTGATTAAATTGTAGGTGGGACTTGAGGTAGCTAGAATGTAGGTGAACTTATGGGGTGTTAGATTAGGCGTTTGATCTGATTTTCTGGCTGAGAGAATAATTCCTAGTAACTGTATAGTTTGTACCAGTGAAATGCGTGTATTCGCTAAAGTATATCAAGTTCAACTTGCTAATGTAGTGAAAAATTATAATTTTGTTATGTTCACTGAAAGAACATATTTCTGCACACTTTGAATTGTTCCAAGATAATAAAGTGAATATACGTACTCATAATTAAATTACATGTACATGTGTTCTTCAAGGTTGGAAGAGGCTTCCTCCTAGTGGCAAAAATTTAGCAGTTGAAACACAATATTTCTTCTATCAAAGTAATAAAATATAATATATTCCAGCAAACACAACTTCTCGAGTACGTTTCAACAAAAGTGGCTGGGAGTAAGTACCACAGCTTTAAAATTCAAATTATAATAACGCTTGTGAATTTATGTCTCTCATTCTGTCCTCCACAAGAGGGGGTCTAGCGTCCTTCGGCTCGGTCCGTCACAGCCCCACGTGATGGCGCGAATCTGCATAATATCCCGACGCGACTCTCGACCTCTGTTACCTGGAGATCCCAAATACTGTAATGCCGAAAGTCAACAAGGTCTGTACCCCATAGATGCGCCGCGATGTGGGCTCTTGAGTGCGAAGGCGATTTATTCGGTGGTATGCTAAACACTTTATACAATTAAGCAGAGTTTCAAACTAACAATTCTAGGCAAGCAATTATGGCTTCGCCCAGGCAAGAAGTTCTTGTTCGGCAGGACGAGCGGTGGTATGTTGCTCCCCTTCCGTATTTCATATGTGCTAACAGGCTAGGCGAGGAGTTGCAGTATATCCTCTCCGATAAGACCGTTTCGAAACAGCATCTCATGGTTACTATTGATGAGGTGAAGGAAAGCGATTATGTGCGTCTTAGTTCGGGGTTTACCAGGAGGATGTACTAATGGAATGGCAGACAGACTCGCGGGCTCGGTCGTGTATTACGTTGAAAGACATGAATACTAAGATTGGTACAATCATCAATGGAGAGAAGATCCGGGGTGAAAGTCGGGTGCTTGATAGGGTGGACAATGAGGTGCGGTTGGGAAGATATCCGCATCTTTTTCGGTGAGTTTGGGATTCTGCAAGATCTGATATGGGTTGTGCTGATTATTCGAAGCTTTGCTTGGATCCCAGTGTGTCTGTCGTTTATGTTTACGAAAAGCGAACTGAAATCGGATCCCTACACCTCTCTATTCGAGAACTTCGGACCTCTCGATATCAAAATCCTTCTTGACTACGATCGCGAAAGTACGACGCATTATGTCGCGAAGAAGCGGAATACATCAAAGGGACTCCGAGCGCTAATAGACGGGAAATACATTGTGTATAATGATACATTTATCCCAGCTCTTATCAAGGCTACCACACCGAACGAAAATGGAATTGTGCCTATTGAGGATGACTTCAAGAACTTTCCGGATCCATTGCATTTTCTTCCTCCGAGAGGCGCGGAATTGACCGATCGTGACGCTACGGCTTACTCTCCGGATGATCGACGACGAGATATGTTCGATGGTTATACATTCATATTTTATGATGAGACGCAGTACGAAAACCTATCGACAACGATTTTTGCCGGCAAAGGCAAGGCTCTTCATCAACGAGTAGTTCCTGAAGAGACCAGTGTGCTTGATTTTGTTCGCTACGTCAAAAATGTGGCAGGCGAGAAAGGCTTAGGGGAGTTCGAGGATGGTAGTGAAGGCAAAGGGGTGGTTGTCGTTAAATATGAACCACAGAAAGGAGTTCACATTGCGTGGCACAATCAATTTGCTGTGGATGTTGCGCTATCGTTGGACCAGCGTTTGGTTGGTCAAGGCGAATTCTTAGATGTCATTCTTGGATGCGATCCAAGCGTGTTACGGCGAGCTCTGGAGGAATCTCCTCCCAGTACTATGGCTTCTCGTATGTTATCCACCACTCTTATACTCATCTTGACTGACAGACATAGATGCTCCTCCCGCAGCACAGCCTGTTCAGCCTTCACAAGCTACTCCACCCGAAGCACCAGCTGAGTCGATATCTCAACCTGCTAGGAAAGGTAGGGGTCGTCGAGCTGCTGTACCTGTCTTTAAAGGATTTGAAGACGACGAATGGGCTACTCCTGCGGTAAAACTTAACTCAATCCCCGAATCAAATTCAATGGATATAGATCATGCCCCAGCACCCGAATCGCAATCACTATTCGTCTCTCAACAGGAACCGAGTATTGATGTTGATAGAGATGTTTCGGAACCACCCGTTGCCCAACCAAGAATGTCAAGGAAGAGAGCAGCTCCTCTTATTGATGATCAAGAATTGATAAACACTCTAGCCCCTAACGCCGCAAGACTCAAGAAGCGTCGATTAGAAGAAGCCGCAGAACGAAGAAGTAGAGGAGAATCTACACAGCCATCTCGACCTGCGCCAGAGCCAGTAAAGGAAAAGACACCTGAACCCGAGCCCGAACCGAAAGCAAAACCTAAAAGACGTACTAGAAAAGAGATGGATAGTGCAGCAGCTTTGATAGATGCGCGAAATGCAGAAGATGCTGACGAAGCCGAGTTGCACGAGCCAGACGTTATAGACTACTCAAGCATAGACGTCGACGCCGTCCGCAACGCAATCGAGGTCTTCGAGATAGCCGTCACCCGTAAACCATCCACCCGTCGTGCAGCTCAAGCAGATGAATCCGATCGATGGAACGATAAATGGAATGGCCGAAAAGACTTCAAAAAGTTTCGACGTCAAGGAGCAGCGCCGAAAAGGGATCACGGGAGAGTCATTGTACCCCTGGAGGAAGCGAAGAAGAAGGACTACGGACTTGGCGATGAATACTGGGGTGAAGATCCCATCACGAACGAAAGCCAACGCGCCAGCAAGAAAACCCGTAAAGACAAAGCAGTGGTTGAAGAGGTCCAGCAAAACGACTCCTCAGATTCCGACGCCCTGGAATCTAACCACCGTCGTCGTCCCCGCCCGAAATTAATCTCAGGAAACCAATCCGAAGACGACGCCATCGTCATCCCCTCCTCGGACGTGGAAATCGAACAAGATCCCAGGCTCACGTTTGCGAGAAAGGATACGACAACGCAGGGGACGACGCAATCGTCGAGTTTAAATGATAAGACGGCTGCGACAAGGAATATTCCTGCGAAGGGAACGAAGAGGTCAGCGGAGAAGGAGGCGGCTAAACCGCCGCCGAAGAGGGTTAAGCAGACGACGTTGGATGTTGGGGGTAGAGCGAGGGGGAGGAGGACGGTGGAGGATAGTGAGGATAGTGATGATATGGGGTTTGGGTTTCGGAGACGGAGGTAGACTGTCGATTCGGGGGTATATATAGGCGTCAATCTCCCAAAATATCTACCCTCGCCCAATACACCCAGCTTTTAAGGTGGACTTATTAGATAGTGGGTATCATGGTCTATTTCGTCTATAGGTCTGTCTATGTGATGGCTTGTGAAAGCCGGGTTTGTGTACATTCTTCTAGTCTACTGCGCTCGGTGATACATCTTCTCTCTGCTTGAGGTTTCGAAGTTGTCTGTGAATTCTTAAGGGCCCGTAGTCTGAGCTTAGCTCTGGAGCCCCAAAGTACATTTTGTACTATCAGAGCAGCTTTTCCTAGCATCATCCGGATTAGCGATCTGAACAGTCGCTCGCCATAAGTCGGTATGAACCTGGTCGTCCAAGTCATCTCCTCTTGCGATCCTCAAAGACCCTCAACTTGACGTCCGTCTCCTAACTCTCGCCTATATAATTCACATCTCCTAAAAACGCGAGACCTCAATCCATATCCTCCATCCCCTCCCCCACCACGACCCCTTGCCCCGTCCCCTCCCCCTCCTCAACCGCCGTCCCCACCAAACACCCCTCCAACATCCCCTCCCAATTAACCCACGGATGCACCTCCGCAAACATCCTCGTCCCATCCTTCCCCGCGCTCCGCATCAGCTCCGGCACACCCCCAGGATGAAACGCCGCGTACGGAGTGATGTTATAGACTCTCCCGCCTAACACCGTCCACGCGTCTTTCCCCTTCCGCCCAGTCATTACTTTGAGCTGTGAGGGCGCGATCTTGAGGTATGGTGTTGAGGGTGGTAGCCCGCGCAGGTTTGCGGTGGGGGAAGAGGCTAGACGCGCCCAGTCTAGGGGCGAGTGGCCTGGCGTGAGCTGCACTTTGCGTTTTGGTTTTGTGGGAGGCGCGGAGTGGGTTGGCGGGAGGGCGAGGGAGGAGGTGGATGTTGGAGGGCCGCGGTTTGGAAGGGGACCGCGGGGTGGTGCCATTAAACCTGTTGTTCGTGAGGGTGGTGCCATTAGACCTGCTGAGGGGGTGGGTTGGAGTGTAGGTGGTGCGCGTGGAGCGCCTGCTCTTTGGGCGGAGTTTAGGGCGGGGAATTGCGGTGGTGGCATGGATGCGTAGGGGTCTTCGTCGTCGTCTGCGGTGCTGTCTCCGAGGTTGAAGGATGGTATTGAGGAGGGGTTCGAGGGGAAGGATGAGGCTTTTGGTGTTGTTGGAGATGAGGGTTTCTTGAAGGTTGGAGGTGGGGGTGGTGGCATGGCTTTTCTGTCTTTGTCGACTTCATTTTGTTTTGAGATCTTGACGGACGCTTCTTTGGTCGATTCAGAAAGTGTTTCGGTAGGGACAGTAGTCGTTATACTTGGTGTATCTTCTGTCTTTGAGGGAGGCGCATCGTGCTTTGATTTGGCTCCCGCGAGAGAAGGAGGGGAATGGTGGCGAAACCATGCCAGAAGTGACCATGGCGGATGTTTGTAGCAGATAAATGAAAATGAGGCTATTAGAAGACCGAGCCCTATGAACATGGCGACAACTTTGTACAACGAAGGAAAAGGAGATGTGTGTAGGAAGTTCGTGATAAGGAGGGTTGGAAACCTGGAGGGCTGTTGACGTCGGTACAACGTCGGCTAAAGACTGCACTTATTAAAATACGAAGACTCGGGAGTACATTCCTCTTTCATCTTTCATCCTATCTGTCAATTAAAAGGGCCTAGAGCCCCTATGTATCATTTACAATGTTCTATCGAGTTGTATTTGGTGGTTCGTAAGCATAACCTGAGTACCTAGGTAGGTAGATATTGCTTCGGGTTCGCCGCTACACCTGGCCCAGATCATACTACTCAAGACTCTCATGTCATCACCGCGACGATATATTACATGTTTCTTTGCAGCTCGCCGCCTATATAATATTATCATAGTCTCAGGAAAAGTCCACAACATTCCATGTTCAATGTATGCCGAGCTGAACGACACTACACCGGGGAATATCAAGCTTCATATCCCGGTTCTTGCTTTGTAAAGTATCTATTTAACATGACCAGGGGCTTTCGATATATTGCAAGTATATCAAAAGAAAACTAGGGTATGAGTTAGGATTGAAATGAATTCATCACTTCCTGAGTCCCTCGTGGCCACTGGTATATCGTCTTCCCCGAATACATCTGGCTAATTGATCTCTACAATCTCAGAAAATCGACAATCACAAGCAGGAGGGCCATAAAACATTCTCCCCGTGATCCTACCGTCGCCAACTACTAGTCCAATACCATTCTCCACGCCTTCGGAATAGCTTAGCCCTGGAATACGGAAGACTTTATGGCCAAGATCTGCTGTGTCCCTCAAATCGAGACGGAAGAGAGTAACACATCGACAGGTAAGACATCTAACCTGGCAAATTGCTTCGCCAAGCTCTACGCCACGCTCTTTTCGGCGACGAGCCACATGTCTTGATCTCGTAAGACGAGTGATCTGATCAGAAATCTCTCCCAGTATGTGCCTTTCAAGTTCCAAGGCTTTCGAGATTTCTTCGGCCGCATTTCTTCTTTGAAGACTTCCCTCTTCACCTACCGAAGCAGCGCCATATATCTCGAGTTGTTCCTTCAGCCGAGTTTGGAAATTATTGTCTCGTTCTTGACATTCCTCGAATTTGAACACCATGTTTACCAAAACTCTTGCCGCTTGTTGGTGTATCATATCGAAAGGAAAAACGCGGTTCATGCTATCGACGAGCTTTTCCGGAGACAGTGGAATTTCTTCAGCTGCAGCCGCCGAAAACAAATATTGTATTGCCCAATCCACTCCAGCTATTTCGCCCGAGTCTTGAACGCCCATATAGTCGATTCGTTCTATTAGGCCAACTACATCCAGCTCAAGCTGGACTATTGGGTCAATACTGATAATTGGTCGTTTTGGTGAAGACCTCAGATCACCCAAAGTCCAATCTGCGCCGTCAAAAGTATGACAGCCGACTAAGAACGATGGCAATCCCATTGTAGGGTTGGACCCGACCACCCTTTCTTGAGGCTGGAGAAGAAGGGGAGAATAGTCGTTATTCATCAGGGCATTTTTCCAAACTTGTTCGCAAGCTTCAACTTCCTCAAGTGGGAGTGCGCGGACGTTGTTTTCTATTACCTGTTTATCGGTGAGGATCTGGATAGCAATAAATCGGTCCCTGAACAAGAAGCAATCCTTTTTGGCTATCATTTCTACGGCTTCGCCAAGACAGAGCTGCCGTGGACCGTCTGTCCTGTTCGCGAGCCCACCGAGAAAATCTCCTGGTAAGCTGAGCGATTTCGCAAATGTTTTAGCATATCGAAATACGCTAAGTAACTGGTTATGTGTGCCACTAACAAGTTGAGAAAAGGTATCGCGAGCAAACAGGCCGTTGGCATCCAGGGTTCTGTGGATATAAGCTGACTTGTCCATAACGCAGGCGGCTTTCGACTGAGCGTATTCGAGGGTCACCCACATCCTTTTCATCCACTCAGATTCACAGAGACAACGGAAAATGTGAACTTTTTGGAGAGCTTGAACCAATGTGATTTCGCCTTGAACACGACTCCAGATAAGTAGGAGCCAAACATGAGAGGATGGCACATCAGACATATGCACCAGAATCTCGTCTACTAGATGGTAAATTGCCGGTATATGGAGAAGCAAGCAATGCTTCGTCGCTGGCACCCACTGAGGAACGCTGAAATAATCATGCCAAAATTCCACTCCTGGAGAGTAAGACTCCTCCGCTCCTATAAACAAATCTTTGAGGGTTTTGACTAGCGTAGAAGCAGCCGCCTCTTCATGAACTCCTGATACATTGGCTCTTCGAATGGAGTCATCCCAAACATGGGACACCGGAACAAAAAAGACGCCAATTGTTTTCACACACGAGAGGTGGCGATTGATGACTCGAATATGAACTTCGCCTTGGATAGAGCTAACCTCATGCTTAGTGATTGTACGTATAGGCGGCTCGTTTTTTGCAAAGTCTTCGTGGCAGTGATGACATTTGCTGTTGAATTTGGTGCCCCAGAAGAAATTCAGTATATCGTGGAAAGCTACGGTTAACATTTCATCACCAAAGGAGACAGTGATACTTGAGCCAGTCTCCGGGGTGGAAGAAACGGCCGATGCCGTCGCCTCACTATCCGATTCTTCCTTCCGCAGAAGGTATTCGAGAACACTTTGCACATAGTCTCTCGATTCTATGGCTCCAACTCCCTCAAATACATCATATGTCCGTCGAAGAAACTCATCGATAGTTTCAAGCAGGTCTCCCGTAGCTGTTTCTCTCGCCTCCAAAGCCGCTTTCAAGAGGTAGGCAAGCATTATATCGTGGTCTGCTTCAAGAGCAATGATTATCATTTGTATCATGAATTCTCTGGCTTTATCGTCAGCCGGCTGCTCGACGAAGTGTTTCAAGGCCTGATCATCTTCCATGGCGGTCATCAAGTGATCCCGAATGAGTCCTTTCAAGTACTCGAGGGCCTCGTCACTACTGTGATTAACATCGCCTTCAACGTCAGGTAGCTCGTTACCGTCCGAGTCATATATTATATCTTGCATGGTTGACTCGTGGTCTGCAGCACTGTCTTCTGCACTGTCCATCGTGGTGGAGAGATCACTGTCGATGTCGTTGTCGCTGTTGTCGTTGTTGTCGTTGTTGTCTTGGCCGTGGACCGTATCCATCTTGAAGGAAGGTCCCCAATGAACAGCTCAGAAGCGTTCGCTATATTCTTATCTTGTGCCTGAATATTCAGTCAGTCCTTTGTTGTTGGTGAGTCGATGTTATTTAGATGTCAGTGTACTCGGTAATAGAGAAAGAAGGCTCTAGATAGATGCCATATTGTGGCTTGCGGCTGAAGTTTGGCACTCTGCCTTGTGAGCAGTATACATGTGGTGTAGCATAGTTATTAATTACTCATTATCAATGAGGTGAGAAGCGTCCTACATAAAATGACAAGTGAGAAAGGCAATTGACCTTTTCTAGATTATTAGCTCCGAAATCCGAAGTGAAGTGGATGTCTCCAGGAGTCCAGGAAGACCTTCACTGTGACAGAAGTTATTGTGCCAATTAAGCACCTGTTATTACGCAACTTTCTCACTCCATTTTCCTTCAATTCGTGTGGTTCTATCTGAACTCCAAGAAGTGTCGGCAAGTATGCAATTGTGGGCTATTGTAATAATACTGATTGTATAGCGAGCGTCACGGGCCGGTCGTAATCTCCTATCATCCCACCAGGAGAGACCAAAGCCCCGAGACTTGGATGAAACAATTCCTGGTTCTTACAAATTCGTGGTCTCTAAAATAGAGAGATGCTGCTTTCTCTCCGTGGTCGCAAAGAACGAGTCAAATTGATACTGAAGATACTGAGAGCAAAGAACATATACCACTCGTTTTGTTTGTTTACTCGCTACTTTGGAGCTTGTCAGAACGACCCCTCGCCGCTTCGCCCCGCAAAGAACAATTGTGCTGCAGTGCGGAAGCATGGAAGATCCTCGCCAACAGGGGAAAGCAAACATTTATGACGCGAAATGTTTATTTCTCACCTGGAGCCACCCCTCGTGAACCACTCAACTCACCGCCTCCCGTACCGCATGAATCTCAATCAAAGCGTACAGGTGTTGGGTCGGGGTCTAACCCATATGCCCGAGCTTTTATAGTCAGGAGGGAGGGGCGCTGGCTGGAGAATTAAAAAATGGAAGTAAACAAAGGCAACCAGTTGTCTCTGCTTGAAATTTGCTGTAGATGTATAGAAAGTGCTTTCTCAATACACAAATATCATTGTCTAATCGTTCTAATAACTTCTTGATGGGATGTCCGAATGGAAACTCGTCTCGCTTGAACTGCTCCCACCACAGACTGCCGGTGCGCTAGTTCCGTTGCTATGCGGGCTGCAATTGGAGGAGTCCTCTCCACGCGTGCTTCTCGAATACAACCAGAAAAGGAGAACAACACCACTAATAATTCATCTAAAGAGTCAACCGCGAGAAACAATCCCAAGATCAGTGCAAATGGGAACACTCCCGCCATCAACGCTCGACCAACACGACCCTCCTATCGCCCTCCTTTACAATCCCGCGACCACAATGCCACGATGAGAGGTTCGCAGAAGGGAGGAACACCGTTAACAGCGAAGAGCGGAAATGCGAATATGCCTTCCTACGAGAAGCCCACCAATTCTTCGAGACCACTTATGCCAACCCTCAGTGCGTCCGCAAAAGGATCGAGTCGACCACCTTTGACTCCACGAGTAGCTGGCTCTGGTCCAACTGTTGCCTCGACCCCGATATCGCGACAGGGCCCTCGAACGAAAAACAGCACTCCCAGTGCCTCGAAGGAAGACATCTCAACACCTGTTTCTGCTTTTCTCAACAACAATATTACACCAAGATCAGGGTCGAGAAAGATACGGGTGGACAGCACGAATACCACGCCCACGGGAACTCCCAATGGCACACCCCTCCATGCTACATCAAATGACTCCTTTCGCGGTGGGCAAGATGCTACACCCACGCCAGGCCTAGGAATTTCTGCTCTGGATAGGGATTTGAATAAAAGACCAACAGTGTCTTTCAGCACTGGGAGTTCAGAAGTTGGAGGATATGCGAGAAGTCCTGGGGCAAATGGACCGGCGGATTCCAAGTTCTTCTTCGCCAGTGATGCAAAAACCACTCAACCACCCACCAGACCTCCGTTGCCGTCCAAATCGTCGTCCACCTTTTTCTACGCAAACGGAGAATCTATTCCACCACCACCTAGCTCTGGGGCTTCTGCAGTTGGGTCGTCGTTGGGAGAGGAGAAAAATCAGCCAAAATTCTTCCACGCGAATGGTACACCAGATTTACAACTATCGCCCTCCCCGCATTTTGCACCACCTAGAGCGAGCTCTGTAGTGTCATCGTCGTCTCGTATGACCTTGACCAGAGCAGCAACAGCGAGTCCAATTATAACCTCACCCTCTCAGAGACCAATGTCTCCATCAAAGCTCAGTCAACAACCAACTGTAGCTCCACTAAGGAATACACCTAGCATTCAATCGGCAATATTACCCCGGCCTCCTGTTTCAGGCCGAGGTTCGTCAGCAAGCAATATCACATTGGCTCGACGGTCGAGCATCGAGTCTACCTCACGTGTCTCGAGTCATGGACGTTCTATTAGTATGGGATCATCAACATCACCGCCATCAAGAAAAGTGTCTAGTCCGGTTGAATTAATGCCACCATCTACACCACTTAATTTAATAACTACCGGGCTAGTATCTTCTCCAGAGCAGACGCCAGATCCTCCTAGCTCGATTGACGAGGTTGCTTCGGATCATCTTGTGAGTCCAATGAAAGCGGGACAATCGATCGAGCATTTGAATGAATTAGCAGCCAATGCTCGTAGGGAACGAAAGGTTCTTGATTTGGAAATCACTAACTCATCACTTGCCGCCATCAACCGGACACTTGAAAGGGAAATGAGGAAGCAGACTGCCGAATTACGACGTTACCGAAGACTTAGCAGATCTGGTCGACTTTCTATTGCTTCTAGTTCACTGAGGACATCGACTGGAACTTTTTCACTGCTTGATGGTGGATTAGATGGGCAGGATCTTTCCGATATGAGTGAAGAAGAGGAAGAGGAGGAGGGGTTCTCATCTGAAACCTCGGACTCGATGGACGATGGTTCTCTAAGTCCAGCTGCCATGGCCGAAAGCGATCTTCGTCATCGGCAAAAAGACGAGAAGAGATTACAGCTTGATTTAAGCAAACACCAACAACTACTAGTCGACAGTCAACAGATGAATCAGAGCTTGAAGCGCTGCTTAGGCTGGACCGAGGCGCTTATCAGCGAGGGAAAGAAAGCTTTGGAGTATAAAGTCCGAGTCGATATCGAACTAGGAGGCAGAGTCCTCGTACCTGAGGAACTCGAGTCGCCCGAGGAGGAGGAAGATAATGAAGGCATGAGCGATATCGGCGCTCGAATGCTCAGAGAAGCGCGACAGAAAGCAGCTGTAAATGCTTCAGCGTGGGAAGCAAGAGATGACAGGGATAGCGGGATTGAAGTCGATGGATCTCATCGCGAGAGACTAGCTGAGGCTTTTAATTCCTAATCGTACGCAAACAAGCGAGACGTTTAATATGTACCAACAATCGATCGACAGACCGAACACACCACTCACCAGAACGACACCATCTCTTATGTTTATCACGGTCTCAGCGATACCTTTTAATTGTTGGTTAGGAGTTGAAGGACGTCTATTCGATTACACGCATGTATCGATTTTCTTTGGCATTTTCATCGGCGTTTTTACACTCCTTTTTACACTTTGGACTGGGGGTATGGAATATGCAAGTTGTGGATATTTTTTGTTTTGTGTATACATATGTGACATTCGTTTTTTTGGTTGGCAGCTTTTTTCGAAACGATACCCGATTTTTATTGTTGAGTGTGAGGGGCCAGAGGGAAGGGGGAGGAGGGATTTTGTATTATACCCGGAGGATTGGTAGATGTGAGAGGGAGGAAGAATAAGACATCGAGAGGAGAGGTAGATGGAGATATGGATTAAGAGCGGAGAAATGCTGGATATGGAAAGGGAGAGACGAATGAGGGAGGATACGAGAATGTAGTCGAGTGAATAGGATATGCGGAAGACGTGTAGAAGTGAAGTTGATAAAATTCAAAAAGAAGAAATAAAAATGAGAATAATTAAAATAAACGGGTTTCTGCTTGGAGTATAGGATATTCGTGTGAAGTAGTCAGGGTGAGGCGTTTTATTGATTAGTGTGCTTCTTTTTCAAAATTAAGGCTGGTTTGAGATATGTTACCCTAAATGAGTTTAGATGGAATTGAAAGGTATGGTGATACCTGAACAGTGTACCAAGTGAGTAGAATAGGATAAATACTCTTACAAACTCGCCTCAACAAGTTTTATAATCTACTCAATTGTCACTCAACTTTTACCGAAGTAACTCATGACTAGTCTAAGTAAGTCGTGGATACACTGGTCCTAATCCTAAACGTGTAATGTGTACTATACATCAAATCTAGAATAACTGTTTCAACCCAACCTAACATTGTGCTACTCACACACGAGACTGAATCGACCAAGTTTCTGGTACCAGCTTCATACCACGCCCTCCCTCACATACGAAACTTACTACTTAGAGAATGCTCATACGATAAGTCACCTCCTCCCTACCCACAAATTCTTGCATATCATCAGTTCCCACACTGTCTTCAATTCGAGATCTCGGACTGGTAGCAAGACAGACCACTGACTACGGTACGGTGTTTGTGTTTGTGTTTATCCCATTTCTCTTGTCCAAAGAGAGGCGTCATGTGAGTCGTCGGAAATGGATGAGGGGCGTTACATGGCTAGAGATGAACTTTGCCACTCCTCTACAGATAGAACGCGCTTTCAACGGTAGATACCTATCTAAAACCAGTTGCGTAGAAGTAGAAGACGCTAGGTCGTCGAAACCTGTGGGATTCACACCACGTCGATTAAGTAAAAGGTAATTCGAGTATACCGGAGTCAAAGACCATTGGCCAGATCAGGTCGCGTGTGAAATAATTGAATATTATTTGAGAAGACTCGGTGTTATGCATGATACTCTTCTTGATCACCGCCTATGAACACATTACGGCAGAAAAGATGGGGGTATATTCGTCTCGTTTATTGATAACTCATCGCATTATCCACAATCCCTCTCCCTCCCTACCTTCGCTTGGACTTGGATCCATCTCTGCTAAAATAACCTCTATGAACATTTTTGTACCGGAAGCACAGCAAACAAGAAAAACCTCCGCGTTGACATCCTTAAGGCGACCGAAAACCATACAAACGCCCGAAGAAAGCCTCCCTGTAGCGAAGATAAAGACAACGGGCCGCTAGTCATCGCATAGTAACTTTTGATCCTGTTCGGTTCTTCGCGTCTCGTCTCGTCCCGACCCGCCCGCTTCCCAAATTCCGAACCCTTCGAAACCGGGTCATTTAGACAGTGTACTTGGCTTTCGCGCGGGTACTTCCACTATGCGCACTATCGGTGTGACCAGAAAACTCGACCACCTCTCCCTCAGGAAGCTTAAGAACATCCTTGAACTTCTTTCCGATATTCATAAGGATATCTTTACCCTTCTCTATGGACCTTCCCTTGCCACCAGCGACATCTCCGTCACCACCACCCGGGATGCTCTTTCCGATTGTGCGAGTCCAGACACCGACACGGTAGAAACCCTTTCGCACGTTGACGACTACACCCATGAGTTCTCCGTCTCCTTCTTCCTCAAGAGTTTCGCCAATCGCGGCGAGCATTACTTGAAGCCAGAGTTCGTCAATTGGAACAGCGTGTTTGTTTTTGAATTGGTAGGACCATTTTCCTCCGTGCTTATTTTGCACGTCTTCCCATTCTGGTCGGACGCCTTCTTTAAAAAGGTGGTAATCTGACTTAAGGGCGAGCTCGGATGTTGGCGCAATGTTGTTCTGGCAAGAGGTTAGCATGTGAAAAGCGACATTTAAATATGCAAAAATGAGACTTACATAGACACCCCAGAACTCCTCGACGGAATTGAAAGTGATAACCTCCTTCAGTAAATCATTCCAGTTGTCACCCTGAAACTTGTTAGCCAACAAAATCCGTGGTACACAATCCACAATCACCAACCTTTCCACTCGGTGGCTTGGTGAACCACAGAGTCCATTTGTGCATCAAAGGGTGCTTGACATTGAAGTTGTCCTTGTCATGAAACACAGTGATCTGTTCCTCTGAAGCTTCTGGCTTCTTATCGCTGTTATCACCACCTGGAGAGACTGGGATGGTAGTCAGATCGACGGGTTCATCTTTGGTAGACATGACGGCGGTTTAGAAGTTTCGAGAGTGGGTAAGTAGGTACGTGAGCTCGATTCGTAGAAGTTTGGTTAGAAAGGTAGCTCGAATTGAACGCAAATCCAATAGCGCAATGGAGGTGAGGCTTAAAGAGGAAATGTAAGTTCGTCTATCGGCGTAGAAATCGTAATGCGACGCTTGCTCCGGGCAAACCTGTCGTCGTAAGAGTGTGGAAGTGGTGGAGGATCAGTTTGGAGTTTGGAGCTTGTTGTTGATTGCTCTTGTCCAAAAAGTTATGGGCGGTTTTCAAACGCCAAGATATGCTTACTAAGGTGGGCTGGGTCGCGGTGTATCACGTGTTTGGTCATTTGTCCTACTTCAAGGAGTTCTACGCTGCAGTTTGTGGGAATCATTGTATTAAAAGCAGAGATACTAAGAAAGTTTTGATGTCATTCTCATACTTTAATGGTGAAGTTTAATGTTGGAACGGAAAATGAAAATCAAGCTTTTGCAATTGGTCAAAAGGTCTCAATGTTTTCAAATAGTTTGTATCGATCACGACAATCAGGACAGGTCAGCAGGCAGGTGTTCATGTACAATGGCATCTTTCTAAATAGTAGATATGCATATGTAAAAGCTGAGCACAAAAAAAACTTCCCATATGTAAAGATCGTATACACAGAAACACAAACATCTGTAGCTTCCAATCACTCCAGAACGCCAACGCTGTGCAGCCCCTGTCTATCGCAGATGCGCAAAGAACCCCAATCTATGCCATGTACAGAGCCCCCTTACGCCGCTACCTCTTTCTTCCCACCTTGACTATTCAAGAAACTCAGATAGCAATTCCAACCCAACGAGATAACATTAACGACCAAAACCCGGTGGTGAAGCGGCACGAGCTTGAAGTTGATAGCCTGCACAAACGGCCAAACCATCCAATTCTTTTGCAACGCGGTGGCATATGTGCTCTCAAGCTTATCCTTAGGACTAGATCCCTCCATAATAGCCATACTGCTCAAGAAAACGAAGAGATTCGTGCTTGCAAAGATTGTCTGATCTGCGGCGACTCGCGCGACGATTTCGAGGTTCTTGTTCTTGAGAACAATCTTGTTTTGGAGGAATTTGAACCATGTGGTTGCTGCTGGACCGAAAATAGCTATGGGGAGCTGTTAGCGGTGTATCAAGTTCATGACGAGGGCGATGTGTACCTCCACCGTATAATGCCATGCGGCCTGTTCGTGCCAATTCGTGGTTCGCCAATCCCTTCTTCTCGACCAATTGCTGGGCCATAGTATCACCGGTTGCGAACAGCACTGCTGTTGTAATACTCTGGGTCAAGAGTGGGCTCTTGGCCAGCTTCATTTGGTACCTAGATGTTTGTTAGCGATTATTCTATAGCTCTTGATTGCCGCAATTCAGGTTGTGAATACAAGATCACTTACCATCTGAGCATCTTGACGAATTTGCGCTGCTATTAATTTTCGAGAAAGAGTTGAGAATGAAGCTGAAGATTTGTGAGGTTGAGGTGTCTGTGACCCGTCGAACTTGATTCTCGCGAGATATTTTGGACCCCCAAACTTCGCCAGTTATGAGCTACACCCCTGCTAGGATTAGCGGCGGGATTGAACGGCTTTCCCCATTGAGAAATTATGCGTGGGGTTATGGTGTTCTGAAACACCATACCACTTATGCATACATTCTGTGCATTTCGCATACAAACTTAGGATCTCATGCCCAAGAATATGGAGGTAAACGTTACAAACTCAACAAGGTGTGAACATCAACATTGATGTAGCTTTCCGGACTCGAAAGTGAAGCCAATAATAAAACTTGGAATTAGCGCTGAAGATGAAAAATCGATTCTATCATGCTAAACAACTAATCTAAATAAACGATATCTCTGAATGATATCTCTTAGCGATATCTCTAAACATTAATTTTCATAGCAAATACACAATTCTCCGTGAACCGACGAGAACGCCACGCGCCATAAGTCCAGCGTTGTAGACCTCCCAAAAACGACAAATCAAAATGTATTCCTCCCAGGAAGCTTATTAATCAAGACTGAATCACTGCAAAAGCTTGAATGGTGCTGTTTGACATCCTATTTGATTGGCAGAAGATGTTCCAAAATAATAGGAATCAGCACACGAACGGAAGGTATCGAATCCATTTGGACTAGTAGAGGAGCAAGCCAGCGAACCGGCGCTATCAACCTTGCAAGAGATAGGATACATAGTTGTTGGGTTTGCAGCTACTATCGCATCTGTGGTGACAATCAAAACACCGAAATTGGAACTAGGTTGGAGCTGGGTAACAACCCATTTGAGTTCTGGGCTTCCGGCAACGTATGGACGGCCTCCATTTGTGAAGAAGCCGAAGTTGCTGGCGATATTGGATACTGGGATGCCTTGGATGTTGTTGTTTCCGGGGATGACGCGCAGATACTCGTTTGGCGTAGTTGCGGCTACGACCTTGGAGGTTTGGGTTGGGCCGGCGCCTGTGGAGGTGGTGGTTCTCGAGGAGGTGGAGGAGATGGACGAAGCAGAGGAAGTGCTCGTGCGGAGTGTTGTCGAAGTTGAGAGGGTCAGAGAGGAGGAAGAGGTGGATGAGGTGGTGATTGAAATGAGTGTGGTTGAGGATGATATAATTCGAGACGAAGAGGAGGTAGATGGAGTCGTTATAGAAGTAGAAGAGACCGAAGATGATGGAATTTGAGAAGAAGAGGAGGTAGTGATAGGTGCAGAAGTGGATGAAGAAGATAGAACTCGAGACGAGGAGGAAGAGACAGTTGACGATGTGCTTGAAGCGATTGAAGCTGTACTTGACGCTGAACTGGAGGAGCTTGATGATGAAGTTCTTGTCGATGAAGATACAGAAGATGTTGGTGTGGCGCTTGTGGTTGCGGATGCAGATAAAGAGGAGGTGCTAGTCGCTGTTGCAGAGACAGAGCTTGAGGATGAGCTTGAACTTGTTGACGCACTGGTAGCCGGAACGCTTGAGCTTGCAGAGGATGTAGAAGCTGTTGGTACAGATGATGAAGATGTGGATGGTGCGGATGAGGTAGCTGAGGATGAGGTAGTTGAGAGTGAGGTAACTGATGACGAGCTGGTCAAGGTGGCTGAAGTAGCTGAAGTTGAGGTATCTGAGGATGAGACGACCGAGGATGATATAGCTGAGGATGAAGTAGCCGAGGAAGATGTAGCTGAGGACGAGATAGCGGATGAAGCAGCTGAAGATGAAGTATCCGAGGCAACTGATGTAGACGAGCTTGAGCTTGTAGCAGATGTTGAAGTTGTGGCCACCGCCGATGAGCTGGATGATGTTGAGTCCACAGTAGATGCAGAGGTACTTAATGTACTGCTCAAAGAAGAAGTAGCTCCAGTAATCTTGTGATACACGTTTAAACGATTGCCAGCGCCACACGTCTCTGCAGAGTTTCCAGGACATGGGGTGGAGCACTCAGATCTCGCGGTTGGAACACTGCCATCATTGATTGTGTTGCCACAATAGCACTGCACGATATGTTAGCCAACATACAAATGAATGACTCCCGGAAACAACATACCTCTCGACCATACTCAACACCGAACCACTCGTAACCGGTACAGGCAGCCGCGCATTTCTCAACAGTCATGCTGTCGTCAAAGTATGATTTTCCAGTCAAAGCACGTTGGCCTGTCGCTTCGGTATAGCAGCCCGCATCGGTGTAGCCAGCAGGAGCAGTCGGCGAGGCAGCAGTTGATGATGTTGAAGTAGCAGAGGAGGTAGCTGAAGTAGCAGAAGAAGTTGTTGATGATGGTGCAGGGGTATAGCCAAATTCGTAATAATTGAATCGCCAATCACCTCCGCAAGTTTCTGTCTTGTCTCCTGAGCAGGCATACTTGCAATCACTGGCAGGTGCAGCAACACTCCCAACGGCGAGCATATTTCCACAGTAGCACTGTTCGGATGTCAATCGGAATCAAATTTCACATGATAATATGAATTGCCTACCTCGCTGGAGTACTCCACGCCAAACAAAGAATACTGGCCGGCAGCACAAATATCCGCACAGTTCTCAACAGTCATGTTGTTAGACACTGTGGTCTTACCCATAAGGGCACGACCATTCTGGGCGTTGTTGGGCTCAGTGTAGCAGCCATGACTACCGTATTTGGAGAAGTCTGCAGGGCCAGAGCCGGTGGTTTGGTAAACGTTGAGTCGATTTCCAGCTCCGCAAGTTTCTGTGGCATTTCCTGGGCAAGCGAAGTTACAATCTGAAGATGCTGTAGAAACGCTACCGGTGTTTAGATTATTTCCACAATAGCACTATCAAACTTGTTAGATGCTTCAAGTTATTCTAGGGGAAGTTAGATAATATACCTCTCTTCCATACTCAACTCCAAAGTAAGAAAAGCCCTGACAAGTACTTTGGCACAGCTCCAAGGTCATGCTATCATTGGAGTACGATTTCCCACTGAGAGCACGTCCAGAAGTGGCTTCTGTGTAGCATCCCAGATTGTCATAACCGGTGAGATCGCGCTGAGTGATTCTATGCACATTGGAAGTGGATTGCTGATACTGTGGTGCGGCACTGACAATTCCTGCTGCGAGGAGGCCCCCGAGGGTAACGAGAGTGAGCTGCATAGTGAATGTGAGGATAGAGAATAAGATAGTGAAGGAGTAACTGAAATGTTAATGAATGAATGTTGATTGCTGATGAGCCAAATGAGCATGCAGAAGAGGGTGTCTTATAGTAGATGGCCTACCAACCTACCGACATTGAATGCCTCTATTGATGATCTAGAATGTTATGAAAACCACACGTTCTGTCCATAGCAAATATTGGGATAATTTGTCACAGATCATGAATCCGGAACGAAGAAGCTCCTTCGTCTAGTTAAAAGATCTATTGAAAGATGGCCATATCGATCCAGAATATTTTCGAAAGAACTTGACATCTCCTCGAATGTCTCCGCTGTGTTTCTCATTGGTTGCAATGTCCACAATTCTTTCTTTCTAAGGGGTTCCTTCCTAGGACGGTAAGAGAAAGATTGGCAAGCCCAGATACTGCTACTGCACAGCATTCTCGGCTTGCGACGATCCTTATTTGGTCAGATCTAGGCAAGGCAGTCATTCAGCCGCAATCGTGGGATCGCCCGATTCCCCAGTTCTCGGTTGTGTCTGATGGTTGTGTCGTCGAAGTCGTCAGGTCCGAACGACGTGGGTGACCAAAGTCAAACTATTCAGCCGATCGGTTCGCTAGTGGTTTGACAATCCAGGCCGTCGGAATCTGTTTAAGCGCGGTGGATTATCAATTTCCAGTCTCGATGAAGGCTTCGAGATCTTATCACCCAACTAATGATGCCGGCAGCAGTAATCTGGTCGATCAATCCAGAGCGTAGGTTTGAGAGTCTGGGTGACGCCAAAAGCCGTTGAAATTCTGGACAAGGCATAGTATGTCAATAGTCTGCAAAGTCAGAACTTGGTACGCTAATGTCGGGATTTAGGATTCCATAGGCGGACATCAATTGCCAGGGCAAATATCCGGGATGATGGCGGCCGCTACTGGTATAGTACACTTTTAGAGCTGTCTCTGTTCAGCCTGAATCTACTCACTTTTTTGGGGGTTCTGAATTCCAATAGTGTCCATCGCGTCAAGTCGCATAAACTAACCGAACCTGGGCATTTCAGGATCGGTGCTCGCAGTAACTAAAGAGAGTTTGAATGGAGGACATTCGGAAATACCGAAACCCAAAGCATGATGCTCATACACCGATTTCACATCCCACGATCGGTACTCCATACTCACAAATGAGCAAAATGCACCGCCAAATCAATAACTCTCCACCACTCTCTCCTCTTTCAAATCTGGTACCCATCCCTTCGGTCTCTCCCTCCCCCTAATAATCAACCCATAAACAGCCGTCTCAACCTTGTCCACACTTTGTTGCATAACCTCCATCTTCTTCTGCACATCCTTCCCCAGCCCCGTGCCTGCAGAACTCGTCGTATCTAAAGCCTCAAAACACGCTCTTACACTCCTCAGATCCACCAGAATATCTCTGTCTCCTGATTTCGGTAAGCCGCCAGTGGTCGCGATTGTCGTGATAGCATATCTCATTAATTCACCACTGAGATCAAAGAGCCCGAGAAGGTAGTCGTCAGGTGTGAGGTTTATCCTAGACGGTAAAAGAGCCGAAGATTCTGTAGGAGTGATGAGAGTCTGAAATTGTATGTAGTGTTGAAAGGCTATAGCCTCAATGTATTCTTGGATTCCACCTGAGATTTGTCGCTGGTATCGCCATGCGTTGATTCCTGCGAGGTCTGGTGCTATTGCCTCCATCTGTTTTTGCATGGCTGAAGCACGATCATCTACCTCCTTGGCGATTTTCTCTGGGATATCTGATTTCAATGTTCGTACTCTGCTTTAATGTCAGTATGGAAACATGAATCGGAGGGTAAACACGTGATACCTCTGAAGCGCAAAAATACTGTTCATTAATCAGTATTTATCAATTCAAAGCTTGATAGATACAATCTTACATCTTCTTACTAGCCGCCGTAATATCCCTCGATGTCTTTATGACCCTCTCCCTCCGATCATGGTGTTCATCCAACTCGTCGCGGAACGTCTCGAACATAGGCATGAATGGGGAGAGATTTGCCTCTTTCTCCTTTTCGGAACCATCGTGGGTGCGTTTGATGGATGGCATACTAGACTCTGACATTGGCGTTGATGGTTCGGTACAAGAACAAGAAGATTAAGGTAGGTGCAGTAATGACCAGACGAAATGTTTGTGTCACTGATACTTGCAGTTGGGGGCGGTTTGATCTTGAAACTGTAAAGCGGTGAGAAGCGGCAGAATTAACTCATCCTAATATTTTGAGCTTCATCCAGGAGAACCCCATCATTACCGCTCAAAATTCATTTCCTCTCAATGTCTCAATCTCAAAAATAATGAAAATTTTAAAGCCCTTGCACCCCAATCTTTAAAACCCCCTCATAATGGCATTCTTCACCTCCCCCCTTTACGTCTTCACCACCGCCTTCCTTCTCCGCCTAACCCTCCTTCTCTACGGCCTCTACCAAGACGCCCACTCCCCCCTAAAATACACGGATATAGATTACCAAGTATTCACCTCGGCCTCCCTCTACATATCCCGCGGGCAGTCACCCTACGCCCGCGAAACCTACCGGTACACACCTCTCCTCGCCTTCCTCTTACTCCCCACGACATGGGGACCCATCTGGTTCTCCTTCGGCAAAATTCTGTTCGCTGTAGGCGATCTAGTCGCTGGGTTTTTAATCGTGCGGATTTTGAGAAACCAGGGGATGAGTCAGGAGAGGGCTCTAAAGTATAGTAGTATTTGGCTATTGAATCCTATGGTGGCTACGATTTCGACGAGGGGGAGCTCGGAGGGATTGTTAGGCGCGATGGTGGTTGCGCTGCTGTGGGCAGTGTTGGAGAAGAGGATTTGGCTGGCGGGAGCGCTTTTGGGGTTGGCGGTGCATTTTAAGATTTATCCTGTTGTTTATGGGATGTCTATTATCTGGTGGTTAGACGCTCAACAACTTGGTCAGGGGGTTAAGAATGCCGATACGTTGATGGGAAAAGTCAAGAATTTCTTGAATCCGGCGAGGGTTCAATTAACGATTGTCTCGCTACTGACGTTCATGGGGTTGAATATCACCATGTATATCCTCTACGGCTACCCTTTTCTACAACACACCTACCTACACCACGTAACGCGGATAGACCATCGACACAATTTCAGTCCTTACAACATCCTGCTCTACCTCTCTTCTTCACAAGACGCCAAATCAGGAATCCGCTTCGAATCTCTAGCATTCATACCGCAGCTATTCCTCTCCGCAATCGCCATCCCATTTATGTCATCGAAGAAAGATCTCCCAGCAACAATGCTAGCGCAAACATTCGCATTCGTAACTTTTAACAAAGTGTGTACGAGCCAGGTAAGCGTCTTCTCTTTAGCATCTATCTCAACCTAACAATCTATCAGTATTTCCTCTGGTACACCATTTTCCTACCTTTATACCTACCCAACAGTAGTTTAATCAGCAACCCCCGTCTCGGAATCTCCGTGTTAGCAGCATGGATAGGAACGCAAGCACTTTGGTTACATCAAGGTTTTGCGCTTGAATTTCTAGGAAAGTCGACTTTTGTACCAGGATTATGGGTGTCTTCATTGCTATTCTTTTTGACGAATGTGTGGATTTTGGGCATTATTGTGCAGGATGTTGGGAGAAATCACAGCCCAATCGGGCAAAGCATCCAAAAGGGAGAATCGAGTAAGAAGATAGAGAAAGTTGTTAAATAGAACATGTATATATAATGAGTAACGCAATGTATCAAGTCACAGCCTCTAGCCACGACAAAATCGTTACATGCCTACTCAACTATACGCCCCAAAAAAGCCCCCTTCCAAATACCATAGATGCCATCCACCTACTATGCGCGCGCAAACAAATCAAACACAATGACAGAATTTGGTAAATGAATGAGACGACAGGACCAGAGTCTAGCGAGGGCTGCAAAAATCAGTTCCAAATTGGCCAAAATATCCCCCAAGACTCCTGTTCCGATTAATACCAACGCCATCGCTGCCATGCTGCCAGAAGATTCCAATTTCCCCAGTTCCGTAATAATACCTGTTTCCGTACGATATTCCAGACAAAGATGCAACCGCTGATTTTTCTCCCGGGTTCTATGGACCAAAAAGTGATGATGACATAACGTAAAAAAAAGTGGCAAAACGATAGCGCGTTGCCGGTGTGTGATATGAAATCTCGACTGAGACGTTGTCAGAGATTCGCTGATGGGCGAATTGGTCTTTACTCAAACAGGCTGGTTTAAGTAATCGTGATTCCACCCATAAGCGTAGAATAACTTGATATTTTGATAGATTGAGGTCGAGTCTTGGAGAAGTTTCCAGGTATGAAGAGCTGACCGTCCTTGAAGCCAACATCGCTCAATGTGTCTGCCTTCTCAGCAAAAGTAGCGTAGGGTCGAGTTCGTCTGAGATTGTCGACAATTGGGTCGCTCCATATGCCGGTGCAGTGGTTGTCCTGAAGTTGAAAGTATGGATTTAAAGCAGGCACTTGAGATTCTGGTTCTTGTTAGCATTTGGCGTTATATAAGCGATCGATTAGCACTCACCCAAATCGATAAAGCGAATCCGCAGGAACTCCATAGCAGCCAACTTATCCAGGGACTTAACAGCTGAAATAACCAATGCCTCGAAGGCTTGGATGAAAGCCATGTCGGTGATTCCTGTACCATCGTTCCAGACATAGGTTGGTCTACATATGTTCTTCACAATCAAATCTATACTTTTCATTCTCGTTGTTCGAGGGCTTGTTAATTTTGCCGCTTGATCAAAGAAACCCTTGCAAATGCGACCGGTAAATGCTAAATGCTCCAGCGTGGGAATCGCTTTGGCCAATTCGATGCAAAAATGAGTCTTTCCCCCAACCTTCTTCACAAACATTGGCGAAGCAGCTTCACGGCGGTAATCATTCTCGAGGCATAAATTGAGGTGAGTCAGAGTCCTTGCGAGGTTTGGAAGTGTGGCAGCCATTGATATGTAGCTCTTCGACTTTGGCTTGGCATACAGGCCATGCCACTCACTGAGATGTGGCAGCGCTTTCGAGATGTTTTGGAAATCTTCGTTCGACCTAATGAGATTCCACTGCCCTTTACATACTAGAGTCTTGATTTGGGGAATTTCTGGCAGACTCCCCTTTTGCGACGGATTTAGGAAATGTCGGACCATTGGAGGTTTCTTTCGGTCTCCTCCTTCAAGGGTCAAAATACAGGCCTCCCCTAGTGTCATCTGAACAAATCTAAAGATCTCTTCCAGGGTGCAATTATTCGAAGGACTCTGATATGTAATACTGGCACTTTCTGCGAGAGTTGGTAGGGCCCTTAGCGAGGATGATCGTTCGGGTGCAGGCACGCGGAGTGTGCGATCGAAGGCGGGGTTCTTTTGCTGAAATACCGGGAACCAAACCTCGATATGTTTAACATAAGGGCAGAGATGAGGGTGTTCCTGGAACCATTCTACGGCCTGCGCAATCGACTCCCTAGTCCCCTTGACCTTGAGATGACGATACAGGCGGTCTTGAACCAGGTGTCTCCATTTCCCACTCACTAAAGATAATCTTGCGACCTCCTTTCGTCTCGAGTGCCTTAGAGCTGTACCCCAACTTCGTAGAATCTTCGACTTTCCAGGGCCCGTCGTCCTCGATGCGGCTGAGCTCCGCTGGCCAAATAGATGATCGAGAATGCAGTCGTGAATTTCTAAAGGAAGCCCGCACAGGTGCGATGTGGTTGAGGGTGCCGGTAGAAGCAGTTGTGACACTCCGTCAATTCGGTCGCCATCACTGAGACGTAGCAAACATTGAATATCCCCTTCTACCATGTCTGCTTCGGGAAAGGGCGTACTTTTCGGCCTTGCTGGCGGAACAATATCTTCTTCATGGTCGTCTATTTTTAATTGATCGATCGGAAGCGGTCGCACAGAGGTCGGCGTGGATGGACCTGGAGTTGCTGGTGTGCTCGCTGTCGTCATGAGGTGGAGAGTAGAGGATGGTTCTTCGGCACGATTCTGCTGAGGTGGTGGTTCAGGAAACATTATGAATTTCGCTTTGTTGAAGCAGCATGCAGATCACTTCGACGATCAATGTCGAGAGAAGTGTCGAGAGTGCAACTCTATCCAGGGTGATGGAAGGTGTCGCAGTCGTCGTCTAAGCCCGGGTGTCTTGACACTGCGCTCCTCTCATTTGAATCCTACCGTAGCGCCCAGGATTCCGTACCGGCGTCTTTGCTCAAGAAGGGATTAAATGGATTCGAATTGTTGCTCGCTCGCAGATGAGGATATACTATTTCCGTCGCAGGCCTAGTCGATAGTGGAAGTGGTCTTGTGGTCTCGTGCTGATGTGGCAGGATGGCAGATTGTGGGGTGGTTTGCGCTTGGGGATCGATCGAACTTGGTGAAGAGCGGGCCGTTTTGGAAGAGTGATGTACGGATTCGACGGTGATGGGTATTTGCAGTGGTATAGTTGGTCGAGAGAGGATGTCTGGTATAATTTGGTTCGTTGCGGGTGAATTATCAGAGTCGGGTGTCGTGGATGAATGTCGTTGGTGTTCGTGTTTCGTTGGCGGTCGGAATCTAATCTCCAGAGTTGAAGGTGCTGGTGTCTGGTGCGTGCTAACAGGGACCCACTTTACGCAGCCCCCGCCATGCCGAATGGAACCGTGGAATTCTTGGGGATGCTTTCAATTTTGCAACACCAGAGACGTTGGATCGAGATAGTTCTGCATACTGCTCCGCCCTAGACAAGGCATCAGTATGCAATCCGTGCTCCATATCCTCAGAATCGTATTCTAATTACCGTGGTGATAAAGCTAACACCACATAGGCATGTCTCCAACCAAAATTGTGTCCGATCAACCCATTGGTAATCGGTACGCATTGTGTAAGTCAGTCTATTACACCAAGAGGCAAAGGCTGCTCAATCTCATCTTCACGGCATTGCAGCCATATGCTGTATGCTGTTAGCCTTCCATTCGCTCCGTGTTGCGTTACTCCTCACCTGCAAAGTACAACTCTCATGACGATTACAACACATCAGTGGCACCAGCTGCGGTTTCTCGAGTCCAGTGGCCACCATATCTCATCCGACAAGATTCAAGCTTCAAGGCAATTGATTGTCCAGTGTAGTACAGAGTTGTTTGAGTGGACATGATGAAGTCTTTAACCCTCTGTCAAGCAATCAATTCCCTTAAACACAAGCTCATGAAATACTCATACGTTGAGATGTCTTCTTTCCGGCATTTTGACCATCTTCGGAGGCCCGAGGGCAAGGGGCTCTTTAACAAGCCCTTTTGCAAGTCAAGAAGTATTTTCGCCTGTCACTCGTTAGTTGGTGTGTTTTCATCAGAAGCAACATCGTTTGTTATCCTTCCACGTAATACCTATTTCGTCACAGAACCATCTGATGAGCCTATCAAAAGCTGGAGTGCTTTTGTCACGTAAGTTATGGTCGGTGAGATTTGTTGTTGCTCTTCAACGCATCTCTGTGCTGTTAGAGAAGGACATCGGTTAACCCGCGGGCTTAAGTTTGCACCTCACAAATGATCTAGACCTGCTGGTTTTTTCTTCTGTGTTTTGGATTTGAAACTTCAACCTCAAAAAAGGCGTGGCAGGTATTGAGTTTGCCTTCTGTGTCATAGCTCAGTCACGATAGATGTGTCAAGATCAAGAGCATTACAAGATGACAGACCTATCAATACTTCTTGAACATATTGAGCTTTTTTGCTTGTTCCGATTGTGTAACTACACCTGCTTAGGTTTAGACAAGTCTGTAATTTGCAGAAAATAGCTACGTCTTTGGTGCATTCCTCTGAAATCCTGTTATAAATGCACAAGCACATTTGAGCCCGTTTGAATATCGCGGCCATCGGTTTCCCATGCTGATAATGACCAGAAATTCGTACCTCTACTATCAAAACAAGAACCGACATGTCTTAAAAAGAATTCCGTATTCTTCAACATCAATCTTCTATATCTCAACCCGTTGTCCGGGATATGTGAGCTCGCGGTGAAACATACAAGTCGCACTTGGTCACAATACTTCTTCACCGATGGTGAGAAAATACTTTATAAATTGCCTACTATTGTGAGTAAATGAAAAGTTTTCTATGAAATGCTATCTCAAAAACTTATAACGTTAAGAACATGTCCCTCTGCTGACTTATAATTCAAGTCACTACGAGGAAAGTCATGTTTTAATCTTCCGGTCCACCATCGTACGATCACGTGTTACTACCTGCAAAACATCGCGACTCCACTTTTCCAATGTCAAGGATACTTCGGCATTTCGCTCATTCAACGCAATTTATCTACGCCACATACACAACTGTTGCTGCAGAGATACATACAAGCATTGTCAAGCATTTATACATCCGACAATGAAATGCTTAGCTCTCTTATTGGGACCAATGGCTGAAACCCATCTTCATTATCCGGGAGTCATCCCACTTTAAGCTTTTCTTCAACCAGGGTTGACAGCTGCAGCTCGTTGGCTAGTCTAGGGTGATGTGCTTCAATTGTCCTATTATATCCGTTCCCCTTACACAGCTTCCATCTTGAGTAGAGATCGCGCCGGTGAGTGGCTAAAGATGCTGCCGTGACGACGTGAGCTTATCCTGTTCAGGGAGGCGGTAATGAGGTACGAGGTTCAAAGCCGATCTATGACGGCTTTGCCCTTTCACTATCACAAGCATACAGACCCGAGTATGGCAGAATCCAAGGAGACCCTGAATGGAGTTGAGAAAGCTATCCTCGAGTGGGGTAAAATGTGATCCGGTAGGTGGGAGACTCGTTGGTATAAGAGGGACGGCTTGCCCGTAGCTACAGTCCTTCTTTTTCCTTGAAGACTAAGCAGTTATTCATTTGATCTGCCAATATGCGTGTTGTCAATTCTCTTCTCCTGCTAGCTGCGGCTTCATTTACTGTCGCTGTGCAAAGTCCTCACGAGAAAGCTTCCAAATACGTTAAGAGGTCAACAGCTCCTTTGCACACGAAAGATGCTCCTCGAGCTCGGTCATATTCGCAGTACTTGACCAATTCCACTTCCAGTATGGCTTTTTTCCACCTTTTTCTCTTCCCTCAATCGATTTATGCGTCTTCAGTATAGGGTTGGGCGTAACAGAGCCAAGGTCTGCCGCTTCTATGGAAGCAGTCCTAAGTGCCTTGGGATTCTTTACTGGAGCAATATAGACCCAGATTGGGGCGCAATTGAGTTCGGACGTCAACACCTAGCGCTAACAATATCGCAGAGTTCTCAGTGAACGGTAGTGCTCTACCAGAAGTCGATTTTAACATTGGCGAGTCGTATGCCGGAACATTACCAATTAGCGAAAATGAGTCGGACATAAATCGTTTGTGGTTCTGGTTCTTCCCTTCAACGAACCCACTTGCTTCGAAAGAGATCACAATTTGGCTCAATGGCGGACCAGGTTGCAGTTCTTTAGATGGATTGTTTCAAGAGAATGGACCTTTCTTGTGGCAGTCAGGAACATAGTAAGATGCAAAGCTTTATCAGTCGCAACAGCGGGAGCTAACATTCGGATCTCTAGTGCACCAGTCGTCAATCCATACTCTTGGGTGAACTTGACAAACATGATCTATATCGATCAGCCTGTTAGCACTGGCTTTTCTCCTGGAAATATCACAGTCAATGACGAGCATGATGTTGCAACTCAGTTCATGGGCTTTTGGAAAAACTTCATTGAGACTTTTGCCATGCAAGGTTACAAAGTATACGTCACCGGAGAATCGTATGCTGGTCAATATATCCCATACATTGCTTCAGCAATGTTAGACGCGGAAGATGAGATATATTACAATGTCAAAGGTGTGAACATTATGGATCCATCGATCAACGATGACAGCATTTTGATGTATAGTAAGTGATTTCAGTTCTCCCAGTAATATGTACACTGACAGTCACAAGCACCTGCACTTCCTGCTCTCAAGAAGTACCAATCGGTAATTGGTATTAATGATACCTACATGGCCGTTCTCGAAGAAACAGCCTTGACCTGCGGCTACACAGACTACTACGCTGAATACTTCAACATTTTCCCTCCGAAGGGCCCATTACCTCCAGGACCTGACTACAGACGTAAGGGTTGTGACATCTATGACGATATTTACAATGCAGTTTATTATGTCAACCCATGTTTCAACATCTACCATCTCACAGACTTTTGTCCATTTTTGTGGGACGAGCTTGGATTCCCATCTTTAGGAACGGGCCCAAACAACTACTTCAACCGCACTGGTAAGCTCATATGTTGCTCTTATGATAACGTGAAGACTAACAATGTAAGATGTCCAAAAAGTGATCAACGCACCCCCAACCGACTACTTCATTTGCGGCGGCGGGCCAAACCTCTTCCCACACCACGACAAATCCGTTCCCTCAGCTCTTGGGCCTCTTCCATCCGTGATCGAGCGCACAAACAACACCATAATCTCCCACGGTGACCTCGATTTCCTCCTCTTCACGGAAGGCACTCTAACCACGATCCAAAACATGACATGGAACGGTCTCCAAGGCTTCCAGTCCGCCCCACCAGCCACCGACAACCTATTCGTTCCGTATCACCAATCTCTCGGCGAAATTCAGGAATATGTCAACGGCGCAATTCCACATTCTCCCGCTTTCACGGATACAGCTGGGTCGGGCTTACAAGGCAAATGGCACACAGAGAGAGGTCTTACTTTTGTAAGGGTGACTTTGGCTGGGCATGAGATTCCGCAGTATACGCCCGGAGTGGCGTACAGACAGTTGGAGTTTCTGTTGGGGAGGATTGATAATTTGAGTCAGATGGGCGATTTTACGACGGGGCCGCAGGGGAATTATACGGGGTCTACGGCGCCTTTGAGGAGGGGTGTGTGAAGTAGATGAGAGTTGGTAGCTACAATTAAAAATACAATAAATTTGTCAATTTGTGTTTCTCAGATTGAGTCTTTAACGGAGATCGTGTTGTGACATCCAAGGCGCTTAGCCTGTACCGTGTGTGCCGCCCAAAGTGAAATCCAGTACCAAAGGCATCAAAATCTCCCATAACGCATAGAAGATTTGCTGCCTTCCCGGGACTACCGCATTTTAACTCAAAATCACACCGTACGTGCGAAATAAAGATTTGTTCTCTCTCCGACCTCCCAAACCTCTACCGTCAGGGTTGCTAAGGGAGTGCCAGAGCAGCCTGTGAATTACTACGAGTGCCAATTGTCGTGCTTGATCTATGTAGGGTCGTGGGAACCAAGGAAGTGTTGGTTTGGCGGAAGTAGAGTTTGCATGTTATCAGGTGGAAATTGGGGTTGGAGAATAGATGTGGTAGTGATGGAAGTTGGAAGTTGTGGTGTGACCGTGGATTCTGCGAACTGAGGAATAGGGGCACGTAGACATAATTGTGAAGAAATTCAAATATTCTTATCTACTGGAGGTTTCAAATAATGAAAATAACGAACCATATCCAGTGAATTAGATGGAGTTGACTTGATGCCCTGTGGGAATATGTATTTTAGACAGAACCTCAAATTTCAAATTTACTGATAAGTCTAGACGAAACAAACCTCTTTTGGAGAATCTGATTGGCGAGGTGTGCGATGTTTCCTCAATTCAAATAACATATTTCGTGTGTCGACCGCCGTTCACCATGTCTGCTATGAGAGGTGGTTGGTTGACTTAATGAGGGTACATTTCTCCCAGGGTATGGAGACATCTTATTTAACGGAAATCATTGAAAGAAAGTACGACCGTAAGTCAACCTAATTGACACAATATGCCATGTGTAGAAATTTTGTTGAATTGATTGACTCACGTCTCGACTTCCAGTTATATTACACTTTGAGAGGTAATTGTTTGACTGCACGTAAATAATTTTGGAACAAGATCAATAAAATGTGTTGTTTGCCGAAAATCATGAAATAAATACACGATGATTCGTGAACTGTGTTTAACGGAATGTCATGTTCAAAAGGCATTCAGATTGCCCGCCGACCGAGACGGTTGACTAAACGTGGTTGTATAACTTTCCAAACCGAGTATGTAGATGTCTAGTTTCCTGGGAATGGTAGACGAAATATGCGACATTCTGTTTATTCAATCGATGGATATATAAAATATCGAGTCAAAATTACCGATTTGAAGTTACATGTCCAATGCATGACATTGTACACCATATGATGAGGTATGCAAAGTATACACAAAATGCACAAACGACTTGTTGACTCAAAATAATTGACGAAATACATGACATGTTAACCTGATCGATGAAATACCGTGTTTCAAATGCCATTTCTCTTCCCTACCGTCGAAGAGTGTCGATTGAAAGTAGGGATAGCTTTATAATAGAACCTATCGATTTCTCATTTCCTGTAAATGGTAGGCTGCACCATATTTCATCAAATCAATTGATGAAACATACAAAGTTCTGTCAAAATGACCGACAAAATATCGTATTCGGACTGCAACCTATCTTTTCCACTGCACAAAAAGGTCGGTTTGTGTGGTAATGTTCCATGAATACTACCCTTTTAGTATGTTGTTAGGATTCCGGCTAAAGTAAAACTCTGCTGTATGGTAGGGAAACTATGTGGGGCATGGTTGACTCGAGATTAGCGGATTGGCTTGTAAGAAAGGGGACTTGAGGGTTGGAATCACAGCCAAGATAACTAGTAGTCGGAACGGAATAGTTCTTCATTCAAGTTGACGAAATATGGTATATTCCGTTAACCTGACTGACGAATCATGCGATGTTTCGTCAATGATTTTAGGTAAATAGGGCTGTTCCAGAGTCATTCCAAAACGAGGCAGGTCACATGAGATTTGATGACGTTCTAGTCATGGCTAAGTATTTATAACCCTTAAATTATTAAGATTACATTTTCAAAACATTCCAAAACCATTGCCAAAACAAGTTAAAACAACCTGACCCACAACCCAGTTACGTGTCAGTAACTTCAACAAGTCCATGCCAAATCTAGTTAGTACAATTCTATCTAACTCTTCGAGTACATGTACATGTGAACAACTTCCCTGCGCCCTAACTCCCTAACGATATGAAGCTCATCCAAGAAGATGAGAATTTTGTCCCGTCTGCACCTTACCCTAGATAGACGATCATCTTGTCACCTGGGTTGCAGGTTTGCGATTTCGTATCGTCGGTGGCCCAATCGTAAGCATGGCAAAAAGCATCAAACTCTTTGCCTGACGGTGAACATTTACTATTGGCGAATTCGCCAGTGCAACAATCCTGTGGGCGACCAGTTGCCTGGCAAGGTGACATGCAACCAGGGGTTTTATCCGTACCGGAGCGACGTTCAGATGGGCATAAGTCCAAGATTTTCTGGGCGGGGATGGTGCAGTTAAGGGGTTTGCAGTCCGACCCCTTGCCGAATTCGACGTCCATCGCCATGTTGTATCCGTTTACTGTTGTATCAATGTCAGTTAAATGATGTGGAAGTGAAGTTTAAGGGCTACTAACCGAGACTCAGGTCGGTGACAGTCCTAACCGGCGACTCTCTTGTCAATTCGAAAAGAGTCATCATCCTCTCTTCGCCCCAGCAGTTTCTGTTGAAGTCACAATCCATCGCCCGCAAGTTTCCAGTATAGCCGTCATCAGGATTGCCGCCGCGGACGTTGCCATACACAAAGACGTGACCAGGAAGAATAAACTGCCATTCATCAAACAGTTTAATCTGCTCACCACCCTTGTTCAAGATAGACCTGACCGCGATCGGAGTAGACTTTCGGTTGACATGAACTTGGTAAAAACCATTGCTCCACGAGGCCATTACATCTGCTGAGGCCCAAAAGGCAGGGACGGAATCGAACATCAATGCGAAGGGTGATGTTCCTGGGGAGCCGGCGAAGGTACTGAAGGCCTGAGGAGCCACGGCCTTGATCATTGGTGAGGCAAGAGTGCCCCATAGCTGAGAGAGGAGGAAGGTGAGGAAGAAAGCGACGACGGTACCAAACTTCATTGTGACTGTGGATGGTGAAGTCTGGCGGAGGTGATGGTGATTGGTGGAGGTAGAGGTGGAAAGAGAAGGTGAGTGTGTGGTTTGAGTGAGTTGTGAATAAGACTCTTGTGTGTGTGATTGTAACGGTGGTTCTCTGACTGATGCTGTTTCTGATGAGACGAAAAGGAGGGAAACCTGGCATTCTTATATGCAAAAAGTGCCAAGAAATTCAGTAGTTCTCAAGTGATTTCTCACTTCTACCTCTTTCACATGCCAGGTTAACTGAAAAAACCAGCGTGTTGGAGTCTACTAGTCTTAGAGCTGGAGAAAGCTATGGAGAAGAGTTTTGGTAACTAACACTCTTCCAAAGCAACTTGGTGGAGTCGTTGTCGTTAGTGTGTAAAGCGAATGGCCATCTCAATTTCTAAATCCACTAGAAGAACAATCCGAGGTTGTTCTAGAATTTCTATTACATACCGAAATACTGTGGAGACATGGCAAAGTGATTTTCATTATCTAGCCTCACGCCAAAACTTCAAGTTCTTTTTTACTCATGCCAAAATGAGCAGTAGCCGGTCCCGAGTGATTTACTTTTCCATTTGAACCACCACTAACTTCAAAACCCCTGAATCATTACACCACCGAACATACAAGAATTTGAAGTCAAGCAAGACCGTCCTTTCATAGCCCACGAGAAGAGTTTTTGATGCTGAACGCTACACATCATAATGTCCAGATCGAATTCTAGTTCGCATGCCTCGCTCGTATATCTCACCTCACATGTATCTCTTACATCATATGTATCTCTCAGGCTGTATCTGCCGGTTTACTCGCCCAAGCTCACGTCGTCTCTCCAGGACATCTGACGACTCCGGCGGGTTCACTTTACAAACATCGCCGACATTGAGCTAGACTCTGGGTTTGGTTTTGTTGAGCAATTAGTGGAAAAGCGAAAATTTCTTGCACACTGGTTGATTTTTTAAAGTGACTCATTTTCGAGTTTTCCGGAACATTGTTGCGTTGTCACTTTTACTTTGAAGTGTGTTGTTTTTCGAGATTGTGTGAAGTGAACATAAGCATACCTGCCAGCCCTACGGTGATCTGCAGCGCTTCACGATCTCTCCTCAAACTGTCGCGTGGGGCTCCATTATTACGCAGTTAGTCGTGCGCTACTCCTTCCCCGGAAAATGGCAAAGGTTCTACGGTATGTTCCTAACGTTACTGGCTAGATGACCTTTGGTTATTGGAACGTACACCTAATGATTGTAACTCCTATGTAATTATGAGCTGAAAATGCAGCAGAACGCCAATTTCCACTCATTCAGTTCCTACTTTGACTACCGAATAACTTCTGTGCGTATTCCGTAAGTGTGGTTGAATGATAACTTGATAAGGAGAAGTCAAGCTTTGGCCAATCCTCCGTCGACTTGGCTTTGAACTAAGGTATGCACAAATTAATTCACACAGGAACTCAAGCATAGCCAAGGACAATCACCATTTGCGACGTCATATTGTTGTGCACTTTCCGATGTTTGGAATCCACTTGGTTCCGCCTGGCAGTCCGTCACAATGAAGCGAGGTCAGCTGACGAGCCCCCCTTCGTTCTTAGCTCCTGCCCTAGAAAATTCTTTTCTTCTGGTCAGCCTTGGAGAGCTCATGGTCTGGAAGTCAGCACCACTAATAAATTACCCAAACTACCTTAGCGATCTCAGGAAGTTTAGTCATCCTTAGCAGATATCAAAATCTACATCGTCCAGCGACTACTTCGAGTCGGAAGCTCAGGAAAGAAAACGTCGCCTCGAACACCGGCAAATTCCTTTTTGTTGATTCAGTTGGTGCTTAGATGATGAACGATCGATCTCGATGAGTTGACAATTCGATTCATAAAGACCTGCCCTCAGGCTGAGGATCGGAAGGAGTGATGCACATTAAAAGACTCGAAGTCTCCAGTTGATAGCGTTCTGGACATTATCATCACCTTTGGCTGCCACATTAAAACCCAGAATTCAAGTGAGGTTCAACACCGCGATCACGATCTCCTCCTCCCGTATTCGAAAATGGCTTTTCGTGCAACTAGGTATTTTGTTCTTGTCTCATTCAAACTCATCAATCACAATTAATTATGTACAGTTATGACTTTTGGCCAACAACCTCGGAACCTTTTCTTGCCTTAACTGAATTGGTTTCGGGAAGTGGAGACCCAGACATCATTGATGAACTCGGCCGTCACAAGTTATCAGCGTCGGAGGAGGAATCGCTTCTAACACCTTTAGCAGTTCGAAAACCTTGCAAAGTGGTTTGTAATCTACTATGACATAACCTTAAAGGTGGAATCTTATCTGTGGAACTTCCGTTTTCTACTATGTCAGTTCTGTGCGTGTGCCTCATGCGATGCATCTTTGCCGTAGTTATGGCTTGAAGGCTGGCGGCACAAGCGGTGGCTTATCAAGAATTACCTATAGGAAGCAGAGAAAGCTTCCGGTGGTTTCTGAAGCTGATCAAAGTTACGAGAGAGTCCTTGCCCTACGTTTAGTTACCTAGAAATCGTTGAAGTACGCGCTGAGCCTCATATCCTACAACTTGAAAACTCCATTGCTTGTTTTCTGCTGTGTCACGTTGTTTTACTGAACGTCTTATCACTCTTTTCGTTTCAAAGTACACGATTCGGACATGGGGACACAAAGGCTTCGGCACAGCTGTCAATGCCATGGTGTTTTCGCATGGCATAATAGTCAATGGTTCAATGTCCAGCAACATTCTGAGCCATGCAACTTCGTCGGAAGGGTGAAAAGAATGCTAGTGTTGTTCGCTATCTGACGGTCTTATTACATCACATGCCGTGGGGAAGTCAGAGCGAACTCGATTGAATTCAGGTTCTTACTCAATTATGAATTTGAAGCTGTTTTGCGTTACTTGTCAAAATATCCATTTTTCTTATCTTTTTGCAATATACTCAACTTGAGGAAAACTAGAAACTCCCCGCTCTGAAGACAAGGGGTTGAAGTGCACTCTACCGACACGTCAAGCATGCTTTGTTTAACCTAAACAAATGCCGTCTAAGGCCGTGTTTACTTACCTGACAATTTAACAATAATTGTCAAATTGCCAGATTTAAGTATTAGGCTAGTAGGGGGTGATTTTTAGTCTATTCTTCTTTAGTATATAGGTAGGAACTTGTCTCCACGACGTGTAGTAGCGTTAAGTCTAGTAAGGGTGTGACCTTATCGTCGCCTCTTATACGTTATAATTAAGATTTCTTTATAATTAAGACTTCTTTCTTATTAATTAATTATTAAGTAACTATAGTACCTAAGAAGAAAGTAAATACGAATAAAGCCGCTTCTAGGAGGGTATCGAAAGCGGCGGTAGAGACTAGAACCCGTAAGCTGTCTAGGAAGGCGCTTAAGGTACTTAAGAATAAGGGTTATAATAAGGTCGAGGAACCTAGCTTAAATAATAAAGATACTACGTAGTCTTATTACGATAACTCCTAACCTAGCCTTTATTTCTTTACCGAAAATTATCGCTCTCTTCTATCTAGTCCTACGCTATTACCTCTACCTAGATCTAATACTTAAGATCTAGAGCCTTAAGATACCTAGAAATTATCTACTAAGAGTAATAATATCGTTTAGACTTAGGATATAGTTCTCGCTATATATACTACCTTATTAGACTATATTTAAAAGAGTAAGAAGCTAGATATTAGGTTTAAGCTAGAGACGTAGCGAGCGGTAGTACTTATAGTTAAGAAGGTATATTCGGGTTAAGGTATAGTTATAGCTCTTAAACTTAAGAGTAAAGAGAATATAGAGAGGTATTATTATCTTAATCTATAATAGATTAAGAACTAATCTAGATAGGGTTAGAACAATAAAAAGAATATACCTAAGGTTATAGATAGAGTCTAGGATAAGGCTTAAAAAGTAAGGGTTTTAAATAAAGATTTATCGCTTAATAATTAACTTATATACTTAATAGTTATCTTTATAGAAAAGAATTAAGTACTATAAGAAGAACTTATTTATATACTATAATATATTAAATAAGATCTACGAGAATAGAATTATAACTAGAGCCTACGTAATCTACTTCTCTTATTAAAATAGAGGTATAGATAACTCGAAATAATATCTCGATAAAGACTTCGATTTAGACGATCTCTTTCTTAATCTAGTACTCTATACTTTAACTAGACCTCCTACTATAGTTCCGGATTCTATACTATAACGAAATCGCGGTAGAGGACCTAATACTCTAGCTCTTATTAGTTTAAGAGTATAAGTATCTAAAAAGAAGAAAGACTCTATTAATAAGAAATTTCTAGAGGAGTATACTTAGAACTAGATTCTAACTTATAAATACTAAGAGAGGGTTCTTACTTAAATATAAGAAACTAACACCCTCTAAGTTAACCTTTAAACGTCCCCTATAGTAAAGGCTTTAAAGAAATTATAAGACAAATATAGCGATAAATTAAACGTAGTCTAGATAATTAAAGCTATTAAGTTTCTAATAAATTCTAAGGTAGCTTAAGTATTTATATTATTAAGAGGCGAGATTTAATAACTTTAGTTATTATACTCTAGTAAGGTATAGTTTCTTAATTAGCGCTATATAATAATAGTAACGCTATATAGTAACGCTTAGAGTTCTAAAATCGTCTATAATTTATAATTTAATAACTAGTAAAAAATAAAAACTAGTTATCTATAATAAAGGTAAGATCTTCTTTTATTATCTTATTCTCTTTCTCCTTATTATTACTAATTAGAACTAAAAGCTTATTATTAGTATTCTTTATATTACTACTCTCTTCTTCGCCTATATTATTATCCTCTATCTTAATATTATCGTCCCCCTTATTATCCTCTATATATATCTAAATAAAGTTAGGGTTATAAACCTACTAAGTAAATATAGCTAATTCTTCTTCTAAAACCCTAATAGCTATACTACTACTAGCTATAATCTCTACTTCTAATCTCTCTACTAAAGAGACTATATAGTCTATAAAGACC